TATAAAGGCGTTTTACAATTTCTCTTTCGCAAGATAAGAGCAGAGATTGTCTCTGTGTCATGAATTTAGTTTGACAGATGCCAAAACATGCAGTGTGTCGAGGAAAATGATCTAGAAACCAGTCTTATGCAAATTCCCTAAGCACAAGTGTGCTTCGTTCCATCAGATTTTCATGTAGATGTGACTGATCATAAGAATAACCCGTATCAAATGAAAAGCAAAGGCTGCGTGAGTCCGTATTTCACAGTCTGGTGACATTGAGGAAGTACCTGGTGCAAGTCAGTCGAGCTATGTGGTCCAAACACGAAACCAGAGGAACATTTACATATTACAGAAGCGAATCAAAAGAAGTAATTCATATCTCTCGCTCAACGAGTCGGCCCTGAAGGGCATTGTGATGCAAATGAGATCATGTCATACAGTGATCTGGGCATTCTGCCCAGCAAGTGAAAAACCTTAGTCTCTCCCCATGCAGATTCTTTCTTCTTTTTTTTGGGGGGGGGGGGGGGGGTTGGGCTCCAATATATTTCAACTGCCATCGCCTTAGAGGACTTATCCCACAATCCAGTAATTGAAATCTGGTATACTAGCGAATCTAGATAATTTCAAATCTTCAGCTGCAAATTTAAACAGGGTATGTCAGGCTTTAATTTCCCAGTCAGTATTTGATTACGTTTTGAAATTTGAAATTGAAAATTGTTTCATGGAACCTATTATGTGTGTGGTGTCGTTCCTTTCTTCTTTTTGTTTAGAGTTCATAAAGGATATGGGTTTACTCATGGACCATGGATTTTCAAGACAAGAGAGAGAGAGAGAGAGAGAGAGACAGAGAGAGAGAGAGACAGAGAAACGTATATACCGAATATAGTTAGTAAACTTTCCGACTTTTTATGTACGGATCGAGGCAGATATAATTATAATGCACCTTATTCAATGTAAGCATGTGAAGTGGTGCAATCGAAAAGTGAGATTTTATATATTATGAGACAAGAAGTTAGAAGGCTGTTCAAAATATTTTTAGTTGATCATGTGGATTGAAATAAGGTCATGTGAGGTCAAATAAGGGTCGCTTCCAACAAGGTTATGTTCCAAACGTTACCAGATCCAAAATACCTTATCTTTTCCCAGGAATAGACATAAGAAACTTAAGACATGATATGTGGGTAAAGTCCACCTTCTCATCATTCTCCCATTACTAATAACATTTAGTCAACTTTTTATGATATTTACTATTAAAGAGAAGGTTGAGTTCTGGGAAGAGGTAAACAAATAATTTGTGAGCGTTATCATTGTTATTATGCAAGGGTGGAAGAACATCAGATTAAACATGTTCCCTGAAAAGCATGGCTCTTCAAATACCTTCATATTCTAAATATGACATGAAACATCGTAAAAATCCGGGTAGGATTTTTTTCGCCATGTGTTCGTGTAGTCCCATATACATCATTCTGTGTACAGTGCTTGTAATTTCGCCAAAATTTGGCCAAATTTCTTATCATTTTGATGATTCTAGAACCTTGCAATACACACGAATACTTATATACTAGATGCTCAACCTTTTCTGATAGATTCCACACCGTTTCTTTCACAATGCAATCACATGACCAGAACTCAACTTTATCTTTAAAGTATTAGAGTTTCTGCAATATATACATGGATCATAATTTAAGTTCTCTATTCCCATGAGCTAATATAGTGGCTTTTGCTTGGAACAACAGAAGTTAGAGGTTACGAGTCAAAAATTATATATTATACCACTCCCTCCCTGATTATACTCACTGTTTGGCTAGATCCTGCTAAATGCGAAATGAATCGTGGAATGAGACGTCGAGTCCTCTCCTCAGAAATATTTATCCAATTGTAGCCGAGCTAAAAGGATTTACACATAATCTCACACAGTTCAAATAAAAGTAGCTAGCAACAAGTGACATGAGAGTTCTCTTCTAGTCCGTGTTATAAAGGCGTTTTACAATTTCTCTTTCGCAAGATAAGAGCAGAGTTTGTCTCTGTGTCATGAGTTTAGTTTGACAGACGCCAAAACATGCAGTGTGTCGAGGAAAATGATCTAGAAATCAGTCTTATGCAAATTCCCTTAGCACAAGTGTGCTTCGTTCCATCAGATTTTCATGTAGATGTGACTGATCATAAGAATAACCCGTATCAAATGAAAAGCAAAGGCTGCGTGAGTCCGTATTTCACAGTCTGGTGACATTGAGGAAGTACCTGGTGCAAGTCAGTCGAGCTATGTGGTCCAAACACGAAACCAGAGGAACATTTACATATTACAGAAGCTAACCAAAAGAAGTAATTCATATCTCTCGCTCAATGAGTCGGCCCTGAAGGGTATTGTGATGCAAATGAGATCACGTCATACAGTGATCTGGGCATTCTGCCCAGCAAGTGAAAAACCTTAGTCTCTCCCCATGCAGATTCTTTCTTCTTTTTTTTTCTTCTTTTTTTTTTTGGGGGGGGGGGGGGTTGGGCTCCAATATATTTCAACTGCCATCGCCTTAGAGGACTTATCCCACAATCCAGTAATTGAAATCTGGTATACTAGCGAATCTAGATAATTTCAAATCTTCGGTTGCAAATTTAAACAGGGTATGTCAGGCTTTAATTTCCCAGTCAGTATTTGATTACGTTTTGAAATTTGAAATTGAAAAATTGTTTCATGGAACCTATTATGTATGTGGTGTCGTTCCTTTCTTCTTTTTTGTTTAGAGTCCATAAAGGACATGGGTTTACTCATGGACCCTAGATTTTTCAAGACGAGAGAGAGAGAGAGAGAGAGAGAGAGAGAGGCAGAGAGAGAGACAGAGAGAGAGAGAGAGAGAGAGAGAGAGAGACATAAACGTAAGAGTGACTTGGTCTAGAAACCATACAAATCTAGGCCCGAAGGCTGGGGTAAAAGAAGAAAGAAAAACACATTTGAAAGGAATATTCTGGAAGGAAACGTACCTTGATTTAAGTCATTTGTAATGATATTCACGCTGGTAGGTTTCACATAAAGAAATTATGATCACTGATTGCATTCTGATGAGCATGGGTGCTCTGAAGCTCAAAAACCTGTTTGTCGAAAAGATTCTAAAGCGTAAAATTACAAAAGCTGTTTGGGAACTTGAAGCATGTCCAAATTTGGGTATTACTTCGTTCCGCTTTGATACAAACATTCCTAGCTATACACGAGTAAACTCAGACAGACATAAAACTGAAGTTGACAACGGAAACAATATTTTGGCTTCTGTATACATTACACCTGAATACCTGATATTCAATTCCACCATCTTTTTACAAGATTACAGATATGTATGTATCATATTATGTAATTCATGAACTAAGTGAACCTAGGGTGTCTATTATTCAGTTAAGCTGATGTTGAATACTTGCTTACCGTAGGATTTACACAATTTCATATTTTCAGCCTGCAAAATTAAGGGACAGACTACCTTTGAATTTGCTAGTGCTATAAGCGGAGAGTATGACGTCACTAGCATGCAGATGCAGAAAATATATTTTTGCGAAAGAAAAGTGTGCTGGTGGATTTTGAGTACAGGTGTGATTACGCTGAAATTTCATAAATTGAATTTCTTCAAAAAGGTCTGCCAAATATGTGAGTGATCTGCTCAAAAGTCTATATATTTTGATAGGATTCGAAAGTACCATGTGTGATGACAAGGGCAGATCTAGTTGGCGGTGGGGGTGGGGCCCAAGTGGGGGCCCGTCCTCTTTTTTTTTTAAAGGAATCACACTAAGAAGCAAAAGTGTTTTGAATTGATGCAAAACTCATATCATTGCGAAAGGGAAGCCTTACTGATCAAATGAAACAACTTCCCTCTTCAAAATATGTTTGGGGCCCGCAGTAATCAACTCTCAAAAAATGTTAGTTTTGAGATCCAGATTTTCTGCCTTAATTCAGCGGTCCTTTGTAGAGCGTCAATATTTGTGACGTCACATACGGGACACGGCTGGCTAGCTGCATACTGCTACACGGCACTGAGCTGTTCGTCCAGTGTGTGACGTCACGATTCAGAGCTCGCTACACTTGTGTGTTTGACTTACGTTCAGGGGCGTTCGGGGGTCTAAGGAGGGTCTTGAAAAATTGCATTTTACGCCTTAATTTCCATGATATCTATATGATTTCTCAGCAAATTGTTCGTGTTTTTCAAGAGAAAATCTTTTCATCCATATGTAATTTGTTCTAATTATGAGTTGTTAGTGAATTTTCTTTGTGTAGCTCCTTTAAGCAAATCGCGTTGCTACAAATTTGACCAATCACAAGCTTTTCGTACACTGTTGATTAATTGCTCGGTGACCTTCACAAGATTGTGCTTAATGAAGATAAATATCCCAAAATTATAAACCAAGGGCACTGCTCAGATTTAAATAGGGGCAATTAACAGAGGTAATGGGGGCACTTATCAGAGGTGGTAGGAGGCACCTATACGAATGCAGATCGGCCGTCTATCCCCCCCCCCACCCACACTCCGGGGTCTTGGGGACCGCATTCGTGTTCTAAAAATATCCGGTAAAGGGGTATAGGCTATTGATTTATAAACACCGGAGATAGGGAGGTGCTTTCAAAAATCCGGCCCGTATTGACTTTACACACTGGAGATAGGGGGAATGCTTTCAAAGGGAGGGAACATTCATACGTGTACCCTAAATAACACTGAGTGGGGGGATGTATTTTAAAGAAAAAAAGGGCCATATCTGAAGCAAAAGGCGCACCTCATATGAGATACTTGAAAAGTGTAGGGGCCACTATGCCCCCCGTCGCCCCCCCCCCCCTCTCCCCCGGAGTGCCGCCTCATGTTGAAGCTGAGAGACTTCGGTTCAAAGCGCTTTATAAGCACCGTTTTATTATTATTATTATTATTACATCTTTATTATTATTGGGGAATAATTGAAAACTTGTCCTGAGCTGAGAGCACTGTTTCAGTTTTATTAATCTCTTTGTAAGAATTTGAGGAATATCGCCATCTACGACCATCAGAAGTCAATCGGCGGCGATTTGCATGGGACAGCAGAATGGATATTTTTGTCAAGTTTGTTTCGCAGAAAGTCGGAAAAGTCAGATGGCAGCCTTCGTCATACAAAGGGATTCAATTCTCCGATACATTTGTAACGGGAAGCTGGGATGATGAGGTACATTATCAGTTATTGTATATAAGCACACATTAACTAGATCCCTAAACAGATTTAACTGTAGAAACTTAATTCCTAGTCGTTCATGTACAATGTGCACGGTTTCGGGGCTATGTACATAGTATTACTATATGAGACCGCTTTCAAGTCGGAGCGCTCCCTTGTAAGCTTTATCCTACGAGGTATAAAATGCCGTGCATGTGCCATGTATGATTGAAGAAGTTTTCTAATTCCAAACTGCATTTTTATTTTTTTTAGGAATATGATATTTGATTCATGATCTCCCGTTTCATATAAAAAATACTTGAGATTCAATAATGTTAATAATAACATTAACAAATCAAATAACAACAAAGACAGTGAAAGCAAAATAGATTAGATACGTTTTCGATCTGTTTGTTTGAACTTTGAGGAGGCCTAGTCTATAATTAAGGCTAAATTATCAGTAGGGATACTGGTCCGAGAATAAGGATTGTTCGCATAAACAAGGATCGTCTTCGTAAACGCGAAAAGACACACCCTAACCTAAGGCGAAAAATGGATTCCGTGATGATGTTCCTTGACTTGGGCTTAGCCATTTCTGATTTCACACTAGACAGAAATAACCATCTGATTTGGGTCATTTCTTTAATAAAACTGACATTTGTTGTCATTCCCCAATACAGATGGTAACCCAGAGATCTTGTACCTGGGGATGGCTATGTACATATTTTCGACCACGACATTTTCTCCCCGATTTTTCTTTATTTAGATCTAGATCTTATTTACTGATTTCTAAATCAGATGTAAATTAGGTCGGTATGTCATTTGTCCTATTTACAGTTATCAAAATGTGATAACTTAATATTAAATGTATAATTTACGGACTTACTTATATGAATTATCCAATTTGTATCTCCGAACTGCACGTTCATGCACTCGAACATAGGGCTATATGACCCGGCGGCCAAAATATTTCCGGGTCAACCTACCAAAACAAAGCCAAATGGCCAATCAGAGCACTCGTTTCGTGGGAGTTCGTTGGTCAAGCTGGGCCGACTCGTACGTAGCTACGGTAGCTATTGGACGTTCGAAAAGAAAAAATGAATATTCATCAACTAAAACCAAGACGGATAATGTTGACGACGAGACTTTCTCGAATTAATCATTAATTTAGGATCTAAATGAGCAAGCTATCGTAAGTCAAATAAGCTATATACATGTAGGCCTATATGTTATTTCTAATTTTTATTATAATTGCAGCAGTTATGAGGATGTAAAGAGTGAAAATCTCGTTGCATATCTCATTCATCGCGGTCCGGTCGAACCGAACCATTTGTTTCGTACAGTCCCGTACAGTCCTGATAGGCCATACTTCAGTCTCTATAATCGGAGGTCTAGTGGAGCCAGACGTAGTCTCAGTGGAACAACCGACGATTAGAGAGACTGAAGTTTTCGGTCTAATTTCACACTTACTTTCCACAGAGAATTTGCACAGAGACTTTCAAATTATGAATATGAACGATAAATCCTCCGAAAGACGGTCAACCCATAAAAGTAGACGATGGACTCTGGGTATTTTATTACACGGAATCCGTATTTCGCATTGTCAGCGCGCGTATCGGGAACCCTACACCCAAAAAGGGCAACAACAAAAAACTTACTCAAAAATGTGGACGATCCTGAGTAGGGCCTACAAGGTTATAACCTCAAACAGTAGTTGAGTAGTTTGGGGGGTTAACTTTGTTAATTCTAGCCATACACAAATTATTTTGTCAGGTGATGTCGTACAGGGGGCCGTTTCTCGAAACCAACTCCATGACACTGTTCAGATCCCCGGGTCTCCCCCGCCAAGGCCCATTCAGCGTACATCAGTCTGCCGTTGCCAGGTCGAGCAAGCTCAAGGTTTGTCCAACCTAGCAACGAGCAACATAAAGTATTGCGCACCGAACAAGCCCCGACAGAAGAAACATAAAGACCCGGCCTACAAGATTTGAAGAATAGAATTTCTTGACATTTTTTGTCTTCTTTTTTGCAAAATGCTGCAGGAGAACAAGATCTCACTCTGGAAGGTTCCAGAGGTCCAGAGCAAAGCCGGAGCCGCAGGGTCTTGGCAACAGGACTATCCCCAGCAGAAGACTCCAGCCACGTTGGATGGTCAAGCAGGAGAAGGAGAGCAGGAGCCAGCCCTGCTCTGCCAGCTCAAACATGGTGGCGATGTCACAGATATACGGGTATGTATTTATTAGATTTTATTTATTTTATATATTTATGAATATTTCTCCAGGGTAGCCCCTTCAACAAAATTTGGTCTGCCATGTGGCCCCCAAAATATAGGTACAGTCAAGTCTGTCTATAGCGACCGCCCAAGGGAAACACAAAAAGTGGCCTTTGTAGACAGGTTCCCTTAGTACATGATTCAATGAGAAACCATTTTCAAGGGAAACAACAAATGTGGCCTTTGTAGACAGGTAGTCTTTGTAGACACAGCAGGTTTGACTTTATGTATACATGGTGGTACGACACATGGTCTAGTGACCATTAATTTGGGTTCAATATCCGAACTAAATTACAAACTTTAGTCTCTCTGACTCGACTGGATTTTCCACTTGGTTCTATTTTCCTTAATCTTCGGGAGTTCTTGCCTTACTGAGAAAGTGAACAAAACACAATACCTGACCCTATATTTTTATCTGATTGTCCATGTCATGAGATCTTTCTGCAATCTCACTCTTGCATTATACTTCAAAGTAATTTCATTACCAACCTTGTGATATTAATAGGGGACATTAAAGGAATTATAGCAGCAATCAGAGAATAAGTTTCTGACCATTTGAACTGTACCCCCAAAATAAGTTACATCGTAATTTCAGTCATGATTATTGCTATCGGGTTTATTCATATATCATTAGCCATTATGAATGCAATTCATTTGTTATGATAATTATGATCATTTACAAACGTCAAAGATAAGATCGCTTTAAGAAAAGTTTTAAAAACACCCCTATTTTCTGATAATTAATAATAATAATATTGGCATTTATATAGCGCTCTTACAGACATACATGTGTATCACAGCGCTTTACAACATATTATTATTACCCCGGTCATCGGATTCAGGCTTACCCGCACACAAGGTATGCACATTCTCCACTCCCTGGGGAGCATTCCAGCCAGTCGCCATTTTACAAGCGCCACTTGCTAATCAAACCACATTAGCTTTCGCATCCTACCGGGTACCCATTTTAACACCTGGGTGGAGAGTGGCAAATGTAGATCAATGTCTTGCCAAAGGACATTAGTGCCGCGGCGGGACTTGAACCGCGGACCTTGTGATCCACAGTCCGGTGACTTATCCACTCGACCACGACACCTCTGCTATCTTTACCAGCAACTTAATAAGACTTTTACTTCTCTTCCAGCATATCATTGTAATATTCATTCAGGCTAAATATGCAAAGGATAATTATTCCTGTTTTCTATTTTCATCCTTGTAGTTTGTCAACCAAGAGGTCTTCTTAGCATCTTCGTCAAGTGGAAGTGTCCAAGCCTTCAGATGTAACAAAGCTAAACAGGTAAGTCTGTAGCGGGAGCACACTGTGTGGAATAGCAATTCAATCAAAGGACTGGGACATTAAATCAGGGAATTCTAATTGACACGTACTGCCATCTGCTGTTAATAATGTACAGATGTGTTGACGGCCATGTCCCACAATGCATCACTAACTGTTGATGAGTGCGTGATGATGCTTGGGTAGAGGAACTAGAAATTGCTCTTTGTACGCCTTCACAGAAAGATGGCGCAATTGAAAATACCTTACAGCACTGGTAGCAATGTCGGTAAAAAATACCCTGGCTTTAATTAATGGTCAAGTCAAAGCTGATTTGTCCAGTACGTTCCTGAGAATCCTGACACGTCTGGATTTTGATAACAGGTATATCGGATTATTGTATCAAGTTTAGAGCTCAGAGCCGCCCAAACGTGAATTAATAACAGATTTGATGTCAGTTTTTGTGCGCAATCCCACCATACTTTGTAAGGTATGGGACACCAAATGACTCAAACCTTGGACTTGCCAAGTTAGATGTAAAGTGTTTAGAAATGTATGTAGTGTTCAGCACTATATAAGTATAACAAAGTTGTGTTGTTGACTTGTTATGTGATGATGATGATGATGATGATAATAATATTAAAAAGAAGAAGAGAAGAATACATAATGGTAATGATAATAATGATAGTTGTAATAATACAAATAATGAAGAAGGAGAAAAAGGCGAAGGTAAAGAAGGAAGAAGAGGAAGAAGTAGAAGAAGAAGAAAAGGAAAAAGAAAAAGAAAAAGAAAAAGAAAAAGAAAAAGAAAAAGAAAAAGAGAAAATATAAATGAAGAAGCAGAAGGGGATGATAAAGGAGGAAAAGAAGAAGAAGATACATGGATTACTCATGGAACCTTTAGATTTAGCCTCCTTAAATATTTATCAATTCTCAATAAAAATCGAAACATTCTTCTCTCTCTTTCTTTGTGCAGGACTTTGTGCCGTCTCAGAAATGGGATAGCATCCACCACCACACAGCAGATAGCTGCGCATGTACCTGCGTAGCGGTCAATGGCACGGATATCTCTACCTGTGGAGAGGACGGAAGGATCAACGTCTTGAGGCTGGAGCACAGGCAACCAATAAGGACCATTGGTAAGGTCAAGGGTCATCGTCAGCAACAATTCTCTCTATTGCCAGTTTGATAATTTAAACAATTTTTGAAAAAAAATTGTAAAAGTTATTTTAAAAGTCATAAAATGTTGATACAAATCATTTATATTTTCTATTACCAAGAACAATTCATGTTCTTGATGTGGAATTTATAAAAAGTCTAAAAAACTTGAATTTTTGCTTTTGAATATATTTTATTTTAAGGCTTCAAATGGCTTTCCATAACTTTTAAGTCCAACTTAGAGTTAAGTTTGACTTAGGATCTTTGTAAAACACCCCCTGTTCTGTTTTCTCACCTTTACAGATGAAGCAGATAGCTGCAGCATCAATGCCCTGACACACCTGAAACAGCATGAGGTCATAACGGTGAACTCAGCCGGACAGCTCAAGATATGGGACCTTCGACAGCCTGGCTCACAGCCAACCAGGTTCTTCATAGTGTGAGTGCTTAAGAGTGTTTAAAGATAAAGTTGAGTTCTGGTCATGCGATTACATGGTGAAATAAACGTTGTGGAATCGATCAGAAAGAGGTTGATCATCTAGCATATACGTATTGGTGTGTACTGTAAGGTCCTGGAATCATCAAAATGATAAGAAATTTGGCCCAGTCTTGGTACAGTTACAAGCACTGTACACAAAAAGATGTATATGGGGACTACAGGAACATGTGACTTTAAAATCCATCCCAATTTTTATGATATTACATGCCATATTTAAAATATGAAGGCATTTAAAGAGCCATGCTTTTCAGGGAACATTTTTTATCTGATGTTCTTCCATACTTGCATAATACAATGATACCGCTCACAAATTTTGTTTCACCTCTTCCAGGGAAAAAAAATACTTTAACAATTTCGGGGGCTACTTTCAAGCTTGCTTGCATGAAAATGACACTCTTTAATTTGTTTTGCATTGAAATCTATGCAAATTTTGGGGGGCTCTTTTGGGCATTTCGGGGGCTAAATTGCCCCGAGCCCACGTGTATTTTTTTCACTGACCTCTTCCCAGAAATTCAAAGGTCGTGGGTTCAAGACCTAGCATGTATCTCATGTCCTTGAAAATTGTATCTGTATTGCTCATCTCCACCCAGGTGTTCAATGTGTACCCAGTATGATGCGAACATCATTGTAGTTGGATTAGCATGTTCGCACCTGTTAAAAGGTGACTAGCTGCAATGCTCCCCATGGAGTGGAGAATGTGCAGAATAGCAATTGAACCCAGTGACTGGGGGTAATGACAACACTGAAAAGCGCTTTGGTCAGTTGATAGTGTAGTGCTGTATAAGAAACGGGTATTATGATTTTTTAGAGGGTTCAAACAACATTTCAGGAATAGGATATCTGAAAGTGTCAAGGGGCATAATGGTTATGATAATTCCAGGGCAGTGTGATCAAACAGATGACTTGCTTTTGGATCCCAAGGTTTCGGATTTTGGATCTCTGCCACAGCACCAACGTCCTCTGCTTAGACATTAATCTACTTTTATTACCCTCTACCCAGGTGAGGTAAATGTGAGGTATACACGCCTGATCTCACTTCATATTCTAAGATGTAGCACATGATCGGTAGCAGAGTTGAAAATGACTCCCTATTTTGAATACTTTCAAGAACATTTTTTCACAAAATATGACCCCCTTTTGCATAAAAACAGGTACAAAATAGACTTTGGATGTAATCCAGAGCTGCCAACTAGTACGGATATCCCGTAATTGGTACGAAAATTAACGATCATTACGGAATTATGGAATGTTGTCTAACGGATTTTAATTATTTTTTTTTATTCACAAAAAGTATCCTTTGCTCAAATGTGTTTTGCAATAATAATATTAACAGAAGAATTTTGAGATATATTTTGAATGTATTGAGTGATTGCTGGTTACGAAGAAATCTGGGTAGGGTTATTCCACTTTTTGGGAGTAGCAGTTGTGAATGCTCTGAATACCAAGTATGACATAACAAGTTAAAGCTAAAGTTGAGTTCTGGTCATGCGATTGCATTGTGAAAGAAACAATATGGAATCGATCAGAAAAGGTTGATCATCTAGCATATATACATGTACGTATTGGTGTGTGTACTGCAAGGTTCTGGAATCATCAAAATGGTAAGAAATTTGGCCCAGTCTTGGTAAAGTTACAAGCACTGTACACAGAAAGATGTAAATGGGACTACCTAGACGAACATGTGGTAGGAATTTATTCCTTGAAATGCTAGAGCGCCGTATGGCAGCCGTGCTAAAGCCAGGGTAATAATCGGGAGCGCCAGGAGGGTCAAATCTGACTGACATGAGCGCTATACAAGAACCCACTATTATTATTATTATTATTATAAAAATCTGTCCCAATTTGTATGCCGTTACATGCAATATTTAGAATATAAAAGGCATTTGAAGAGCCATGCTTTTCAGGGAACATGTTTTATCTGATGTTCTTCCACACTTGCATATTGACAATGATAACTCACACAAATTATTTTTCACCTCTTCCCATAACTCAACCTTCTCTTTAAACTGAGTATGAATAAATTCCATCCGCAGTTCTGGAGAGAAAGTACCTCTTCATTGTGTAGACCGGCACCCAACCCAGCCTCATCTTGTGGCTACCGGTGGACAGAATGGCATCCTCAATATCTGGGATATGAGAAAGGAACAGCTACCAGTCACCCTCTTTGATGTGCACCAGAGTCACGGTGAGATGATTTTTTTTTCTACCTTTTTTCAATTCAACACTTCCGTAGCATTAATGTCATCTCTCACAAACATAGCAACTCCACCACCCCCAAGCGATGTTGACGATCGTGATGAAATTGACAAAAGTTTGGTAGCTGACAAGAAGAAGCGTGATTATCGACTGAAAATCAGGTTTCAATAATAGCAATCAAATGATAGTTGCTGCGAGATGATTTGATGACTACCTGTAGATCACTGAATTTGTTGTCTAGCGATCTTGCTTTAACAGAAGTACAGACGGTAAGGTTGGTTTTAGATGCAGTTGCTTTGTATTGATGAGATTCGAAGTGTTTATGCCACAAGGTTAGTGTCTTTCTAGAGAGTGGCTGAACTACATCAATGCGTCTACGAATGTGAGATCCTGCTCGACGGTCGCGGGTCGGGTTTAGACCGCGAGATCCCAAGCAAATCAATGTTTACACATAAATCAGAGGGCAAACGAACTTTGCTAGTACCTGAGCGATTGCGTAACACATAGAGTTCGAGTCTGGAGTATCTCATAATGTGACGATCATCAGTCGTGACAATGAATGACACACAACACACACACAGCAAAACCACTTTGCATAACAAAGCTAGGGTTCGAGTTCCTGCGTCAAACCGTGTAGATATAAATCTATGTGTAAAGTTACTATGCCTATAGCTTGACGTACCTTCAGGTTCAGACTCAATTTCATACCTTTCCTTAAACCTGTAAAGCGGAACTGCACTACTTGTACCTACTTGCGCCCTCTATATAGCAAACAATGTCTAAGCGGTACCGTTAGTCCCCATGATTCCCTTTTTCTTATGTTAATTGAAAGCTGATTTGATGTGATAACCACCTGCCGGGGACCACGCCGTGGGGTCTAATCCCTCCTAGCCCAACTAGTGCAGACAGACTTTAAATGTCATGTTAGATTTAATCCTAGTACAGATGAAGAATAATGAGTGAGCTTTCTCACTCATTTATTCCTATGAGAAAGAATAACAAAGTAGCAACATCTAACGAAAAGGATTGGCTTTGAAATGGCCTCATAATCTTAATGTAGTACTGGGGTAATAGATATAAACTTAGAACCAAATCGTATATCCCATTTGAACATTTGGTGTTAGTTTGTTTGATTGATTTAATTTCTGCATTCAAAAATAACAATAACAAATACAATGAATAAAATGTTTACAAAAGTAATTAAATGGAAAATCATGTACAATTATATCATACGATAAACATTTATGAAGCATACAATAAGATAAGAAATATGAAATATTTCCAATAAATTAGAGAGGTAATTTAGAACGCAGGAGACCATTTGATAATGTACAAAGAATTTCTCATTTATTTTGACCAGACTACCTTTAAAATGTACAAATAACCTCAAAAAATAATTTGTGTACAGCTAGAATGTATAATATCAACCCCAAACTCTATCCGGCATACTTTGCACCTACGGATAAGGAGTATGAGAAATTAAAAGGATTACATAAACGCTCATGCATAGAAGCAAGTTTCTTTAATCTGGCAATTGATATATTTGTTATAGAAGTAATATAAACTTAAAGCACAGATTTTGAATGAAGCCCCTGTCCACTAACATCCAGAACAAAATATTTTTGGGCGATTGGTATACTTTCATGGTAATTTTTTTGATTTTCTGGAAGAATTGCCCTGTGAAAACAAAGTAGCGCATTTGCTTCTTGATGTTATAACACGAAGAGTGATGTGATTACACAGAGCACTCATTGTCTTGCAAATTACAAGTGAGATTTCTTCTTGTATAATTTTAAATGTTGTAGAATTATATTGTGCAACATGTCATCATAAAACAGTGCCCACGTTAAGCATTATACATTTCTCACATGTAATAGTAAATGGATTATATGGACGTTATTTTAATTTTTTGATTTTTTTTTTTTGGTGCAGTTTGGGAGGTCAAGTTTCACCCTACCAGCCCTAACAACCTGTTCACCTGCTCCGACGATGGAACAGTCCTTCACTGGGACGCCACCAAGGGTCAAAGTTCAACGGGTTCTGCCTTCCGCAACATGAACACTCCAACAGGTAATTAAAACTTCTAATCGGCATATTTGTGCAAAGAATACTGATAATTTATTTGATTTTTCCAGCGTCTTTTCAAAGGGTACCAGCTGCCGTTCCTTAAAACCTAATATGTATGTGGAAGATAAGAGGTGAGAGTTCAGGGCCCTGTATCATATATATTGACTAACAATCGATCATAAAAATCTTTTGTACCTCCAATCCTGCTTCAATTAAAGATAAACTTTAGTACTGGTAATGCGATTGCATTGTGAAAGAAATGGTGTGGAAAGGATCAGAAAAGATCATGTAGCATGTAAGTATTGGTGTGCACTGCAAGGTTCTGGAGTCATCAAAATCATAATAAATTTGACCGAGTCTTGGTAAAGTAACAAGCACTCACATAGAAAGCTATATATGGGACAACACTCATGGTGTCGGGGCTAGTACTACCTTGATTTCCTTGTCTTTCTATGCTCATTACTCAGCCAGTATACATTTTCTTCCAAAATTGTTTGGCACATGTCATTTATTTGTAATCTTGAACATTAAGTGTAAGTTTCGTTTGATTCTGTGAGAATTATTATTATTATTTTTTACCAGTACTGAAGTTTATCTTTAATCTTACCGTACTTTGTCTGTAATTTGTCTGTAACATAAAATTAATTGTAAGTTAAAATTTCCATAAAGTTACGATTGATTGAAGGAGAAATAATTAAATATAACTCTTTATGTTACCGGGCCAAGATGTGTGTTGAAATATTTTGAAGAAAAAAAATTGGTTAAAGATACATGTATTCATTTAAAGAAGAATACCAGTGGGTAGATATCAAAATTGATTCTCATAATGCATCAATATTAATTTCTAATTTATTGGTGTTTTGTAAGACATAAGTGGGAGAAACCGACTACTTATGATTGGGACAGGTAGCTTGGAAACCAAGGCAATCATTGGACATACTATAAACAGAGTTCAAGATTTTATAACAATATTTACAAACTTATGCAAGAAATCGACATCTGATTTGCATACATGTAGGTTACCTTTAGTGAAATAGACCTTTTACACAAGACTGAAATGTCATTAAAATTCTATTCTGAGTATTTACCAGTATTGTAGGTTGTTTTGTCAAGATGACTGCCGTAAAACCAGAAACTTCTGTGTTCTGAAACTTTCGAGAAACTGTGAAACTTTTCATTCACATGAAGGTTTCTGGTTGTACAGAATTGTTTCCCAAGAAGTGATTATTCTTCCTCGACCATCATTTCCTTTTCGTTTCTCAGGACCAAATCCATCCAGCAACCTCCTCCTTAGGGGATCGACAAGGAATGCGCCCTCTGTTGACAGCGAGACGTCCAGTCCGTGGCTGAGCAGTGAGACCACAAGCAACCAGCTGGAGATCAATCACGTCCTTCCAGGAAACTGCAACCCCGTCAACTCCCTGGACGTGGAGGGTCCGCAGCTGATCTGCGGAACGGACGGGGAGGCCCTCTACTACATCCCGAACATGAACATCTATTTATAAACTATGGCTACCTTGAACAGCTGCTGCTATGTGGGTACTTGAAGACAATGTAGTGGTTGCGAAAAGGATATTAGAATGAAATGTGATGAGTTCTTGATAGTATGGTGCTACTTCAACCAAAAAAAGATCATCATTTTTGGTCATAATGATAATAATGGTGGCTTCTTATATAGCACTGCACACATGTCTGTCACGCCATGATGCTCCTGGCGCTCCATCATTTCTGGTTCCTCGATTGTCTGGCAAGTGTGTGAGCCACCTCATTGGCCCTCGTCAGATCCCTCTCATTGCCTGTATCGTACGGCATGTCACCATTAAAAGTAGATGGTCCATGGAATGGCGGCCTTGCCCACACGGACAGTCTCCTGAAGAGTTGATACACGTATATCCCCACTTCACATGTTTTCCTGTGTGATGTATATAGAATGAATTTAGTTTGCATTTTCAAAAGGTACACTAGATTAAGGCTATATGGTCCCAACACTTGGATCCCTCCTCAATCGAGGACTCAAAAATAAAAAAACTGACTAGACATTGCACATGTCATGCATTTTGACATCGTTGGAATTTTCCTGCTGGGTCTTCATGCTTCATTTGTTACATGTTTTTATGTCCTCGGTCCCATTGCATAAAACTTATCATAAATGGTATCTCTGCCATCAATGGTAACTACCATGGTAACATTGTTTAACAGCCAATAAAAATCAAGTATTCCATGGAAGTTACCATTGATGGCAAAGTTACCATCAATGATAAGTTTTATGCAGCGGGACCCTGCTCAAATAATGTCTTGGGTCCTGTTGCATAAAATTTATCATTGATGGATAAGCTACATCTTGTGAGCATATTATTCTATTTCCTCCTTTCAGGATAGTTTTTGAAAGATGAATTGATCACATATTTTTCTTCAAATTGGCAACATTCACATTTGCTTTTATTTCTTCATTTTTCTAATAAAACCTAATGGCCCGAATTCACAAAGGAGGTTTGTCGACAAACCTTGGTTTTCGTACGTCATATGACGCGTTTTACGCGTTTTTTACCAACCTGGTTTGTAAAGAACAAAAGGAGGTTTGGCGAAACAAAAGGAGGTTTGAGCTCAAACCTTGGTCTAAGCTCAAACCTTGCTTTGTGAATTCGGGCCAATGTCTCTAAAAACAATATTCATAAGTATGGACTGACGGCAAAGTTGTTAATTTGCAGTTTGATTGAAAAACAACGATTTTGAACCTCCCAACATGTTGCAAATTTGAGGATTATAAAGCTTATTTTTCCATTTGAAAATTCCAGACACCAATAGCAATATGGTGATGGATCTAAACTGGAATCGGTGTCTGCAGAAATTTTGGCCTTTCTGTTCATGAATCTGGTAGAGTACTATTTAGGGCTTTGAATTAAAAGTTATCAAGTGTTAAATGACCATCTCAAAAGGGCTGTATAGCTGCTATAACATTAATGAAATAGGTAGAAAGCATAGGGCTAGCTCGTCAAAATGGTTCATGGGTTTTGAGAGGTCTTTATAATTATGTTGTACAGTTGGATTATGTTTGTATGTGTCAACAAAGCAACCAAGTTGCTGAAAATAAAACAATGTAAGTATTTGTACCAAGATGTGATTTTGTGCTTTCTTTCTGGTCAAGACTAAGTTTTAAAGCTTGAATATGAAAAACAATGGCCTGAATTCACAAAGGAGGTTTAATTTAACCCATGGTTAAAACCCTCATTTACATAACCCATGGTTTAAACTCTCATTTACATAACCCATGGTTGAAAAATTAGCACAAATATTAAAGCACATTGCCTTGCGCGCGTCTAATATTGGACCTCTGACTTAGTCGTGCTTATTTTGCGCTAATTTTAGACCATGGGTTATGTAAATGAAGATTTAAACCTCCTTTGTGAATTCGGGCTAATAGTCTGTAGTCGTACATGTACATGAAGGCCAGTGAAATTGAAAGTGGTCTTGTGGCCAAATAGTCTGATAAACCTTTCTTGAGAGATTTTCTGTCTTTCCATCTTTCTGTGTTTTGCACTCATTTTACTCTCTCTCGCTTTTCTCTCCCTTTCCTCCCTCTCTCATATTTCCCTCGACCTCTTCCTCTCTCTCTCTTCATTCACCCCCCCTCTCTCTCTTTCTTCATTCATCTCCCCCTCTCCTTTTCTCTCCCTCTCTTTCTTCATTCATCTCCCCCTCTCCTTTTCTCTTCCTCTCTCTTTCTTCATTCATCTCCCTCTCCTTTTTGTCTCGCCTGCGTAGCAAAAAGCGAGACATAGGCGCCGCTTTTCCGGTGACGGCGGCGGCGACGGCGACGGCGACGGCGACGGCGTCAACATCAAAAACTTAACCTAAGGTTAAGTTTTTGAATTTTTGGTATCATTTTTAAAGTATAAGTTCTTAGTCAATGAAACTTTGACTATAGGCTAATCAAGTATCCCCAATCATGTGAGTAGAATTTCAGATCCCAAAGTCAAGGTCAAAGGTCATTTCAGGTCAACAGACTTGGACTATGTTGTAGCATCATCATCGAAAACTTAACCTAAGGTTAAGTTTTTGAAATTTTGATATAATTTTGAAAGTATAAGTTCTTCGTCAATGAAACTTGGACTATAGGGTTATCAAGTCTCCCCAATCATGTGAGTAGAATTTCAGGTCACTAAGTTAAGGTCAAAGGCCATTTAAGGTCAACAAACTTAGACTTTGTTGTGGCATCAACATTAAGATTTTCAAAATGCTTCTTCTTCGTTATTTTTCAACCGATTTTGATTCTGATTGTTTCATATGATAGGGCTAGGAGGGGATTTAAAATTTCTACACAGAATCGTGAAATTCATTATCTATGCTAATTTATGCAAATTTATTCGAAATCACAAAAAAGGCTTCTTCTCCTTCATTTCTCGACCGATTTTGATTTGGTTTACTTTATATCGTAGAGCTAACTTTGGTACACTAAACTTCTACACAGAATTTTGAAATTGTTCTCCATTAATTAATTATGGTAATTTATGCAAATTTATTCCAAAAATTGCTTCTTTTCCCTCATTTCTTGACCGATTTTGCCTTATCTGGTAGAGCTAAATTTGGAACAATAAACTTCTACACAGAATTGTGAGATTTTGCTCCATTGATTATTTATGGTACTTAATGCAAATGAAATGAAATTATGTCCCTTCCAGGGCATCAAATTTCTATTTTTTGACCAGTTCAAAAGTGTACCACATAAAATTTACGATATTTGTTGTTGTGAGATGCGGATGAGCGCTACGTCATTGACGTTCTGGTTTAGCATATTGAATTGCGTTATGCAGGCGAGACCGCCGAGAGCGTTTCCCTTGTCTCTTCCTCTCTCTCTCTTCATTCATCCCCCTCTCCTTTTCTCTTCCTCTCTCTTTCTTCATTCATCTCCCCCTCTCCTTTTCTCTTCCTCTCTCTCTCTTCATTCATCCCCCTCTCCTTTTCTCTTCCTCTCCCTTTCTTCATTCATCCCCTCTCCTTTTCTCTTTCTCTCTCTCTATTCATCTCCCCCTCTCCTTTTCTCTTCCTCTCTCTTTCTTCATTCATCTCCCTCTCCTTTTCTCTTCCTCTCTCTCTCTTCATTCATCCCCCTCTCCTTTTCTCTTCCTCTCTCTTTCTTCATTCATCTCCCCCTCTCCTTTTCTATTCCTCTCTCTCTCTTCATTCATCCCCCTCTCCTTTTCTCTTCCTCTCTCTCTCTCTATTCATCCCCCTCTCCTTTTCTATTCCTCTCCCTTTCTTCATTCACCCCCCTCTCCTTTTCTCTTCCTCTCTCTCTCTATTCATCTCCCCCTCTCTTTTTCTCTTCCTCTCCCTTTCTTCATTCATCCCCTCTCCTTTTCTCTTCCTCTCTCTCTCTATTCATCTCCCCCTCTCCTTTTCTTCATTCATCCCCTCTCCTTTTCTCTTTCTCTCTCTCTATTCATCTCCCCCTCTCCTTTTCTCTTCCTCTCCCTTTCTTCATTCATCCCCTCTCCTTTTCTCTTCCTCTCTCTCTCTCTCTCTATTCATCTCCCCCTCTCTTTTTCTCTTCCTCTCCCTTTCTTCATTCATCCCCTCTCCTTTTCTCTTCCTCTCTCTCTCTATTCATCTCCCCTTCTCCTTTTCTTCATTCATCCCCTCTCCTTTTCTCTTCCTCTCTCTCTCTCTATTCATCTCCCCCTCTCCTTTTCTCTTCCTCTCCCTTTCTTCATTCATCTCCCCCTCTCCTTTTCTCTTCCTCTCTCTCTCTTCATTTATCCCCCTCTCCTTTTCTCTTCCTCTCTCACACACACACTTCACTGTCTCTCTCCTTTTCTCTCCCTCTCTCACACACACTTCACTGTCTCTCTCCCTCTTTATCCATACATGTATTTAGGTACTCTGAGAACAGAAATGACAAAGTCAATGAAAAGTTCATAGATATTCAATATATTCAGTAAGTCAGAATAAATAGGACACTTTAAATAATGCTCAAGGATAAAACAATTTGAGGAATGGCATCGATACCTATATTTTGATAAATATTTGTATAGACAATTTATATTTCTAATATGGTTGACGTTCAAACAATGTGAATAAATATGTTGAGTTTCTTAAAATGTCACGATTAAAAAGATACCAACAAACCTACAATAACAAATAAACAGAACAGATTATTTGGATCTTCTTGAATACTCTAAGATGAATTATACGAGGGTACCTGACAATGAAATTGATATCTAGTGCAGGTACAATGGAATCTCCTTATAAAGAGCATTGTTGTATCTGGCCTGAATCTGTGTATTCTATTTTTTTTTTCCTTCAAATCTGATATACCAAGAATTTTTTGGAATCATCAAAATGGTAAGAGACTGACTCAATAATGCCCACATAAATGCATGTATGGGACTACACACAATAAACATGTGGCATTAAAGTTCCAAGTATTTCTTGTCATAAATTTTGATCAGGGCATTTTATCTTCAGGGGACGTTTCTACTGATATTTTCTTCCAGACTGATAAACAGAATGAGAGAGCTCACAAAAATGTCATCTTTTTAAAAATTTCTTTGCAAAATCAAATAACAATTTTAGAGTAAGAAAAGTTATCGATACCGGTAGTAAAAGAACAACAAATCTAAGAATTGTAAAAATTGTATTCGTTGAACACAAATTGGCAAGCCTGAGATTCATCTTGGGAGGTCCTCTCCCATTTAATAAAAATTACAAATTCCTCTTTCGCTTTCGCATAACGAGATATTAAATCACACACGCACCCTAAAAATGATCAATTCATTGCATTAATTAAATACACAACCCCTACATGTATATGGAACAGATCCAACCTTTGTTACCAGTTCATTTGTATGAAAGCAGAAAAGTAAGAGAAATGGAATTGCAAAAGTTTGGACTAAATTGGACCAACAATCATATAAGGCAGTTAAAATTGCTTGAAATATGAGATTACCAAATCTATGTGAATCTCAAATTGGTAATTAGGTCAGTAGATTGTGATATAGTCATGGACAACTCTCCCACAAGTCATGTAACAATAAATATCATTAATTTCTGATTTTCTTCTATTAAGCGCTTCTCCTTTGGGGCAATACTCAAAATATATCACGAACAGTACGTTACAAGACCATCTTGTTCCCACATTTTGAAAAATTGACATTTTAGTAATTTTGTCGGTGTTTTGAACCAAATGGGAAAGTTGTCCTACATCATGTCACAGTGAAATTGCAATTTAAGCCAATTTGAAGAGCCCATATGTATAGTGATTACAACTGGTTAGAGGAACTTGTGGCATGGCCGGCCTGCCATAGTTAAGTCCAACTTAAAGTCGGCCTTAGTCTTTGTGAAACACTCCCCTTGAGCATTGACTTCTCCATGATGATGATGATGAACAGCATTCTGTTTCAAAAAACATTCAAAGGCGCGAGCTCCTCCAATAAAATTAGCATTTAAATGTCTGAAGGAAGATGTGAGTTTTGAGTGAAGCTTTGAAGTGGTCCAGGTTGTCAATTTCACGAATAGATGATGGGAGGGAATTTCACAGGCGAGGAGCAATAGAGGAAAATGATCTAGACTTACGACAGTTATTTGCAGTGAAACCCTTGGATTTCAGTTAAGGGGCACTACTTTTAGATAACGATCCCTTCTTTATCAAATATTTGGATATATCTATGAAAAGAGTTGTGACGGTATCGTAGATTATACTTCCGTCTGGACTCTTAAAGATGCTTGTTGTGTAGTACTTCACACCTTCAATCTTATCAACCACTGTCTCTATGATGATGGTGGAATTAACTGGTAAAGGCCTGCAGGAGAAAAAAAAAGCAAATATCATTTCAATTTAATTTAATGAGATACATGTACACAACATAAACATACCAATAAATAAGATACATGTATGTTCCCAATTGAAGACTTTAAGGATGTTCTGTAGTAATGTTTGTGTGCAACCTGCGCAGGGCCAGTTTATCATGCATTTACTAAGCACAATCCCGCAAAGTCAAGGCATTATGCCTACATAATCAGCTGGCCCTGCATAGCAAAGGTGCGCATGAACATAAAAGATGTTGTATTGCCCTTTAGGTGCCAAAACATGGGTGGGTCGGTCTTTTTTTTTATATAACTTTTTTTTTCACACCTCCTTTAGGCTGATATTTCTCAGTTTTGAATGCTTTAAAAAGAACAAATTCTAAAAAGCGGTAAAAAAAAAAACCTTTTTAAAAAAGCTGGCCGTACATTTCAAGATTTTGAGGTCGGTCACAAAGGGCAAAACAATTTTTTTGTTTTAAAGGCCTAACTGCAGAACGTCCTTACAAAAGCTTTACTCATTCTGTGCAAAACCCACTGGTGATTGACAAGCCTGAAGCGTATTAGACATGTCTTGCCACAGTGAAAGCTGGGCCCTGTTTCATAATATAGTATTAATGACTGCTTTGAGAGAAATGGTTGTTTTTATACGCTCAAGGGAAGGTTAGAATTGTGCTATTACCCGAGGCGTGCCGAGGGCAATAGCCCAATTGTAACCTTCCCGAGAGTGTATAAAAACAACTATTTCTCGAATATTAAAGCAGTCATTAATACTTTTATATGCCAAAAAAAAATAGACTAAATAATAAAAAATAATTTTTTTTTGTCGAAGATGGGATTTGATCTCTTGCGTACAAAAGGTGATGTAACTAAATTCAGCGCCTTAAACCGCTCAGCCATCGCGCTCTGTCACCATATCTAGCAGTTTTCTCTAATATATACATTAAAATGGATAGAAAACGGCTTCGCGTGCTGGATGCTTCGCCGCTGCTCCATTAAACGGGCCCTTCTTTTACTTTTACTTTTGCAATGCATATTGGCACGAACTTAGATCAAGATCTATCGGCAGATGTTGTTTTTTTGTTTTTGGAAGTTTATTTTCGTCTTCATGTCAACAATGCAAGATAAAATTGTCGGTAAAATCGATTGAGATTCAATTGTATTGAAATTACCGACCAATTCTTCGCACACGTACGGTATCCTCGATCGCTCAGACCATTTTTTAACATGTAAACCTATGGGGTAACCATGGAGACTGAACTATTTTCCCGGTAATCATGGTTTTTTTTTTTTTTTTTAGTTGAATATGAAGGAAGTCCCTTCGTTTATTGACCATTTAAAACAACAAAATATACAAAACAACAATACAATAGAAGAATGATATCAAATAACAAAAACAAACAAAAGTAATAATGGTCAGGGTCCCTGAGAAGCAAGACTGCTTGTAGTCGGGACCCTATATACAAGTACATTATAACATTAATATAAATCTAAATGCACACGCATGCATAACAAGCAAGCAAGCACACACACACACACACACACACAAACACACGACAGAATGGAGCAAAGATATAAGAGGAAGGAAAAATACAAGATAAAGAGCTACGAAGAGAGATCAAGATTATTTAAAGAACTGAATAAACGTAACTTACACAATACTTTAAATCTGGATAGTGTTGTGCTATTTGTAATGTTACTACTTAACAAATTCCATTCATACACCCCTGTGAATCTAATTGAATTGCGAACATAATTGAATCTAGAGAAGGGTTTATGTAAATCTTGATGTTGTCTAGTTAAATGGGTGTGGAATTTTGAGTTTGTTTGAAACATGTTAGAAAAAACTTGTTAGAAAAAACTTCTGGAAGGGCGCCTTTATTATATTTATACATAAAAATCCAGGTATTAAATCTTATCAGTTCGAAAAGAGGCATAATTTTATATTTAACAAAAAGTGGCGCGCTTGGAGTCATATAATGAGAGTTGGTCAACAGACGAACTGCTTTCTTTTGTAAAATAAACAATTTTGATAAGTTTGATTTGAAAGTATTGCCCCAAATTATAGTACAATAGTTCAGATGAGGAAGTAATATTGCATAATAAATATTAAATAATATTCTGAGGGGTAAAAAATCCTTAAGTCTATAAAATACACCAATACATTTGAGCAATTTATTACAGACACGATCAATATGTTTTTTCCAATTTAAATTTTCTTGGATGGTTACTCCTAAGAAGTCAATGCAATCTTTTCTTTCAATAGCAATATCATCAATTTTTACAAATTCAATGTCACTTAATACCTTTCTCTTCCTAGGATGGAAAATTACATATTTAGTTTTTTCAAAATTAAGTTGCAATTTATTACATTTGAACCAATTATTTAAAATACACAATTCTGAATTCACAGTGAAAATCAATTGAGATATGTTAGCATGGGGGAACACAACAGCAGTGTCATCCGCAAAGAGAGAAAACTTCAATAATTTTGATGAATTAACAATGTCATTTACATATAAAATAAACAAAAGTGGCCCCAAAACTGAACCCTGAGGGACACCGATATCAATATTCATGAGATTGGATTCGACACCATCGACCACCACATACTGTTTACGACTTAATAAATAACTTTGAAACCATTGAAGCGGTATACCACGAATACCATAGTAATTCAATTTTTTCAAGAGAATGTGGTGATCGATGGTATCAAAAGCCTTGGATAAATCCATAAATACACCACAACAAAAATTACCACTGTTTAATTCTTGTAAAATGTAATCAGTAAGATTCAATATACTAAGTGAAGTACTGAAATCTTTACGAAAACCAAATTGGTCATTAATAAGGATTTTGGATTTATTTAGAACTGTTTTAGCCATGGTTACTGGGAATTTTACAGAAATAGTTAAAGTTTATGAATGCAATTTCGACCAATCAGACGGCTGGATTTCTTAAGTGAGGTATATAAAACTTGATATCAATAACAAGTTACAAGCTACTGTTATAAGCTACTGAAATCATGGCATCTGATTGGCTGAGATCGAATCTATCATAGAAATTTTAGCAATTGGCTCCAGGGGTAGGTCTGAGAAGAAGCAGCACTTTTAAGTTTTAATCATTCAAATTTCAAAGAAATGGAATTTTCTTGAATTTTTCAAAGCACCATCTTGTATGATAATCTCCATGGATACTTGATGATTAATCAAACAATAAAAGCTCTTTGCATAAGAGGTAAGATGCTGTTTTGATTTTCTGTTCATTATTTATTTATTGATATAAGTTTTTCTCAAGGCTTTATTCAAAGATACTTCACATACTTTTTATAGTTGACGCTGAGATTAGCAGTGACGCACTTTATATCAAGTCCGTTAAAGATGAGTACCCCAGCGCATGCATCACCAACTGTAGCAATAGCTCCTCCGTGAACATGCCTATCAAATGAAAAATGAGAAGAAACAAGACTGCCATATATACACTCAAAGACAGATCCACATAGAGGGAAAAGTTGGCCCCCTATTGCAACGAAGATTGAAAGTTGCCACCTGTTACACTAGCCAGAGATCATACCTTTGAATATCCCCCCTCACAATATTAAGCAATATAAACATATTTAAAATACAGAGATGATTACAAAATCCATTACAAACATTGGGGGGGGGGGGGGGGAAAGGGGGAGGAATCTGCCCGTTTCCAGCTGTTACACCAAACATATTTAAAGGTAAAGACCAGTTTTGGAAACGCCCCCTCTCAAAAAATTAAATGGAAGCTCTTATTACCAATCATGTGAAAGAATATGTTTTGACTAATACGTGATCATACTAATTTTGCTGAGAAACCGCCTACTAATTGACATATTTTGTACATTATTTGATCTATTTGGACCTGATGGATATAACGCACGTGTCGCGAACGTGACGCGTACTCTCATATACATCTTTCTGTGTACAGTGCTTGTAACTTTACCAAGACTGGGCCAAATTTATTATCATTTTGATTATTCCAGAACCTTGCAGTATACACCAATACTTATATGCTAGATGATCAATCTTTTCTGATCGATTCCACAATGTTTCTTTCACAATGCAATCGCATGACCATTACTGGTCTTTATCTTTAACCAGGCCTTCTTAATAGGGTTAAAGATAAAGACCAGTAATGATCATGCGATTGCATTGTGAAAGAAACTTTGTGGAATCGATCAGAAAAGGTTGATCAGCATATAAGTATTGGTGTGTACTGCAAGGTTCTGGAATCATCAAAATGATAATGTAAAGGGTACATGAGCATTTGTCTACATCAATAACCCAATTCTTGTAATGGCCAAAATTAAACTGATTGAATCTTTGCGCAGCACAAAACGTACAAGCCTTCGGTACAAGGGTCTGAAAATCAGACTATTACTAAAATTATTGTAATTACTCAAGTCGTTCGACAATTATAATGGTCATTATTTTCCCACTTAAAGACATTTTCAAGCACTTATGTTTTGAGGGAAGTTCTAAATTAGTATTATCTTTCAAATGCTGTAGGAATTTAACCTTTTCATTGTTTTGGCCTGCAAATGGGACTTAGTACCTATGGGATTGGGTATCTTTGTCTCAGATTCTAAAACAAAATCCTGGATTTAGCTCATAATGCAATCATAATTGTAAACCTTTAGGTCAGTCAGGAATCCAATGAATTTTACAAGCCTATCGCCTGTCTGATTATTAAGATATTTATGATTGGAATTCAAAATTTCAAAAACCTTTCTCACAACGTTTTTTATAACACTTCAGTCTACTGGGGAAAATGAGTATGGTATGAGGCACTTCATGATCATTTTGAAGCGCAATTTTAGTGTAGGGCTTCAATATTACACCATATCACAGACACTGATAAGTTAGGGCCATGCATCTCAGATTTGTAAGACAGTGTTAAACAATACCTTTAAAGGATTATTCAACTATATCTATATTGGTGTTAAAAGGCCGGGTTGTCATGGTGATAATTAGGACTGGAAATTGATAAGTTTGCAAAGCCAATGGTGTGACACGAAGCAATCCTTCCCTCAATCGGCACTTCATGCATTCTGCAAAAATGCATGTGTGGCAAATGAACACCAGGTACCCGTTTCACAAAGCTTTTTTTCAATGACCAATGACAAAAATCAGTGACAAATCTGCTGACAACCAATCAGAAGCAAGGATTTCAGTAGCTTATAACAAAAACTGTCATTTGTCACTGATGACAAGTTTTGTGAAACGCCCCCCAGTACATGCAAAGAGGGTAAGAAAGCAATTGAAGGTAAAGACCAGTATTGGAAACGCCCGATTTTCAAAAAATGAAATGCAAGCTCTTATTACCAATCATGTGAAAGAATATTTCTTATCATTTTGATGATTCCAGAACCTTGCAGTACATCTATGCTAGATGATCAACCTTTTCTGATCGATTTCACAATGTTTCTGTCGCAATGCAATCGCATGACCAGAACTGGTCTTTAGCTTTAAAGGGAAAGTCCACCCCCAAAATAAGTTTGTTTCGATAGAGGCAGAATAATAAGAAAATCAGGTGAGTGAAAGTTTGAGCAAATTCTGAATGAAAATAAGAAAGTTATGAATTATTGAAGTTGTGATCAATCAAATACAAATTGGCAACTCTGTGACTTATTATACGAGCTCTCCTTCATTTGCTTTGTGCATAATATTCCATAAAATCATGTTTTCTTCGTTATTGATGACGGAATATATATTTGTTCCTTGCAGGGGGAGTATAGAAACATATTTGCAATTATTATATTTAGGGTGCATGTATGGTTGAAATTTTTATCGAGGAAAAATGAAAATTTTAGATTTTTTTAGTACTGAGCAAATGGAAGTTGAGCTCGCATGATACGTCATAGAGTTGCCAATTTGTGTTTGATTGATCACAACTTCAAAAATCCTAACTTCCTTATTTTTAATCGGAATTTGCTCAAACTTTCACTGACTTGTTTCTCTCATTTTTCTACTCCTATTAAAACTAACTTAATTTCAGGGTGGACTTTCCCTTTAAAGTGTTGACCAAACTAACCCTGGAGGTCCCTGGACCTTCTCTCCAAACTGCACTATAGTTATGCTCTTCTTCTCCTCCTCGTTGAAGAACATGACGTACTCGAACGTCGCACCGACTTCTGGGTGATTCAGCGTGAAGCCCGTCACGTTCCTCTCTCTGTCCACCGAATTCAGCATCTCAGTCCATCCCTTAGAACACTGGAGGAGCTGGGCTTGGTACTCCTTGTAGAGCTCCCTTGTCCTCGGAGTCCAGCCAGGAAGGTCTCGTTCAGACGTACTCTTTGGATTAATTGCCTGTGCACAAAGGGATCTCTGTACCACGGCAAACAATTTGGTTTTAAAGTTTAAACGATAACAATTTCTTAATAAAAATCAAACAGAGAGCTGTATTATAATTTTGATTTCTTTGTGTCATGGAGCCATGGAGAGAAAATGGTGAAAATAGCACAATGTTTTTCTTGTTATAAAACAGGAGCATTATACCTTCATAGTATATACAGTCATGTACTTCAAGTCTATATACTCTCACAAAAATAGTTTTGGCAAATAAAACCTTACTTAGCTCTCTTTCAATTCTTAAACTTCCTTCCTCATCTTCTTGTTCTTTCCCTCCTCTTCTTTTTTATTTCTTCTATTCTTTTTTATTTCTTCTCTTCTTCTCTTCTTCTTCTTCTCCTCCTTTTTCTTCCCCCTCTTCTTCTTTATATGAGAAGCATGGTTCATTAAATTTACCTTTAAAATCAGCTGCGAAGGCACAAAATTGTCTCCAACGAGGACCAAAGAAAACATTTTGTGGAGTTTGTTCCTGTATGTTGCAGCTCCCAGCGCCAGCCCGCCACTGAGACACAGCCCCGCCATCATCAGAGCACTGTTCGATTTTCCCATTGAAGATGTACGTGCACTCCTGCTCAGAATCCTAAATAGGGAGGATGTTTGGTTGGAATGCCGTTCATGGCGTACCAACTGCTGTAAGAATGTGTTGCACAGCAGTCTTGAAGACATTGCGAATTGTCCTGAGTCAGAAGTTGAGAAAGTAACTGCTGATCACTTCTCTGATAAATGACAATTACAGTAGCTCTGCCTCTGCTTGAAGTGTCTGTTTCTGCTGAACTGGAGAACAAAAATGAAATCAAATTAGCAATCAGCATTTAAAAGGATTTAACAAAATCTGCTTTAAAGCCCAAGTCCACTCCAAAAATAATATACTTTTAATACTAATAATAGATGCAAAAAAACAAGAGATACAGAGCCAAACAAAATTATTAAAATCGAATTACTAATAAGGAATTTATGATTATTTTTTTAAAGAATGAAAAACTATGGAATTTAGAAAATCACTGCACAACTTTCTGATTTGGTCATCAGTTTGTGACGTCGTTGCCTCACTATTTATCAATTGCTTCGTTATATTTTTATCCCAGTAAATTTCCCTTTTTATCACGAAAAAATTTGATTTTCCCATTTTGCCCAGGTTATATGCCATCACAGACTCATAATTGAGTTGCCAATTTGTCTTGTGATTTTCAAGTTTTTCATGCCATTACAAATTTACCACTTTCAGTTATCCGATTTCGCTGAAACTTTTTGGTTGGTTTTTCTGATTTTTGTACTCTAGCTAATATTGTTCTATTGAAAGTAAATTATTTTTGAAGTGAACTTGCCTTTTATGTTTAAGTCATTGCTTGTAGTCTAATCATTCTAATAAATAAAAAGAAAAGAAAACCTACTGCTTCACTAAATGAAACTAAATAAAGAATGAAAATGTCTTGGATGCTTTACGTAATTATGATCAGTAGTAATTCTGAATCCTCAGTCCTAGCTGTGCTGTGCCTGTGCGGGAACCTGAATTTGGAAGAAATCACAATACCGGTACACAAAACAGTGTCATTTGAGGTTAAAAAAAGTCCTCAATTATAGAGTCCAACAAACAGATTTTTCTGTCCTTTATTAGGTAGACCTCTATACATGTAACCAAGAAAGAGCTTTATCTGCAGATACGATGTAGATCTAATGATTAGACTGCTACTGACTGCTAGTGTAAGGCCTACCTGAATTGAAGTCAAGAGGCGAAAATTCTGGCAACATATCTAGATAGATTGATCCGACTATGGCAAAAATGTCAATGACTGGCAATTTTCATTCTATTTGTAGCCACATGATTTCACTATTCACTCTTGCGAATTGCATGTGTACTACCGTACCGGTACGCGGTGCGTATAGCTGTAGTATAGCCTAGCTAAGCCTGGATTTTACGGAGTGAACTTTGCACACCGGCGATATACCCGCAAATAGACAAAGGAATGAAACGTTTCTAAAAAATGATGTACGCTCAACGCCCACATGGACCGGAACGGAGCTTACCTCAGTGACTAAAGTCAGTGCTTGCTGCTGGATCTTGAATTCGAATGGAGTGCTCCTTCGGCCTTCCGAATTCCGCTATATGGGCGGAGAAAACTATACGGTACGTCTAGCGTATTGTGCCTTACTACTGCGGCACGGTCACGGCGGACGCAGCAGCAGGCTGCTGTGTGATGAAAAGCTCCGGTGAAAAGCTAGCTGAAGATGATTAGAAAATCTCTGGTCTTTCGGCTGTGCGCAGACGGTATGGCCGTACTTTGTCTAATGTTACAAATAATTCATCTACACGATCATGAATAGCTAGCTAAATAGCTTTTAGTTTATCAGCTTTTATGCACCGACGATTCCAAGAAAGTCGAGATATCTGCAGATGTTGCGCGCGCTCTAGATCCTTTATTCTTTTTGTACGTTCGTCTCCAACGTTGCCACTAGCACTGCACTCTCAGTGCATGCAGCGCAGCTAGCTAGCTTATCATGCTTATGAAGTTATGCTGCGCTTTTATTTGACCATCTTCTTAAACTCCCTTGAGGAGAATGTGTTCTATGTGTTTATATACAAATAAGATGAAATATAGACCCTATACATGTCCACGAAAAACTACATTCTGTACTTTATGTAGGTCTTAAGGTCTTAACCATTTAAATTTGCGTTGTCCAGGGAAGCGTAATTTCCTATACATGTCAATTGGCCAACATAATAATGTGTTAATTCCTATTCGTGGAGACTAGGATAGGGAATTCCCCGAACGTCCCATCGTTTACGCCCGGCGTTTACGTAATTGTTATGAAACCTTGATGCTGACAATGGTGCTCATGTTGTGTGGTAAACAATGTTATGACCTGCAACCCAAAGGTTATTGACGTGTATATTTAGTGTTTGTTTTTTGTGTGAATGAACGTGCATGTGTGTGTTTTGCATTTGTTATTAACGCTTTAAAGTATTTATACACCTTTTGTTATAATTTGTGCACTTTTCCGGGGGGGGGGGGCGATATCCTCCCTAAAGAAATTGAGGGGGAACGTGCCCGGGCCCCTCCCCCGGATCGCCGCCATAGACATACGTGTATTTTCAAAATACATGTAGGCCTACTTCTTTTTTCTTCCTAAAATAAGTCATTTTTAGTGATATGGGCCAACAAATATCCCTCCTTACTAATTAACTTAAAATCTTAGACGTATAATTGAGTCTCGTTAAATTAGTTTGCCTCTTCTGGATCCACCACTGGAGTGCATGATGCATGTGCCATATGTATAGGGGTTGGGGGGGTTGGGCGGGGGACAGTTAACACGTTTTCTGTATTGCCTATTTCCTTTTTATTTCTTTAATACCGTTTAAATTCATTGCATTGTACTGTTTGTATATAATTTTTATTTTGATTTTTTATATCGTAGCTTTGGAACCCTCTTAAAACCAGCAATATTATGTTGTTCATTGATTGCTGAGCAGAGCTATCAATTCGTATGTATTTTATATAAGCTTTCTTTATATGTTTCATGTTTTTGTTTTTATTATACCTTACGGTGAACAAATACTATTTCTACTACTCTATACTACTACTACTACTATACTATATATGAGGCAACAAAAAGTCCTAGAAAATTGCTAATTATTTTAAAAATCATCTATGAACAGTAAATACGGTTATACATCTTATGAAAGAGTATTTATCCCAAATCATTTGGTATCATTTGTGTGCGGTATGTGTTCACGCTTAGATGAACAGGAGACATTGTTTAAGCAAAAAACGACTTGCGCCAAAGTATACATAATTATGTGATGTTTGAAATCTAACAATGGGGATTTGGGTACTATAATTCGGTCTTTGCGGATCCAAATAACATCAGTAACAAAATTAATCATGCCACATACATATCAAATATCAAAGTGTGTGTGTGACTTTGTTTCTGCAAAAAGCAAATGCAAAGCATCTCATTTGATATGTTTCCATTCTCTCAGGCTTTATTGATACTTTTTTGCGCAAGTCGATTTTTGCACTCTCGCAAGACAATGCCTCTCTTGTTCATCCAAGCGTGAACACAATCACATACCAAACACACATTAACCAAACGATTCGGGATATAACACTCTTTCAAAACATTTGTGATAACCTTTCGTTCATTGCTGACTTTTTAAATTGATGACATTTTCAGTGTGTAAACTTTTTTTTTTTTACTCACACCGTCACACGACCGCTATACAAGTTCAATGTCAACAGACGCAGGCTAGGCGCCTGTCCAATCATGTTGGGCCCGTATTCAATAACTTTTCACGCTCTTTATTTATAGCGCTTGATCGTCCAGCCTCAAAATATCCGACTAATTGTGATCTGAAATTGCAATCTCCGATCAATACACATGCCACGTGTTAGCTCCGAATTCATCTATATAGGCTGCATCGAGACTGCGTGCCGTGTAATATCCGAATAAAACAATCGTAATATCATGGAAGTATGTAATTCTGCATTGGAGATTAAGTGAACAGCAGGTGTAACAACCGTGTAAAATGAGAGGAAAATGGCGTCCATTATTCGGACTCGTTCGTTCGTTCTCCTGCTCTCAAGTGCGGCCCTGTTAATAATATATCTTGCTTTCGAACGATATTTTTGGAGAGTGGCACCAGTGGTCTCGGCGTTATCGGGAGGAGCCGCCGGAGTCGGGTTTCAGCCTTCACGGAACCCGCGTCGACCACCACATATCGTGTTCATATTGGCAGACGATTACGGTTTCAATGACATCGGCTACAGGAATCCAGCAATGAGGACTCCAAACCTAGACTATCTCGCTGCTGAGGGGATCAAGTTGGATAATTACTATGTTCAACCAATATGTACTCCGTCACGGGCACAGCTGATGAGCGGAAAATATCAGGTCATTATTTTATTTTATATAATTTTTATATAATGTATATCCGATTAAGTTTTTTAAAAGTCTTAAAATGTACGTACCGCTAAAACTGTTGGAGTTAAGACAGGAAACATGATCTCTGATTCATTGGGGGGGGGGGGGGGGGGGAGGGGTTATAATTATAGCTATATAGGGTTTCAATTATAGCAAAAGGCGATCAAGCTATATATACGTGCATTTGAGTTGAAAACAGAGTAGACTAAATAAAATACTTTTTTATGTGGCACCTTAACTCAGTATGCCTTTCTGGGTGCCGAAGACAGCTTGACGGATTGCATCAATAGTACTTTTTCCTCGGGAAGAGGTGTTTTATTAATTTTCTTTTTGTTTGTTTAAATGTTAAGGACCTTCATAACCCCTCCCCCCCCCCCCCCGGGGGGGGGGGGCGGGGTCACAAGTTTTATTGAGACATAATATGGGGATGTGCCGCTCTAATGCCATGGGTCCCATTTTTTTAACAAATAATATCATTAAACTTCATGGGTCCGTTTTCCAAAATTTCCAAAATTGTCGGGTGTTTGCATGGCGAACACTCGACAATAATAATTATTGTGGAAAATGGCCTATATTTCGAGAAAAATCTGCCAAATGATCAATTTAAAAGGGAAGGGGTTTCGAGGATTGAGCGGTACATCCCGTCCAAACAAATCTGAGTACCACCCCCCTCCCCCCGGCATAAACCAGGTAGTTTCTTTCTTTGTGTGTTTGTTAATTTTGCTTTTATACAACTCTTAGATGGCAGTCGTATTTTCTGTCTGATGTACATGACTGTTGTGATGATAGAAATCCAAGTTAGAAATGAACTAAGGTCAAATACAAGTTACTCTTTCAATACTTTATTATCAAAAGTAAAATAAATTGATTGGAGATGGAGATGACCATTGGCTTATATACACTTTTTCAAAAATTCCTCTTTTTAAGCATACCGTATAGTACACAAAATTATTTGTTTTTAAAGTGCCCCTTTCTATAGAGCGCCTATAAAGTTGTGTTATCATTTCTTCCCCGCTTGTCAGAAAATGTTTCTGAAATGTGCCCCCCGCCCCCTTAACAGAACCCTGAACCTGCCCCTGCTTCTATCAAACATGATTATCATCTCACTGAAGAGTTTCACCTGATTGGCGTTGTAACTTTCGGAAGCAAAATTTTACAGAAACACCTAACTTTTAAACCGTTGAAGAAAGAACTATAATGATAATTTGCTATGCAATACACCGGTTTACTAATATTATATTCAGATGTTATTGATATACTTTTTCAAACAAATGTTGTTTCTGACAACCTAAACGCTTGCCCGAGGATTGCCCGGAATAGCAACAAGGAATGTATGCAGATTGGATTCCAAGTATTGTAGTTTATTCATTAATTACGGGGGTAATGGAATAACTCATCACTATAGGCCCCCATGCAGGAAAGAAACATCCATAAATGTGAATATTATGTCAGTAATTAAACCGGTCTATTTTACATCAACACAGATTCATACGGGGCTCCAGCATTCCATTATTTGGCCTCCTCAACCCAACTGTTTACCCCTCGACCTTCCGACCCTCCCCCAGAAGCTGAAGGAAGCTGGCTACGCCACTCACATGGCAGGGAAGTGGCATCTTGGCTTCTACAAGAAAGAGTGCTGGCCGACGAACAGAGGCTTCGACTCATTTCTCGGTATAAAAATAGATCGAAAAGAATACGATTATAGGTTATATACCCTGATTTTGTAATAAGGCCTTTAAGAAAAAAGATGTATTACCCTTTATGTGCCAAAACATGGGTCGGTCGGTCGGTCGTTTTTTTTTTTTTTTTTTCCCCTCTTTGGGCTGATACTTCTAAGCTTTGAATGCATTAGTACATTTTTTTCTTCTAAAAAACAGTTTTGAAAAAAAAACGGTTTTTTTAAAAAGCCGACCGTAGATTTCAAGATTTTTGGGTCGGTCGCAAAGGGCAATACAACATATATTTTGTTAAGGCCTAATGTATATACACACATTATAGGCCGATTATGTCCGATATTAGGTCCACGTATTATTATAGGCCCTCTATAGATAAAAGACCCTCCTGAGGCATCCTTTTTTTTTGGTCATTTTGGTGATTACAACTTTTCAAAAAATAAATCGGGTCCCACCGGTTAGAGCTGAGGATTGAAATGGGTGTAACAAAATGTTGCAAAATTGTTTTGGAGTTTCTGATAGTGTAACTCTATTATAAAATAAGTATGTATTAAAAGGGAGCTGTTGCTGAGCTATATAACGCCATGAGCGTCCCTGGACGACGTGTGCGCTCTTTAAGTTTACACTTTTATTATTATTATTATTAAACAGCTTTCTCATTTGTTCTCCAATTTCATTCACAATTTCATATGTCCACCCTTTTTCTGCTTTGCTGTATATAGAGTAGTTTGCTATCAAGTTGTGTTTCCTTTCAATTCACGACAGTTAAGATTGAAGTAAGCTCTATTTACAACATGACTTAGCGTGTGTCCATTAAAATGTAAATATTAATGTTGTTACCTTTTTGGTTTCCTGTCAGGTATATTGCTAGGAAAGGGGGATCATTTCCTGCACACGGAAGAGGGTGGTGGTGGACCCTACCCTTCAACATGGCCGTGGGAGGGGCTCGATTTCAGGGATGGTCTACAATCAACGAATGCATATTCAGGGATCTACTCGACACATGTTATTGCAGAGCGGGTAGAAAATATCATTGAAAAACATGACAAGGACAAGGTAATAATTGTAGGGGTAAATACAGGATTTATACATTTCAGAGGGGGTTTGGCACAATGCTCCAAAATTACATAAAAACGGGCGTTTTTGTGTGTACTCAAAATATGCCAATCGGGTTTCAAAAAGGGGGAGAACACGGGCTAGCTCCTCTGCAATTGGTTATATGATGTGATGATAATAGAATCTGTTAACGTGCCAATAAAACGTGCAAATTAATAGAGGTTTTATTTCAAAAAAAATAAACAAAAGTTACACAATCATAGTAGAAGAGAGGAGTGGTGGCTGAAGGAAAAAGCGGGGTAAGATCGCGCTGCACACTACATTTTTGCCTGTGCCGAAAGAAAAGAGTCACTTTGTTTCACATGAATCATTCCGCATAATAGGTTTTATAATTTAAATTTTCTATATATAAAACTTATTTCTAATGCTTTTTTTATCACGGTTTACTTGTCTACGATACAGCCTCTGTTCTTGTACGTATCGTTTCAAGCCGTACATACCCCACTGCAAGTTCCAGAAAGCTACCTCCAGCCATTCGAGTCTTCAATCCAGGATGAAAAGAGACGAATCTATGCGGGAATGACATACTGTATGGATGAAGCAGTAGGCAACATCACAAAGAAGCTGAAGAAGCAAGGGCTGTGGGACGATACCGTATTGGTATTTTCATCTGGTAAGTCTCTCCGGCGAATGAGCTGCCTGCGTGGCTATATTAGGTATGGTGGTCATTTCTAAGGAACTTCTCTCGCTATTGAAGGACATCCATCATCCTCTTGTAATGGATGAGTCTTGCCTTCATACCGATATCTTGCAATGCACCCGTGTTTTAATGACAATAATAATAATGGTGGCTTCCTATATAGCGCACATGTCCGTCACGTTGTGACGCTCCTGGCGCTGCCCCGTGTTTTGAGTCTTATAGCAATGTCTTTTCAACTGTGTTCTTTTCCGCACAGGACTCCACTTCTCCTTGGTTTCATCTTCCTTCGGGAATTCCACAAGGCAGTGTCTTTGGTCCCAAACTATTCCCTTTCATTTTTTCGAAAATCTCTGTGTAGATGAACTATTGCTATTTTTAAAAGTAGTACATGACTGTATAGGCCTATCTTTTTCTTTTCCTCTCAGACAATGGTGGCAACATCGATCAGGGTGCCAGCAACTGGCCCCTACGCGGGTCCAAGACCACCTTATGGGAAGGAGGTGTCCGCGCTGTAGGCTTTGTGACCAGTCCACTCCTTTCTGAGAGAATGAAAGGTACAGTCAGTCGAGAATTGATCGACATAAGCGACTGGTACCCAACTCTAATAGAGGGTGTCGCTGGATGGACGCTGAGCGGTACAAAACTAGATGGATACAACATCTGGGAAACCTTAAGGTGAAAAAACTTTAGCCGTTCATAATGTTGACCTTAATTGAACAAATTAAGTTGTTCTTAACTCGAAATGGCAATATAAGATTTGATGGCTATATCAACGGGAAAAACACGCTCATTCAGACATGAACAATTGCGTTTACGAAATGAAAGGCTTTGGAATGAGCGGTCTCCTGTTTTCACGATAAAGCTATTTAAACATTGATCGTAGTTAATATTATGTATCCTATCCCAAATTTACTCCAAGTTCCTAGTACTTGTAACATTGATTAGCGCTGAACGGAGATGTAAAGCGGTTTCAAGCACACTTCCCGCTCTCGCCCCTGACGAATGAAGAGAACATGAGAAGAAGATGAATCAAGACCCCGTCCATTACACTTTTTCAACGTTTGTTCACCAATATAGGCCTAGAGTAAGACGTTTGCTCCAGGAACCAATGTTTACGCCACTGGTCGTATTTCACTCTCGTTTTATATGGTAACGCTGCACACACTTTATTGTTCCGATTCAAAATGGCTGCCATCAGCAGTAGATCGCATAAAACATAATATTTTATTTATGATGTCGATTTTGGCTTCATTATGTTCTCTCTACACCAATCTACAGAAGTGGAAAACCTTCTGCAAGGGTTGAACTGCTGCATAACATCGACCCTCTCATCACCCCTCCCTCGACATGGCCCAATGATTCTATCGCAGCGGCTCATAACTCTTTCTCTACTAGGACGTATGCTGCACTGCGATACAAGGATTGGAAAATCGTCACCGGATATCAAAGTAAATTCATTTATTTATTTATATATTTTGTTAAACAATCTGTTCAAGGTTGTGTGCATTGCAGTCGTGTAACGTAAAATAAATACAGAAAATATGCTTAAGTACCAAATGAATATAATAATGAATTGGTACTTAATCTTTATCATTCCATTAGTATCCTGATATCAGGGCAAAATTTGATAGACTTCCACGGTGCGTTATAGTGCTTGGGGCGCATAAAACCAAGGGTATAATATACCAACACCAACATGATTTTTGTTACACAAGGCCGCATACTTGTATTCTCTATTTCCGTTGGCAGATTTTCCCTTCGACATCCTACTTTGCCTTTACCAATTACCTCTGCCCCCTCCCCCTCCTCCCGAGTCCCCCCCCCCCCCTCCCCCAACAAAAATGCAATACCATTACCATTTATCACACGTTCCAACTGAATTATTTCATGGTTTGTATTTAGATCAAAACTTTGACTTCAATAAATTTTGCTAATATTTTCTCTCATTTCAGGTATCAATAATGGATGGTACTCGCCAGCAGAATCCAGCGAGCAGTCAGTCGCCTCTGAGATCCTGCCGGGGAAATCCGTCTGGTTGTTTAACATCACGCGCGATCCCAGGGAGTTCCACGATCTGTCGAACCAAGAACCTGCGATAGTGAACTTTCTTCTGGAGAGGTTGGAGTCTTACCAGTCTGGCGCTAGCCCGGTCCTCTACCCCGATATAGACACAAAGGCGAACCCAGCCGGACACGGCGGCATTTGGGACAGTTGGGAATAAATTCCATATAGCTAAAATAATAATAATGGTGGCTTCTTATATAGCGCACATGTCCGTCACGTTGTGACGCTCCTGGCGCTGCCCCGATTATTACCCTGGCTTTAGCAAGGCAGCGACTACGGCGCTCTAGCATTTCAAGGAATCAATTCCTGCCAGGTACCCATTTACATCACCTGGGTTGAGTGTGGCAAATGTAGATCAATGGCTTGCCAAAAGACATTAGTGCCGCGGCGGGACTCGAACCGCGAACCTCAAGACTAGTCCGTCGATGTATCCACTCGACCACGACACCTATCGAGTGGAAATCTAATCCACATGGGATTCTGTCTTTCCGCGAAACACTGCATGATTATATATATATATATATATTGGGGGGGGGGGGGGGGGGGGGGGGGGGGTAAGCGGACAACTTTTTTTTTTTTTTTGGTCTCGAAATTTGAAAATTTGAAAAAAAAATTCGTTGGGGGGGGGGGGAGGGGTTAGGTCACTTTACGTTAGCCGTGGGCATAACTTTTTTTTTTTTTTTTTATTTAAAAAAAAAAAGGGGGGGGGGGTCTTAGTTTTTTTAGGGGGGTTTACACACATAAAAATACGAAAGGGGGGGGTTTGAACCCCCCCCCCCCCCCGCGTACGCCCCTGCTCCAGGCGCATAGCTAGGATTTTATTTTAGGGGGCGGTATTATCACTTGCAGAGCGGGTGAAGCACGCTTTTAGCTAGGGGGTGGGTGGAGGGAGGAGGAAAGCGCGAAAGCTTTGCCGTTTCATTAAAGGGGCATGTTCCCCTTATTCCAGAGGGCGTTCAAAATACGTACGCGCTGGCGGACGGTGCTATAGCTGCCTATTGACTTGAACAGAATACGACTCTTACGCAGATGGCATGTTCCGATATAACTACACTGACGGGAACGTGCCCCTTTAAACTCTAGTGAAAGAAGGAGATTCGTTGTAGGCCTACCGTTCTCGACTCTTAATCCTTGTCTGAATTCAGTCCCCCCCCCCCTTCTGCGCGAAGCGCGGAACCTTTGACGTTTCATTAAACTATTAGAGAAAGAATTAAGACGATTCGTTGTACCGTTCTCGACTCTTAATCCTTGTCTGAATTTTCAAAAATACTTCTTTGTCTGCTCCTTTTTCTTCCTACGTGCAATTACTTTTTCTTTTCTTTTTTTTTCTCTCTCTCTCTCTCTCTCTCTCTCCCTCCCTCCCCCCTTTTTTGGGGGGGGGGGCGACCCCTCCCCCCCCCCCTCACTGTCTACGCGCATGCGTCACTCAACATATCATATCAAGGTTTCCATGGAAGTAACATTCTGAGTCATATTCAACGGGGCCCAGGACGTCCTGAATCATGCAGTTTATAGAAATAATAACATAAATTAAATCCATTCAAGATTTTCGAGGGCTAGAGAGAACGATAGAGAGCGAGAGGAATGGGAAGAAAATATTAAAGAAAGAAAGAGAGAGAGGATCGAGAGAAAGTCATTCTCACTCTTCTTATTTCACGCAAACAAAATCAGCTTTGAAACCGCTTATAAAATTATGTGTTCATCCGATAATACAATCGTTTGTGTGTTTCGTTATTTCATTTGTGTATTGGGTTTTTATTTTTTATATAAGTTACAGACAGCATCGGCTGTTTGTTTTCCACAGTGATAAAGAGAGACAATGCTTACCACATTGAATGAACATAAACATTAGGATCACCTGACACACCCTAGATCAATGCACGTGACCAGTTTTTAGCTTTATGTAAAGACGCATGTATTACACACGGTATATCTAGATGCCCCAAATCAGAATGATTTAAGAATTTATGACAAAATGTTATTAATTTCTTAATTTTAGTTTGCAATTTACACTTTTCGGTTCATAAATTCCTCAAAATATTATAAAATGACAAACTTTTATTCATGAAATTATTATTTTTGTTTGAAATAAAGGCTACCTATAGCCCTGTCATGTGACCCAAGCGCCCAGACCAGTGGCATGATAGTGTTGGAGTCGTCGCGGTGGGCGGTGATATTTATGTGAAATTCAGGATGGATTTCTTTTTGTTTTGCTTAGCCTTCCTTACATTTTCGAACTTTTCCACGTTGCATGCCTTACCTCCAAATATCGTGTTTATCCTAGCGGATGATTATGGATTTCATGACATAGGCTACCACAATAACGACATCATAAAAACACCAAATTTGGACGCGCTCGCCAGTGCTGGAGTCAAGCTCGAAAATTATTACGTGCAACCGATCTGCACACCAACGAGAAGTCAGCTTATGAGTGGCAAATATCAGGTAACTTCAAAGTTTTTAAGCGTCCTATATGCTACAAAGGAAATCCCCTATAAGTAAACATTTGATAAAACGAAGGTTAGAATAAATTTATGAATATGAAGTTATGAACATGTAATATACTTCGTATAGACCCTATATTTGTCTGTGTTTCACTGTTTCTGTTTGTGTCTTGAAAAACGATGAAAGTTGTATGAATTCTGAAAAGATTTGAAATTAAAATGTTGCCTATTAAATATAGTAGACAGAAATATAACAACCATCTGGCATAATCATATTGAGAGGAGTTCTTTGATAACCGACTCTTGTCAAATATAAATGATAATATTATAATGATAAGAAGAAGAAGGAAGAGAATGAAGAGACAACAATTAATAGAAGAGATTAGAGAAAAGTCTATTTTAATTTCCAATGTTTTTTTAATCAATCAAATAAAACTTAGATTTAGTTGTGTCAACATTGACTGATATAGTCATATAGCGGCAACCAACAACGGCAGCTTGCTCGTGCACTTCTCATCTCATTAGAACCACAAAAGACACAACACAAGGTATTTTATTTTGCAATTCAGCCGGCACGGCAGCCGCTACTGCTAGTTGATTGAAATGAGCGAGCTCCATAAAAATTTGTTTATTCTCTTGCAGATTCACACCGGTCTGCAGCATGGCATCATCTGGCCCCCTCAACCCAACTGTCTTCCTCTTGGTGACCCCACCCTGGCAGACAAACTCACCCAGGCGGGATACGATTCACATATCACAGGGAAATGGCATCTAGGTTTTTACAAGAAGGCTTGCTGGCCGACTAATCGAGGTTTCAAATCTTTCCTAGGTCAGTCATAGACGATTAAGCTCTTTCTGACTCTTAGATCGGCACTCCGTTTGGCGGTGTTGACTTTCTGGATAAAAAAAATAATACATAAATGACACCATTTTGAGTGGTATATTAATGTACCGGTAATGTCCTCTAGCCATTTTTTATTCAGTTTTGCTTGCACTGTAAATTACTGATCATAAAGAAATTCTGCAGTTTGCCTCTGTGAAATAAGACTACAACTAAACATGAACAACCCGATGCGCTGCCAGAGATTCCCGCCTGAGAGTCTGTGACACAGGCATTACTTCCTTACACCCCATGTTTTCAATCTTTGAAATAGGTAAATTTCTGCAAATTCAGCTTTAAGCTGTAATGGATTTTATCTCCCAACATTTTTGATGAACTACCCGGTAGGTACATGTAGGAGTGGACAAGAAGAATAATTGGTACCAATTTAAGGAGACAAAGCTGATTTATTCAATCCTAAATAGCATTTTATCTCCCAATAATAATATTTATTTTTACTTCTATATTTGCATGTTAACATACTAACATTTATTGAATTGAATTGAAATGTTTTATAATTCTCTCAAATCTTTAGAAATTTCTCTAACAAAGTTGTAAATTTTATATTGTATACCAGGGCCCTGCTTATTAAGGGTATATCCCTCCATTTTTATGTTTATATTATTATTTAATACAATGTGTCAATACTGTGTTATGTTTGTTCTTTTTTAAAGATGGAAAATAAATTGAATTCAATTGAATTTAATTAAATATGTCACATGGAAAGAATGATAATCATCAAATCGTGTGTTTAAACATTCGTCGTCTTGCTTTAGGTTATCTTGCCGGTAGTGAGGACTACGTCACACACAGCCGTGGTTATGTCTTCAACAGTGAACATTGGCATGGTCTTGACTTCAGGGATGATCTGGAGCCGGCTTCAAACTACAGCAGCATCTACTCCACCCACGTCTTTGCGCAACGTGCACAGCAGGTCATAGAGCAACATGACAAACAGAAGGTTTGTTCTTCTTAACGCACAGTAGTTCTGTCTTCTAAATGTATTAAGGACTAACTAAATCAGCTTTTCCTCCTTAACCAGTTGACTACTGAATTATCTAATTCCCATAGACTTACATGTAACACAGAGACCACCAGGTTCCAGTAAGCAATGGGTTAACTTGGCATCAAGTGTTCTTATTTCCGCTCCTACATGCGCACACATGTAGTATATAAAAATAGAAATGTATACTAACGTTTTTTCATATTTCCAAATTGAAACAAAATTGAAACAAAATAAACAGTGATTATAAATATCATGCTGCATTGCCAATTTAGAGAATTTAATGATTATTTACAATTAAACCATTGCTATTCATGAGTGATGCAATGTCATGCATTAGAAATGGATTCAAACTTTGGATGATTTTGCTCTGAATAACAAACAAACATGAATACAAACTTAAAAGATTGGATTTATAATGGCATTTAAAAGTATTATGCATGTGATTGGCTGATTTTTAGTGCAGGAGGGAGATTGTTCCAAGCATAGAGAAATACTTTTACAAATATTGAGCTATTGGAAATCAAAGTTCTGACTTGAGGTAAATGATAATTAGATGAATTACAAGTATTGTGTCGATGTATTGTTAAATTAAGAAGAAACTTGTAGTGTTACTTCATCTAACATGTAGGTGCCTTAGAATAATAATCTGGATTTATATGGCGCTTAATACGAAGTACTGTCTATCAGCACTTTACATATATATTATTACCCTTGTCATCTGATACATTCACACACAACGCATTATGTGCACCATCTCCACTTCCTGGGGAATATTCCTTACATAATTATAGTCGCCATGAGTGCACATGGCAATTACTAACTTAAAGACATATTTGCCATCCTACCAGGTCACCATTTCTCTCATGGGTAGGGTGTGGCAAATGTAGATTAATGACTTGTTGAGGATCAAACCCACGACCTTTGCATTTCAAGTCAAGTGCTTAAAGCCTATCTGCAATAGTTTGGCCAGGAGGGATTAGATCTCCCAGCTAGGTCACTGACAGGTGGGTTATTCCATCAAATCAGCTCTTAATTAACATAAGAAAAAGGGGATCATGGTGGACCAACGGGTACCACTTAGGCATTGTTTGCCATATAGAGGGCGCAAGTAGCTACAAGTAGTGCAGTGGGGCTTTTAACCACTCAACTACATGTATGTCACATTTACCATGTATTAAAGGTATTACAAAGTTTTGGTATGGGGTCATGAATTTGGTTCAAATTAACATATGGGAAGCATATGCGTTCCTACGATATTCATTGATCGTTGTCGCGGTTGAAATCGAGTCTAAAGTTATGAAATTATAAATAATAAACTCTTTATGTTGTATAGCTCCCTCTCAAGGTCAATATATCAATTTAGCTATGAAACCATGTTTCTTGACTAAAATCGACCGATTAGCTATTCCCGTTTGGAAACTATATATCACAACTACATATTCTGAGATTTTCATGGTCGCAGCTACCATTGTATGGCCATAGGTGCCATTTGAAATTTAACAAAAATTTACCGGGAGCACCAGTAAATTTTTATATTCAATTTTTCTCGAAAACAGAAGTGTTTTAGGGGCTATTTTTTTAGTGCTTATAATACATCCACAGGGGCATCCAAATATATCAAAATTGTAAAGATTCACTATCCATCCAATTTTCAAAATTTCCCAAAACTTTGTATTACCTTTAAAGAAGATAGGTAGGACTATAATACTTCACGTGCATTGAACACTGAAGGTCCTTTTCATACAGCTCATCATTATCTCTTTTCACAGCCTCTGTTTTTGTACGTGCCTTTCCAAGCTGTTCATGGCCCCTTGGAGGTTCCGGATAGTTACAGGGAGCCCTACATGTTCATCGCAGACAAGAACCGCCAGATCTACGCTGGAATGACAACATGCATGGACGAGGCAGTGGGAAACATCACGGATACTCTGAAGAAAGAAGGCTTGTGGAGTAACACGGTTTTCATTTTCTCCACAGGTAAGATGAAGATTTTTACTTTACTTGTGCTGTTGTCACGACTACGTGAAAAATGGACTACCTTTTGTTTAGTTACATATCTGTTTCAATCTATTTTTGCTCCCCTCCCTATGTATAATGTTGGTCTGGGCCCCGTCTTACAAAGAGTTGATATCAATTGCAACTTAATCGCAACTATGTACATAAAAATAGGAAACTGCAAACTTGCGATTGATTGGGAGGACTTGCGATTGATTTGGATCTACAATGAGGCAATAACTAGCCCTAGTGTGGCTTGAAGTTCACCCTTCAAATTTTGAAATCTTTCCTGTAAAAAAAATGTTGATTTTATATGTACTTGCTAGCTGTACACAAATGATGGGGGGGGGGGGGTGATGGTGATTGGTCCTTTCTTATTTCCTGCCCCTCTCCTCTTTGTAGATAATGGTGGTCAGATCCTTGATGGGGGAAACAACTGGCCCTTGCGTGGCTGGAAGGGATCACTCTGGGAAGGTGGTACCCATGGCGTAGGCTTTGTAACCAGTCCCTTACTGCCTGCTGAAGTTCAGGGCACGGTCAACAGGGAGCTTATTCATGTGAGTGACTGGTATCCAACTCTAGTTGAAGGCATAGCTGGCTGGAACCTTAATGGAACCAAACTAGATGGCTACAACGTGTGGGACACAATCAGGTATAGAGAAGAAATGCTCTTATTCTTTTTTTTAAAGCCCCTCTGCACTACTTATAGCTACTTGCGCCCTCTATATAGCAAACAATGCCTAATCGGTGACCATTGGTCCCCCATGATCCTCTTTTTCTTATGTTAATTGAGAGCTGATTTGATGAGATAACCACCTGTCAGTGAACATGCAGGGAGGTCTAATCCCTCCTGGCAAAGCTAGTGCAGTGGGGCTTTAAGGTTATTTTTAAAATCTGTATTATCCATTTTTAATTCTGTTCATTCTTCTTAATTTCTTTCCCATTTCTATCTGTTATTTGTCTTTAGTTCATCTAGCCCTGCTCTTGCCCTCTCTTTCTTCCCACTTTCTTCCCTTATTAAATCTATCTCTCTACTTGTCATCACTCTTTACTCTCACTCTCTCTTTCTCATCCTCTATCCTCTTTGTCCTACATGTATCTACAGTATCTGTGTATCTGTCTATCCATCTATCTATCTATCTGCCTGTGTATCTGTCTATCCATCTATCTATCTATCTGCCTGTGTATCTATCTATCCATCTATCTATCTATCTGCCTGTGTATCTGTCTATCCATCTATCTATCTATCTGCCTGTGTATCTGTCTATCCATCTATCTATCTATCTGCCTGTGTATCTATCTATCCATCTATCTATCTATCTGCCTGTGTATCTGTCTATCCATCTATCTATCTATCTGCCTGTGTATCTGTCTATCCATCTATCTATCTATCTGCCTGTGTATCTATCTATCCATCTATCTATCTATCTGCCTGTGTATCTATCTATCCATCTATCTATCTATCTGCCTGTGTATCTATCTATCCATCTATCTATCTATCTGCCTGTGTATCTGTCTATCCATCTATCTATCTATCTGCCTGTGTATCTATCTATCCATCTATCTATCTATCTGCCTGTGTATCTATCTATCCATCTATCTATCTATCTGCCTGTGTATCTGTCTATCCATCTATCTATCTATCTGCCTGTGTATCTGTCTATCCATCTATCTATCTATCTGCCTGTGTATCTATCTATCCATCTATCTATCTATCTGCCTGTGTATCTGTCTATCCATCTATCTATCTATCTGCCTGTGTATCTGTCTATCCATCTATCTATCTATCTGCCTGTGTATCTATCTATCCATCTATCTATCTATCTGCCTGTGTATCTGTCTATCCATCTATCTATCTATCTGCCTGTGTATCTGTCTATCCATCTATCTATCTATCTGCCTGTGTATCTATCTATCCATCTATCTATCTATCTGCCTGTGTATCTATCTATCCATCTATCTATCTATCTGCCTGTGTATCTATCTATCCATCTATCTATCTATCTGCCTGTGTATCTGTCTATCCATCTATCTATCTATCTGCCTGTGTATCTGTCTATCCATCTATCTATCTATCTATCTGCCTGTGTATCTATCTATCCATCTATCTATCTATCTGCCTGTGTATCTGTCTATCCATCTATCTATCTATCTGCCTGTGTATCTATCTACCTGCCTACCGGTATCTACATGTATCTATCTATCTATCTGTCTGTTATATATTTATCTATCTGTCTATCCATCTATAATCTATCTATCTATCTGCCTGTGTATCTATCTACCTGCCTACCGGTATCTACATGTATCTATCTATCTATCTGTCTGTTATATATTTATCTATATGTCTATCTATCTATCTGTCTGTTATATATTTATCTATATGTCTATCTATCTTTACGTCTCTTTTTGTCATCACTTATCACCCTCTTTCCCTTTCTATCTGTCCCTATCATAACTTACCTCTCTTCCTCTCTCTTTCTTTTTCTTCCCTAACGTGTGTATTTTCAGTTTCATCTCATGTGAAACATCATCCTTCATCTTTCCAAAATTTGCATTTTTACCCTTCATTCTTGACTTACCTTTTGGATAATACTTCTCTTCTCTCTTTTTCACACACCGAGGTGAGCCATCACCTAGATTCGAGCTCCTTCCCAACATTTGTGAAGCCCCGCCCCTGCCAGATGACCCATTTTTTCTTCCTCTGTTTCTCCCAAGCTAAAGAGTTGCCAGTTTTATCTTTAGCCAGGTTTATGCAGTACATAAGAATTGATGTGCTGTGAAGTTTTAGAATTATCAAAATGAAAAGAACTTGACTCGGTAAGATCGCAAAGATTGCCCACGGAAATGGGTATAAGGGACACACACATGTTTGGTAAAACAAAATTCAGGTATTCCTTGTCATATTTTTAATAATGACCCATTTTCTCTTCCTCTGTTTCTCCCAAGCTCAAGAGTTGCCAATTTTATCTTTTGATAAATCTAATCCTTCATTATTCACTTGTACTTCAAAAGAATCATCTATGATTCTCCATTGGTATTTTGTGATAAGATATATATATTTTTTTTTCCTTCACCTTAATACAGCCAAGGTGTGCCTTCACCCAGAATCGAGCTCCTTCACAACATCGACCCAGAGGGAGCCCCGCCCTTGCAAGACGGTCGCCTAGCCCCACCGTCTATGACCAGCCCTTCCTCAAACTATGATACCTCGACCTGTAACTTCACATTTCCCTCAGCGTTCAACGTTTCCATACGGGCAGCCATACGATATAAAGACTGGAAACTCATCACCGGAAACCCAGGTAAGGATGTGATAAAACATATTGTATTGTTCCACTTTTGGGCCTTTATTCATAGTGAGAATTCATATTTAATTTTTTTTCTTACTTTAATACTTAGTTAAAGGGATTGGGTAACTTTGTGTAAGGGGGTGGTAGATTGGGACGGGTAGCCGGAATGAGTGGGGGTAGACCTCGAACAATACAGATGACAATGGCAGCCTGAGGAGTAGAGTTGGTGCTCTTTATTCTGTAAAGGACACACCGCTATAAGCGGGGTGGGAACGGGGTCAAGTAATGATAAACAGTTATCAATTACAAGAATAAACAACGACACATCTTTCAGCATTATGACAACAAAAGGTAAACAGTGTTCACTACACTAAAACATTTGAATCGTTAATAACAATAACTTTAACTTATTTAAGACAATGCAAATGCCCAAAGTGTATAAGCTGGATCAAATACAAATTCCTAACATAATTAATCAAACTTAAAAGATCATAATTCTTCGTTAATCAGGTTTCTCTACACCAAAACCTAACACATAGTCATTAGCGCCCAAGTTCCCGACTACAACAGTCACACTCCAAGGCCCAATTGACCGTACACACAAATGCATTCCACCCGTACAGGCATAGCCTACGCATCCATTTCCTCTACGTGTAATCCACTTGTACATTAAGAAGTCACACCCTCTGAGCATTACGTAACAACAATATCGCCTTAAGTTACACCTTTCTGTTAACAAATATCATGTTCTTTGAACATATTTGTAAGCCTTATAATAATACTAATTCGTTTAAACCAGGATATGAACAAAACATAGTAACAATATTATCAAATATAACAATTTAAACACACATAAAAACTAAACCTTGCTTACCTATAAGCGGGGTGGGAACGGGGTGAAGGTCACGGTTCTAAAGCCCGCCACCAACGACCTCCTTACATCCTTCCCCACTTTAAATAGTCATCGTCCCTTGATGACTCATAATGCAACAAAAACCATTTCTCAACATCAATTACATGTATTATTAACAATATCTATAAAATCAATCAATAGAAACAATCTCCATAGAACATACATTTCTATACTACCTCAAACAATCTGGGAGGTACTTTATAAAATAGATATTGTCCTAATTGGCATGGTTGCTTCTTTCGTTTCATTTCTTTATCACCAACTTTTTTTCTTCTTCTTTTTTTTTTTTTTTTTTTTTTTTTTTTTTCATAACAAAATATAGAAATATGAATCGGCTAAGAATGGGAGAGACTCCGTATGATAGTTTTCTAATCAAAGCAAGGAAATGATACATCATAATAGCATTCGACTTATTCTAGGTAACAACAATAACAAAGAAAGACAAGTAATACATACATAAAATATATGCCTCCCTTGTCACAACATTTAACTTAAAATTGTTTAGCAGCTTGCATTAGATGGATATCAAATCTGTATACGACACTTGCATAACACATTACCGGTAGTCAAAAAAATAGCTCATACTGTCAAAATCACTACAGTCTCGCAAAGGTATACGATACGTAAATGATACATCAGTCATAGCTCCTACTGTCAAATTCACTAGTCTTGCAAAAGTTACCGGTACTTCTAAAATAATAAAGGATAAATCAGAAATATATTCAGATTAAGCCTACCTCTTCCCGCCCCCCCTTTTTTTTTGGGGGGGGGGGGGGGGGGGAGGTCAAATAAAGATGGAAACAACATCTTTATAGTATGTAAAAACAAATTATCACGTTACCTTTCGAAAAATACATGCATGTATAGGTATATTTTTGGTTGTTTATATAGTCACAATTAAAGGTCTTTTCCATACTCAGGACTTTCACTCGTGTCTTAAGTATACAAAATGATTGTGTAGAGGCGAAACCGAACACAAACATAATCACCAAAAATATATTATAATACCATACTACAATACAATATAATATAATACAATATATTATGAGTAATCTAGGCATTAGGTATCTCCTTTTCCTCATTAACTGAAAATAAAAGGTATCATCAAAAACTTGTTCAAAAAGTAAATAAACTTCTCAGTAATATGGGCTTAGCAGTCAAAGCTAAGAAGTGTCGTTCCTTATCAATTTCAGACGGTAAACCAACAGTTATTGATTTTTCCTTAGCTAGGGAACAAATTGCATCTATACAAAATAATCCTATTAAATTTCTAGGATCTCACATTACTTTCAAAATGAAAACTTCAAAAACATATGATTTCATCCGTGATAAGGTTGATAGTTCCCTCACGAATATAGATAGTGTAAACATAAAAAACGAGTATAAGCTAAAAATCCTTAATGATTATGCTCTCTCCTCTATGAGAGATATGTTAACTGTACATGACCTTCATGCAACCCACCTTGGACAACTAGATACACTTCTAGACAAATACATTAAAAGTGGATGGGCATCCCCCGGTGTGGTGCCAATATTGCTGTAGTTCATGCCCCAAGGGGGCTTAATATTCCCACTATCTCTGAACTCTACCAACCATGTCATTGCCTTTCCTACAGTAGATCTAAAGTTAAAGGCGACGAAATGGTAGTTCATGCCCTAGATCAACAGATGGCCAGAGAGTAAAACTGGACCAAAAAGTCATCTACAATCCAGGTTGCACACCAAATTCATTAATGTTAGAAAAAAGGAAATACTAGTATTTGAGTTGACAATTCCATTTGAAACCAACATTCAACAGGCCCACCAAAGAAAGCTTGACAAGTACGCCGGACTAATACATGATATCTCAGAAGCCGGCTGGACTCCCAAATTACTGTGTGTAGAGATAGGTTCCCGAGGTTCGATAACTCCTGACAACAACAAAAAACTTATAGATATGTTGAAAACATGTAAATGCAAAGTAAGGTATCCACGACTGAGAAATGAAATCTTGAAAACCGTACTGTTTAAATCGTATGTTATTTTTTTCAGCCGGTCGGAACGCACCTGGCAATCACAACATTACTTGGGAGTGTAAGTGGTTTAACTACCTTGTACGACTTGCAATACCGAGACCTCTTTCTCTCCCTCTCCCTCTTTCTCTCTTCAACCCTCTCTCTCTCTCTCTCTATGGAGATAGGTTCCCGTGGTTGATTACTTATTAAGAAAAAATTAATAAATATAACCACGGTATGTTAATATATTATGAGGCATTAATTGCTAACTAAAAAATAATTATTATTTTTGTTTTTGTTATTTTGTTAGGAATTATTAATGTTTTCATTTAAAACACTGACATTATGATGTTCTCTTTTCCGTTTTGTTATTATATATTGTAATTGTTTATCCCTGCATGAGATGCATCTAATATAATACAAATCTCTGTCCTGGGTTTTATGTCACATCTTTATTATTATGTTATATATATACTTTCTTGAATAAAGATAAATAAACAACACTCCTTTTCCTCGTCATTTAGGTTGAAGAGTTCAATGCGATCGATGCCTGGTCAAATTAATCTCTGCTAAGTGTAGTTTATATACCTCTGGGGTGGTACACCACGCGTAGCTCTTCTAGGGTACCTCCTTTGCTCCAGCCGTTGTTCCTTTGGAGACAAAGGATTGGCGGTCTGTGCCACCACTGGTGCAGTTTCCAATTCACTCCCATTGTTACTGGGACAAGGACTAGCGACATGAGAGACACCGACTTCAGACTCACAAGTGCCTTCATCTTCATTACCCGGGGGTCCAGAGGAGGAATTCCCAGAGCTACTAGTGCCTCCCGAAAGGCTCCTGGAAGATTCAGTTTGAACTGGACGTTGGCGGTAGCGTAGGACATAACCAACAGGTGTTCGGCTTTCTGATTCAGTTTCATCTTCTGTTAACTGTTTGTCTACATCTCCCCCTGGTAGCCAGGGGCAGTGTTTCAACTGTGTCCTGTGTAAGACCTTCTCCTTGCCCAAATGGCTCCTTACTACGTAGACTGGGCGATCTGGAAAGGGCCGCTTTACCACCATAAAAGGTTCTTCCTCCCAGTAATCGGCTATCTTTGATCGGCCCCTGAATCCATGTCGTCGGACAAGAACATACTGGCCTACTCCAAGAGGCTTCTCAAAAACCTTCCGGGCCTGGAGTGCTTTACGTGCCTCCACCGCAGCCTTAGCGTTCTTCGTTGCAATGTCTCTAGCCATTCGTAACTGTGACTGGTGCTCTGAAATATATGACTTGACTCCCTTCTTGCCTCTCTGAGCTCCTTCCCCACTTTGAACGAAGCTTTGTGGAAATCTAGCATTCCTGCCGAACATGAGAAAGAATGGCTCGACACCTGTACTAGAATGAATGGTGTTATTGTAAGCAAACACCAGGGAAGGGAGGTAGTAAGTCCACTTACACTTCTTTTTGGGTGGCAGGGAGGCTAGCATGTTATGCAGGGTCCTATTCATGCGTTCACACTGCCCATTTCCAGCAGGGTGATAAGGAGTGGTGTGGCTACGTCGAATACCATACATCTGACAAAGTTCTGCAATGAGCTTGGCCTCAAAACACTGGCCTTGATCGGAATGGATTCTCAGCGGACACCCATAAGGAGTAATTACATGTTTTACCAAAGCCTTGGCCACTGTTGAGGCACGTTGGTCACGAGTTGTGACAGCCCAGGCATACTTAGTGAAAACATCAGTAAAGATGAGCAAGTTCTCGTATCCATCATCCGACGCTTCTAGAACGGTGAAATCCATGGCAACTATTTCCATTGGAGCAGTGGCCTCGATCGATGAGAATGGAGGACGAGGCTGGTGGATAGGTGGTTTACTTGTGGCGCAGCGCCGACACTTCTGACACCAGTTCTTGACTGACACCTCCATACCGTGCCAGAAATACCTGTCTACCAGCAGTTTATACACACGTCTGGCTCCAAAGTGTCCTGCCTCGTCATGAAACCTGATAAGGACCTCCTCTTGCAGATCTGTGGGTATGACTACCTGCAAGTGTTTTTGTCCATCTATCGTGGATTGGACTTCCCGAACAAGAACTCCATCCTTCATGCTAAGCCTCTTCCAGCTCCGGAGGATGAGTAATGCTAAGGTTGAACAGCGACCTCTTTCTTCACGTGTTGGTCTTGTGCCTCTATCTACTAACTCCCTAACTTGTCTCACGTCACTGTCGCTTTCTTGGTACCTCTTCAACATCTCATTGGTATATCCAGGTAGGCAACTTGTTCCACCCAGGCGACACACACCAATCTGACTGCTTAGGGCAATGGGGATCTCAGCTCCGGGAGAATGCAGGTCAAAGGTGGCCTGTATGGTGCTGCTAGTCACGACATCAGGGCCAAGACCAGCAGTAGGGTTGTCTCGGCGAGATAACACATCCGGTGCTTGGTTGTGTTTCCCTGGTCGGTATTGTATCTCATAGTCAAAGGAGCTCAGCCTCTGCACCCATCTCAGTTCAGTGTTTCCCAAGTTAGCCTTATCCAGAAACAGAAGTGGTTGGTGGTCAGTCACAATGCTACATGGCTGGCTGAGGAGATAGTCTCTGAAGGCCTCTGTTACAGCCCACTTTATCGCAAGAAGCTCGAGTTTAAAGGCACTGTACCGTCCACTACGCTCTGCAGGCCGTAGAGTCCTGGAGGCGTAGGCTATCACATGATGGTTACCGGTCTCATCAGATTGAGTGAGTATGGCCCCAAGTCCTGTTGCACTAGCATCTGTCTCTACCTGAAAAGTTTTTGTGAAGTCTGCATATGCTAGAATAGGTGCATTTGTGAGACACTCTATCAGCTTTCGGAAAGCTGTTCTAGCTTCTTCATCCAATACTACCTTCTTAGAACCAGGAACTGCTCTCTTCCTGCCTTTCCCCTTTCTATCTGGGTCAGCCTTGAGTAGATTGAACAGAGGGCCGGCCGTGGTGGCATATCCTTCCATGAATCTCCTAAAAAACCCAGTGAACCCTAAGAACGCTCTAACCTCTTTGACAGTCTCTGGTTCCTGCCATTCCTTTACTGTGGAAACCTTCTCTGGGTCAACTGCTACTCCGGCTGATGACACTCTATGCCCAAGATACTGGACTTCTTTCTGCAGGATGTGGCATTTCGAAGGCTTCAGTTTCAACCCGTAGCTCTTCAATCTAGAGAATACTTCATCAAGCTTCTGTAGGTGAGTATCAAAGTCAGGGGAGAATACAATTATGTCATCTATGTATAGTAGTACACTTGTATAGCACATGTCTCCAAGACATCTTTGCATGAGTCTCTGAAAGGTCGCAGGGGCATTCGTCAACCCAAATGGGAGTCGTGTGTACTCAAAGAGTCCGAAGGGCACGGAAAATGCAGTCTTTTCAATATCACCCGAGTGCATAGCTACCTGATAATAGCCACTGGTCAAGTCCAGCACTGTGAAGAACTGGGCTCCCCCTAAAGCTTGGAGTGATTCCTCTATCCTGGGGAGTGGGAAGGAATCTCGACGTGTAAGGCAATTCAAGTGACGATAATCCACACACAACCTGATGCTTGAGTCTTTCTTTCTGACTATCACTACGGGCGAGGCCCATGGACTCTGACTCTCCCGAACAACTCCCTTATGTATCAGGTCATGGATATGATCTCGTACCGCCTGGTACTGAGTCGGAGGAAGGGGCCTATGTCTCTCTTTGAATGGGACGGCATCCCCGGTCTCGATCCGATGAATTACCTTGTCAGTATAACCAAAATCCTGGTCATGTGCTGAAAACACCTCACGATGTCTCTCTAAGAGGTCCTCCAGCGCCTGGGACTGTCTTTTACCGAGTGAAGACCAATCAACATCAACATGTACTGGTGCAGCTCCAGTTCCTCCGGGTGGATCTGTCCCCGGCTCTGTTCCTCCTACTACAGTGGCATTATACAAAGTACCTATCTGGAGCTTCTTGGGGATCACTATATCCTCCTCATTATCATTGGACACCATGACCGGAAATTTCCCCTCCTCAACACGCACAATACAAGACTGGATGGTCAAACCAGATGGTATGGTATCATTTCGCTCAGCTTCTAGAAGGAGTTCATATGGTTCTTTGCGAGGCCCTGTTGGACTCTGAACTTCAAGCACCACTGCTTGACGAGCTGATATTACGAAGCATGACTCGGGCTTCACAAAAGCTTTACCGATAACACCCTCCTTCTGAGTCAACTGCATCTGTTCGTCGACGGCCTGAAGGGCCTTTTGCCAAGCTGTATCCGTGGTTGGCCACGGCATTCTTGTCAAGAAATGATCTTTCTCGCCCCTTATCAATTGGTTCCAGCATTCATGTAGAACATTCATCCCTAGTATTCCCATTAGGCTCTGGCCCCTTCGCTTGGCCTCTACTTCGGCAAGCACAAGTACTATTCTTGAAGACATGCAATGTCCGAGAGCAGATACATCAGTATCAAAATATCCTACATATGGGATAGCCTGATAACCAGCAGAGACCAATGTGAAGGAAGAAGGGATATCCCTCAACGTAAAGCCTGCTGGCCTGAGGTGTTGGTTGAAGAAGGATTCTCCTACCGTTGTCACTTGTGATCCTGGATCAAGGAGACAGGGAACCTGAACCGTACCGAATTCCACTTCCACTGAATAGCACTCTCCAACCGCCCTGGATAGGAATCCTCTTTCCTCACCGTCCACTGCCGTTGCACTCACTTTGGAAACATTGCCAACCACTTTGCCGTGTTCCTGTTTCCACTGCCTATTATCTTGCCCCCCTCCAGATGCAAAGCTGGGGTCTTGGCTGCGGGGTGGTCCCGTAGGCGGAGGAGCACCTTTCATCCCTGGCCCAGGAAGCGATCCTTCCATTCGATTAGGTGGTCCCATATGCGGAGGGGCACCTCTCTCCGATGGCCCAGGAAGTGGTCCTTCCATTTGATTAGATCTGAGAGAGGTCTGAAGAGGAATCTGTTGTTCTGGATAAGTGGGATACTGACCTTCTACCATGTACGGCCCAGACATTAGAGGTCCTATTGGGTATAAAGGACGCTCTTCTCTATAATTGCCGGGTGGATATGGACTTGCTTCATTCCTCAACGGAGGAGCACTTTCAGGATACATTGAGTTGGTGCTCCTCCTGCGTTTCTGTTGGGGGCACTCTCTTGCGAAGTGTCCAAAGGCACCACAATTAAAGCAAGGACCCCTCTGCGTAGGCCCCGAAGAGGTTGGTTTCACCTGCAAGCTGCCCCGAGGGCGATTAAACTGCATCATCTCCCTTACTGCCCCTATTACTTCATTAGTCATGGCCCTTACTGCTTCAAGGACTCCATTGTCCAGGGATGTGGATTGACCTTTAATCGAAGACAGATGTGCTGCACTAGAAGCTCCTGCTCTTGGTCGTGCTTCCTCTCTGCGCTCGCGTTTTATTGCGAGCTCTCGCAGTTCCCTAAAGGTCATCTCGTCTTTCACCTCATACATATCTCTTAAGGTGTTGCGCAAGAATGTGTCCTCAAGGCCCTCAACGAATTGTTCTGCAATCAAAGCGTCAGGTTTTGCATACAGGTAGGGGCTTCTTGATGTCAAGCTCAGGAACTTCCTTTCTAGGTCGACAGCATATTCACGAACAGATTCTCTTGTCCCCTGCCTCCGTTCAAGAAATCGGCGTTGCAGTTCACCTACAGGTATCACTTCTGCGTATGATGACTTGAGGAAGTCGACCATCTCCTCGACATTGCCACCACCTTTGATAATGGCCTTGGCCTCGTCCTTCAGCCCTCCTCTAAGATACTCTAAAAGGAAGGTGGCTTGTCGCGTCGAAGGAACATTGTAATGTTTGAATGCATCCTCAATTGCCGTCACAAACTCTTGCACATCCCCTGCCCCGTCGAAGATTGGTAATCTTTTCTCCGGCGCCAACATAAGTTGAGGCGGGGGCCTCAATAGAAGCTCTTTCAAGCTTTGAACCGTCTCGTCACTACCAGTTTTCTCTTCTGCGAAGAGAGGGTGATATAATGTCACTATCCACTGCCCAAGGGGCCGGATGAACCCGCCAACTGCGGGCAGTATCACCTCTTCTTCATTAACATCTTTATAAACCAAACCTTTGGCAGAGGGATATCTTGACTGTAATGCTTCAAGTGATAGGGGGCCCCCCTCTTCTACAAGGGGGAATTTGAAGGATTTCCCGTCATCCCCGATTCTTACATACAAACCCATTTTAGCAATATGAGATTAGTAGATATATCAGAATAGTTACTAAACAACTAATATCTCAAGCATTTACAAATGAGTAGGGCAGAAACTAATCGATACCTAGGATCGAGTTTAATAGTAGATATATCAAAATAGTTACTAAACAACTAATATCTCAAGCATTTACAAATGAGTAGGGCAAAAACTAATCGATACCTAGGATCGAGTTCAGTAGTAGATATATCAAAATAGTTAGTAAACAACTAATATCTCAAGCATTTACAAATGAGTAAGGCAAAAACTAATCGATACCTAGGATCGAGTACAGTACTAATAACATCTAGAAAATACATCTAGAAAGCAGTTATTTATGTAAAAACATGACATTGACATTTTTCAGTCTTACATTGGATCATGTTTGTCTTCAGAATAATAGCGTAGCGTCGTCGACGATATCCCATCCTCGTCGCCAGTTGTAAGGGGGTGGTAGATTGGGACGGGTAGCCGGAATGAGTGGGGGTAGACCTCGAACAATACAGATGACAATGGCAGCCTGAGGAGTAGAGTTGGTGCTCTTTATTCTGTAAAGGACACACCGCTATAAGCGGGGTGGGAACGGGGTCAAGTAATGATAAACAGTTATCAATTACAAGAATAAACAACGACACATCTTTCAGCATTATGACAACAAAAGGTAAACAGTGTTCACTACACTAAAACATTTGAATCGTTAATAACAATAACTTTAACTTATTTAAGACAATGCAAATGCCCAAAGTGTATAAGCTGGATCAAATACAAATTCCTAACATAATTAATCAAACTTAAAAGATCATAATTCTTCGTTAATCAGGTTTCTCTACACCAAAACCTAACACATAGTCATTAGCGCCCAAGTTCCCGACTACAACAGTCACACTCCAAGGCCCAATTGACCGTACACACAAATGCATTCCACCCGTACAGGCATAGCCTACGCATCCATTTCCTCTACGTGTAATCCACTTGTACATTAAGAAGTCACACCCTCTGAGCATTACGTAACAACAATATCACCTTAAATTACACCTTTCTGTTAACAAATATCATGTTCTTTGAACATATTTGTAAGCCTTATAATAATACTAATTCGTTTAAACCAGGATATGAACAAAACATAGTAACAATATTATCAAATATAACAATTTAAACACACATAAAAACTAAGCCTTGCTTACCTATAAGCGGGGTGGGAACGGGGTGAAGGTCACGGTTCTAAAGCCCGCCACCAACGACCTCCTTACATTTGTCTCAGATTCTGAAACAAAATCATGGATTTAGCTCATGCTGCAATGTTAATTATAAACCTTGAGATCAGTCAGGGACCCCATGAATTGTACAAGCAGATCACCTGTCTGATTATCAAGATATCTATGACTGGAAATCGAAATCAAATTTTGCTTTTTTCTAACATTTTTCATAACACTACAGTCTATTGGGGAAAACGAGTATGGTAAAATCGGTCACTCAAAGATTTTTACTTTTTTGAGGCACTTCGTGATCGTTTTGAAGCGCAATTTTTTTAGGGCTTCAATATTTCACCATATCACAGACACTGATAACATTTAGGGCCGTGGATCTCAGATTTAACAGTGTTAAACGATGCCTTTAAAGAAAAACCGAACTTTGAACTACACATGATAGATTTTGGCAACTTCAACTGGAGTGCAGATATATCATATAGTGAACTCTCTGGCATTAACCATTTGTATATTGCGCCCTTATTATCAATATTCTTTCACAGGTGTAGGCAGCTGGATCCCCCCTCCCGAATCGGGACTGGAACCTGTTGTACCTATTGTACCCAAGGGCAAGTGCGTTTGGCTCTTCAACATCGCGGACGACCCCTACGAGGTATTCGACCTCTCCGACGAGCAAGGCGATGTTCTTCAGTTCCTTCTAGACCGACTTTACGCCTACCAGAAGGGTGCGGTCCCGGTCAACTACCCAGACCCCGACTCAAGGGCGAACCCAGCGCTACACAACAATACTTGGGACAGCTGGGAGTAACCTGTCAAGACCCTTATTCCTTTTTTTATCACAAAGTACAACAGCTCATTTTTTTTTTTTTTTTTTTTTTAGTTGGGGGGGGGGGGGGGTTTAAATCTGGTAATGATTTCTAATTTGCATCAAGTTTCAGTGCTTCAGCATAACATTCCTGACTTGCCTGTTATTTGCCCATACTCAAAAACTAAGGAGCACTAATTTTTATTTTTTTCCTGTGAGGGGGGGGGGGGGGGGGGTTATTAATTTTTTTTTTTTTACATTTCCCAAATTTCAGAATACTGTGCCCCCTTTTACAAAATTATGGATCCGCCTGTGGCCAACAGCACAGCACATTTAAAACAAATGTGCTGCACTTTGCCCCCCCCCCCCCCCTCAAACTCCCCCCTGAAAGTATCTGAAATATTACTTGTTTGATTTGATCTCTATTTTTTTATATCATGAATGCTTGCTAAAGGTTGGATTAATATTTAAGTACCTTGCCTAGTTTCCTGTAAAGTACATGTCTTTTCTGGTGATAGTGGGTACACTTGGCTGAAAACAAAGCGCGAAATGCACTTTGCAATTATACTCTGAAATGCAGTGATTCATAAGAACATATTTTGTATGCCGAATTCCTCCATCATAAAATTTCAGTGCAAGGATTGGCTTGCGTGACATGAAATACTTCCACCATGAAGAAAAAATGGATATTGCATGACTTAATTCTTGGTATATCCTGGATATACCCTTATGAAGCTATTGACAGGCCTATCACGATATGGATATCATCACCACAGCCACTGTGGCAAATGTTTTGTGTATTTTTTTTCTTTCTTTTGGTCAAAGTTGTGAGTTGATATTTACTTTCAGTTGTATTTCTTTATAGTTAACATTTTTCAGTTTATCATTTTGTATTAGCAATAAGAATCAAATATACGATGCACTATTTTTCTTGAGGAACTGCTAAAATGATGGATCTTCCGTGATTGCCAGTGACTATTTTGCACGCACCACAGAGAATCCATAATTTGAACAGCAGCCTCTCAGTGCATGTAATGTTTGATTAAAGTTAAGAAGGTGTGTATATATATATAGAGAGAGAGAGAGAGAGAGAGAGAGAGAGGGAGAGGGAGAGGGAGGGAGGGAGAAAGAAAGAAAAAAAGAAAGAAAGAAAGAAAGAAAGAGAAAGAGAAGAAAGAAAGAAAGAAAGAAAGAGAGAGAGAGAGAGAAGGAGAGAGAGAGAGAGAGAGAGGAGTGCTACTTGTGCATAATTTTTTTTCCATGAACTTGTGAGTTGTCCATTTGATCCTATTTTACACACGAGAAGAATTTTTGTACAAAGAAAATTGGAAAAGGAAAACACATGTGATTCCTGGATAGAGAGAGGGCCCAACACAAGAGGTGTATATTGTTGAAATAAACATGGTATAAAGAAATCGGAAAAGAAGAGTGCAATTGCTTACAATTCTCATACTACATGAAGTTCTTACAATGAGTTGACCCTGACTGTTATATTGTATTTGTTTGATAGTGTACCAAGGCCTCTGTTCCATCACAGAAAATATCCTAATTGGATGTTAGCTGTACACTGTTGGTATGAGAAAGCTTGATTACTTGTCAATCTAAAAGAGGTTTGTTTAAAATTGCATGTATATAATTCCCTACGACAAATTAGGATATTTGAATTTGAATTTGTCCCAAATCTGTTAAAGGTAAAGACCAGTTATGGTCAAGCGATTGCATTGTGAAAGAAACGTTGTGGAATCGATCAGAAAAGGTTGATCATCTAGCATCTAGCTAGCATCTGCAAGATTATGGAAACATCAAAATGATAAGAAATTTTGCCCACTCTTCGTAAAGTTACAAGTACTATACACAGAAAGATGTATATGGGACTACCCTATATCTCTCACAAACCATGAGAGAAACAAATTTACCAAATATATGAATTAGTAGGCGGTTTCGCGGCAATTTTTTTTAGCATCATGTATTAGTCAAAACATATTCTTTCACATGATTGGTAATGAGAGCTTCCATTTCATTTTTTGAAATTGGGGCGTTTCCAATACTGGTCTTTACCTTTAATTCCATATGTCTGTTTCGGAGCTAGAGGGGCATTAACTCTTTGTAAAAGTTTAGAAGTTAATGCCCTTCTGGCTCCAAATAGACAATATGGAATTGCTCAAGCGGACAATTTTGTGCAGATGGGGCCAGTTTCTCAAAATCATAACTTTAATTTGTGTGGACATCCCATAGAAACACATTCTATTGCACATGATTTTGTGGGATGTCCAAGAAGTGCCATTTCTAACAGTTTAGAGATACAGCCCTTTTTCCTAAGGTAGCTGTCTGTCAAAGTTTGTTTTAATGACGTAAGGCCTGTCAAGTCATTAAGCTTAACACTTAAACTCAATGTTTATGGACTATCATGTGAACTTCCAGTGTTATTGTGCAAAGTTGCAATATCTTGGCAGATATTTCCCAATGATACTCACTAAACTGCCTTTCAAAGTCACTTGTTTGAATAAAAAGAATTGTCCATTGCTTGTTTAATTTATACCTTCTTGTGGCTTCATAAGTATAGGCAAATAATTCATGCTTGCGAGTCTGCTAAAACATGTTGAACACTGTCTCTGTACGCATCTAAATGTACTTTCTTTTTATACATGGTTACATGAAGTACAGTGTAGTTATATTTTGTGACTAAATGTATTGAGAAAATATATGAAACTATTAATCTGACATATAAGATTTAGAAAACATAAATCCCAGCAATATTATAAGTTAGTAAAGCATAAAAAAGATTTGTGGTTTTAAGAATCGTATATTTTGAAAATTTAGAAAACATAAATCCCAGCAAATTTTATAAGTTAGTAAAGTGTAAAAGGATTTTTGGTTTTAAGAATCATATATTTTAATAAAATATGTGCCTTTTTATTGTTTTAGAATATGCGGTAGTGCATGGTCTGTATACATTATGTACATGTGCTTAACAAATTTGTAGTACTTTCTATCAATAAAAAAGGTGATTGAAATATGATACAATACCTGTCAAACTTCTTCCTTTAATTTTAACGTTAATTCAGTTAATAAATAGGGATTATCAACATGATTTACTACAGCCATGGGGAGGGGGGGGGGGGGGGGGGAGGGCTCGAGTTTTGTTATTCACTTGTTTTTGCACGACTGATCAAAATTCACGCATTCACTCGTATGTATAGATTGTGGGTAGAAATGATATAATTCAAACACTGGAACTACGTTCTCTCTCTTGAATACGAAAGATAAGTAGTTTATTTCACATCCGGCCGGCCCCTCCTTACTACTTCCAAAACGCATCATTTTTGTTGTTGAATGTTTTAATCATAATTATGTGGTAGGTGCGAAATATCATGCTAAATCTGAACGATCAGAGGAGTGTTTGTCCAACCTAGCAATGATTAATGCTAAAACATCGATTGAAAAGAATTTTAGGAAGTCTAGAATACATCTTCTTTTCAGTATTAGTAGGAAAAACCCCTAACATCAACCATACTTATGAGATGCAGTGATACGTGTATAGATAATTGTGGGTCATTATAATTATTCTTTTTATCTAAGATAACCTACAATAAATTACACACTAAAAACATTAATCGGGATGAAATACAATGAGAAGTAATAGATGAGGGAGGATGAAAATGATGATGATAGCGAAGATGATGACGACGATAATAATTATGATGATAGTGTTGGGGGGAAAAGTTTGGGATTTTGTTTTGTTTCCCCTACCATCCACCTCAAATCGGAGAGAGAGAGAGAGAGAGAGAGAATGCCTGGAATCATTTGATGAGGGGAAAATAGTATCGAAAGAAATTGCTACCCCCCCCCCCCCCCCCCCCCCCCCCCCCCCTGAACCCCCCCCCCCCCCCCCCTCCCCATTCCATCGTGGACCGGGCATACAATTTCTCTGTTTACTGGACAAGAAAAAAAGAGAAAAACAGGGAATTAGTTTTTATATATTTTCTTCCCAAACCCCTTCATCACAAATGTGCTGCACGTAATGAACCACACTATTTGGATTAAAAGCTAATAATTGACCAATCTTTATGCACACATTGTCGCCTCCATTGTGGTCTGCCTACAAATCTTTGTTATTTAATAAGAAATTAAGCTTTGAGACTTGATAAAGATCTTGCCATACAAATACGGACATGCCCGTTTAGGTAAACAAATGTCTTCAGGATCTTTCCCGTTAAATTGTGCAATGTATATCATTCATTTACTGGAATGCGGATAGCGGGGCTGAAATGCTACGATTATAGTTTGGACGATTTTGGACTATTCGTTGGATGCACCACGGAAAATAAAAAGCGACCGTCTGTCAAAACCGGGTGAATAAACGTGGCGCCAATTACCTGTCTTTTACTAAAAGTAACGAAAAAATGATTCATATAGGCTTTCTCCGCCAGATGTCATTTTGCACTTGAAATATACGTTGTGGAATAAACTTACATGTAGATTACGGAGATACACACAAATGATTGGATGGTCGTATTTCTGGACAATTTGCAGTTATCTATCAATTTGTTAGATCGAGGCTTCGTTCGTTTAACTCGAAACAATTATTTTAATTTCCGGAGAGAAAGATGTGGGAAAGTTTGGTTTTTATCCCGTTGCTAGTAGTGACATTTGTACCGGAAACCTTTCAAGGTAAGTTTTTATACTTTTTAGCATTTTTTCCCCCCTCAAATCTTGAAGCACGAAATTATCTAAATGTGGTATTATTGACAGTTTTTGTAGACCTATGTTTGTCCGATCTTTAATTTCTTGAATATTTATAATTTGACATTTGACCCTGTCTTCTGGTTCCTTTTTTGTGTGGATTCCCCATAACGTCAAAACCGAATGAGCTCTTGAATAGGTAATTTAAATGTTGACCCTGTCTACTGGTCTCTTTTCGATCCCCTATAATTTTGAAACCGATTAAGCCCTTGCGTTGATACTTGGTCAAAGTAAAGAACAGGGAATCTTTAATTGATGTACCAAGTTCAAGAATAAATTGATAGAAGACACATTACCTTGTCACATTACACTTTGTGAGTAACAGTGCTTAGATAGACCCGTAGATAGACTACAGACTTTAGATGCCATTTTCTCTAAAGTAACTCTATAAGAATGGACCTTTTTTCGATTTTTTTTTTTTTTTTTTTTTACTTCGGTTAGGAACGTTCAACTGTTTCGATTTTATATCACTTCAGAGCTAAGAATCACCTCTTTTAGATTTAGACATGAACCAAAAAACATATCAGACGATCTTTTGGTGGTTTTGTGATACCAGAACATACACGTTAATCTGAGGACCGAGCGACAGTGTCTTTAAAATACTATATGGCACCATTTTGATTTGACTGGGCCTCTTTGACGGGACACTGGACAGCATGCACTAAAGCCATTGATAAAGTAGCGGATGGGCCTGTTTAAGGAGATAAAATATTAAGCAAAAAAATGACCACAGGGAGATGCATTAATACAAACATCGATAACGGTTATTCTTATCAATTTACAAAACCTTCCCACTACTATACCGCCAATTAAATTTTGCGTCATCTCATATAAGGCTCATATTACTCGCACTTCCCCCTTTCCATTTTTTATGATTTGATTTTTAAAATTTATATATATTCTTTATCAAGATTATATTTCGTATGCATAAATGCACATAGTAGATTGCTTTTATTCTCAAGGAATCACATTACATCTAAATGGATTTCAACCTACAAAAGTAAACTTGATTCGTGTCTTTACATGTTTTGGGACCTTTTAAGAATTGCTTTGTGACTTTTATTAATATCTGGCATATTTCCTAGTCCGTTCAGATATCTTTCCTTTTCATTTTTGGTTTTTATTAACATCTCGATTTGTATATGTGATGTGTCAATATTATGAGCATTATTATTTGTTCTTCTTGCTTCTTTATGTTTGTCTTTGTTTATTTGTTTGTTTGTTTGTCGTTGTTCTTGTTGTTATTGTCAGCTTGTACGAGGCCATCGACAGGTGACAATGTGGTGCTCAGTGCCGAGTTGGACAGCTACTATGATTACTATTATCTTGAGATATCATGTGATGATGGTTACACACAATCGGGGGCGTCATACAGTTACTGTTACCCCAGCACGGGATGGGATCCCGACCCGTCACTAGTGGAATGCCAGGGTAAGTTAAACTCCATTAGAACTTATCTCTAGCTAGCCCATAACAAGAGAGAAACAAGGAAAGTATATTTTTGACCTGCGGTCTCAAATTTCTCTGACAGTAATAAGCAACCAAAACGAAAACAAAGAGACACATAAAGACAACGAAAGAAAACAAATACAAAAGCATGGCGAGAACAATTAAGACCAAAAAACAACAACGCAGGGGGAAAAAATAACAAACGAAATTTTTTTTTAGAAAAAACGAAAACAAAATAATAAAGCGAAAACGAAAACAAAGTAAGACACTCGCACACACGATCAATCGGACGCACACACACGCACCCACACACAAACAAATTATTCTTTTGAATGTAATGAGTATTGAGAGAGCCTGAGAGACTGAGTGCTGTTGATTATTGCCTAATGGGAAATGTTATATCATACTGGAGGTGCTGAGGTCCTGAACTAACTCGAACAGTTTCTTTTATTCTGGAGTTTGTACATTTATGATCCAAAACATTTTTAGAATTAAGATATGAGACAGAGCTTTTTCACTTGACCCGCAGCATCCTGCTCGTTGCCCAAAGTCGATTCTGACGTCATAGTGGAACCAGAGGAGACGACCTACTCGATTGGCGAGAAGGTCACCTTTTCGTGTACCTCCGGTACCCTAACCGGTTCATTCGAGGGTACCTGTGGGACTAATGCTACGTGGATCATAGAAACCAACCCATCATGTCTAGGTAAGTCGGTGGCGTAATAGGCAAAACCTTTTTTTTTAGGGGGGGGGGGGCCTTGAAAGAAAAAAAATGTGAGAACCCCTCCCCCTGCCCCTCGCCCGGAAAATCATTTCATTTCAGCAACATTTGTAGACTGGTATCAAATAAGAAAAAGAAAAAAACACGTTTAGATTTTATTGGGGGGGGGGCAATATTTGTATTGCCCCAAGCCCCCCCCCCCCATTAGTACGCCAGTGAGATAAGTGGAGACAGAGGTGCATCTAGACCTTTGTTTCAGGGAGGGGGCAAAATACCTCACCCCATTGCTATTCAGTCTAGAAGACGCGATGGCTCAGTGGTAGAGCAGTGGTCTCGTACATAACTGGGAGGTCCCGGGTTCCAACCCCAGATGATGCGCTATTTAGTACCCTTTGGAAATGCATTAATCCTCATTATTAAGTCCCTCGGAGAGGACTTAAACCTGCACGATCACCTGCTTTCTTGGCAGTCTGGTGAAACAAACCAACAAACCATCCATATAGTCCGATAAGAAAAACACGTATTACATTTTGAGGAATGGAGTCTAAAAAAAAAAGGGGGGGGGGGGGTTGTAACTGAAGACAAGTCTTTGCATAGGATCTCCGCGAGGTATGATTATCATCAAAAGATTTGGTAATCATCTTTATGTTACTACTTTTAAAGGCCGGCTCTCCTAGTTCAGGAAGGGATTAGACCACACAGCGAGGTAACTGACAGGTGGCTATCTCATTAACTCAGCTCTCGATTAACATAAGAAAAAGAGGATCATGGGGGACCAACAGGTACCGATTGGGGAAGTTTTTTTTACATAGAGGGAGCAAGTAGCCACAAGTAGTACAGTGTTGCTTTAAACCAGGCATTATGTGAAAGTAAAATTATAAGCTATTTATCAATATTTTAGTGAGCATTAATATGCAAGCCTATTCATGGAATGCGCATTATATAAGGTACACCTGTATATCATTAATTTATCTTTAATGTGCCACTCCAGTGATACACTCATAATTACTTATTAATATTTATATTTTTCTATCATTTTTTACAACCGCAAGCTTATTGACTTATAAGTATACAAAGGTGCATATATTATTATGTGATTTTTCATCACCGTGCCTTTCCCAATGAATCGCCCCAAATCACTTATTTTGCAAACAAAAACAAAAAATGTATCCAATCTAACTTTATTTCGTTTTCCATAATTATATGCAATCGCACACTTTTTGACCTATAACTAGGGTGATCACACTACCTGTGCACACAGTCTGCCCCATGCACATACACACACACAACAGCAGTCAGTTGGTACAAATAGCAATTTTCGTAAATTTATTTTAAAAAAATTAAACAATATTTAAAAAAATTTATTTCACATATCTTTCGAGCATACCTTTAACTACAATTCTGTGTAGTTTCATTGTTATAGGCATGTGGAAAATATGTTAAATTATTAATTAGAATATTGTCTTTTCAGCCTTGTGTGACATGGCCCGCTGATCGCCCATTGACTGTTATTCTGCGTGGTGAAAATGCACTTCAATGTATAAAACTCCCCTACATAAATGCAATATCCTCATATGTTTCACTCATTTAATCAATTTGTTGTTTACACTCAAGATAGCCACAACTGTATTGAGGTCACCAAATTTTGTTTTTTTCTGAAATTCAGTCCCTGTGGAATGTTATGGCCTGTTGAATTGAATGGTTTCTAGGAAAATCGTCATAAATCCTCAAATCTGATTTTTTTTTTTTTTTTTTTTTTTTTAAAGAAACTATACTGTGATGTAGCTGAAAGTCTGCAAATTCTTATCATTTTTTCGGTTTTTCTGAATAATTTGTGAAACATATGAGGAAATAGCTGTAACGGTGATCCAAGTAATTTCCATCGCCATATTTTATTGGTATTGAAAAAATATTTGGAATTTAATGTTAATATTTGGTGTAAATATGATCTATAAATATATGTCTTTAAAAAATGCCAACAAAATGAACAGTTTGACTTTCCTATATATATATATATATATATATATATAATTAGCTGAAATTGCCTAATTTGCATATTTGATGAATATTCATAATTTTTTTTTTCTTCAAAAAAATTATATTTCCATACCTGGCGGATATACATAGGTTTCATTGATGTATCATGTTCGGTTTTGATTTGATTACATATGCGCATATAAATTAGACGGACTTAGTTATTTTCACAACTTGTTCATATCTGCAGATTCGCAAAAATGGCAAAAATGACTTATTTTGTTTGCTTCTGTTTTCAAAACGGTAATAGATATATGAATTTTCTTTTTTGTATTTTTTACCACAAAGATGATATTTTAGTGTCTGATAATTTAATTTATTTTATTTGTGTCCGAGAAAGTGATGAATTAAGTTGTCAACTTTGTCGAATTCTGCCAATTTGACCATTTCTGGCAGGTTTTTCGGTAATTTTGCGATACCAAAAAAATGGTATAAAATCACAACGCATTGACCGATTTCAATTCTGTTTTTTGTTTTTTGAAGCTTTCATGAAGCTTGATCCTTTGCAATCATCAAATAACATGTGTTTGTTGTACTTATTTTTGGTGTGCTATACCTACTATAACTAATATTATATAAAGGTGAATACATTTTATTCTTATTTTTGATCTGAAATCTGTCAGGAGGGTTGAATTGTCCCCTGGCCCCTCCTTCATAGACGCTAGTGAGATGAGGGACCCGTTTCATAAAGCCTTTTTTCAATGACAAATGACAAAAATTAGTGACAAATCTGTCGATAACCAATCAGAAGCAAGGATTTCAGTAGCTTATAACAAAAACTGTAATTTGTCACTGATGACAAGTTTTGTGAAACATACAAGTAAATATGTCATTAAAAAAGGTATTAGGACTTTAGAATAGGTGAAATTATAAACAAATGTGCACACTTACTGATTGAAAGCATTCGGAAAGTATGATAAAAATAATCATTTTTTCTAATGTTTGCAGATGGTTGCTTGGCCCCCGAAAGCTCGAACGGAACGGGTACATACGAACACACGAGCACAACGACGTTTGCGTGTGACACAGGCTATCAGCTATCCACTGGTGACTTCACAATAGAAGCAATTTGTGACGATGGTTCCTGGAGCCCGGATGTTGAGTGCACGAGTAGTGGTAAAAATGATTCACTACCGTCATTGCTCAATCACATAAGATAAAATTATTTAAGACAAAAGAAAAATACATCGATTAGATAAAGAAATAGATAGATAAATACATTTCTTAATGAAATAAATCAATAAATATATAAATGAATGAATAGTCCAAATAAATAAATAAACAAATAGGCCTATAAAATTATGTAAAAACATAAATGTGCAAATACGTCAATAAATGCATAAGTAAGTAAATAAATAAGTAAATAATAAGAAAATAAATCAATCGATAAAAAAGATATTTAAAAACGTAAGTAAGGAAAAAGAAGGAAAAAACCCTGGATTTCATGTTTTGATTTTTAAAATAAAAATTCATTAAGCGTGTCGTTGGAAGTGAAATTGAGTGTGTCGATATTTTATGATGAATGTCTCATTTAATACCCCCTCCCCCTCTCTTTCTACCACCCCCCCCCCCCTCTCTCTCTCTCTCTCTCTCTCTCCCTCTTCCCCTCTATTTCTCAGGTTGCCTGCCCCCGACAGTGCCGACCAATGTGATGTATGCACCGGAAGAATCGACGTATGATGAAAACTCCATGATTGTACTATCATGCGAAGGGGAAACCACGCCCTTTGGGCCGGAGTACTCTTACTGTAATTCATCAAAAGAATGGGAACCTAGTCCCCTCCTACTTAATTGCTATGGTAAGTGTATGGCAGGGGCGTATCCAGATTGTGTAGAAGAAGGGGAGGGGGTGGAGAGACCACGCCCTTTGGGCCGGGGTACTCTTACTGTAATTCATCAAAAGAATGGGAACCTAGTCCCCTCCTACTTAATTGCTATGGTAAGTGTGTGGCAGGGCGTATCCATAACTTTGTAGAAAGTAAGGGGAGGGTGACAGCTGACGTATGAGGTGAACTTCAGGATTATTATTTTCATGACTGTGTGATTGGGAAACCACGCCCTTTGGGTCGGGGTACTCTTACTGTAATTCATCAAAAGAATGGGAACCTAGTCCCCGCCTACTTAATTGCTATGGTAAGTGTGTGACAGGGGCGTATCCATAACTTTGTAGAAAGTAAGGGGAGGGTGACAGCTGACGTATGAGGTGAACTTCAGGATTATTATTTTCATGACTGTGTGATTTGGAAACCAAGCCCTTTGGGCCGGAGTATTCTTACTGTAAATTCATCAAGAGAATGGAAACCTAGCCCCCTCCTACTCAGTGGCTATGGTAGATGTGAAGCAAGGGGCGTATCCAGAATTGTGTTGAACAAAGGGAGGGGGCAGAGAGCAGGGGCGGATCTACCCCCTTGGGCTGCCCCCTCCCCAACAACAAAAAAGTAAATGAAAGAAGAAAAAATGTAGTGCTTACTACCCCCCCCCCCCCCACGATAAATAGCCAATAGTCTGTGAAAGCAGATCTCTCTTTCTCTCTCTCTCTCTCTCTCTCTCTCTCTCTCTCTCTCTCTCTCTCCCTCTCTTCCTAATCAGATAAATGCGAAGTGCCTTCGTTTTCGGACTCGGATGTGATCGTGACCTCTGACTTCACGGGTTCATCTGACGAGTCGTACTACGATCACACGGATACGGTAAGGTTCTCTTGTGCAGGGGGTCTCTTCGTGGATGGGCCTTGGAAGGCAAGCTGCCGGAATGGGGCGTGGTCAACCAACTTTGGAGGGGATTCCCCAACGTGTAGGGGTAAGGAGGACAATTTAGCTGTTTTGTTTGTTTGTGTATTGTGTTGTTTTTGTTTGTTTCCCCCGAATTGGTAGATCAATTGGTGGGTTTAGGTCTACTCCTCGAGTTTCCTCTTCACTACCTTCCTTTTTTCCTTTTTTTCTTCCATCATCTTCTTTTTTTTCTTCTTCTTCTTTTTCTCTTCTTCCTCTTCTTCTTCTTCTTCTTCTTCTCCTCTTCCTCCTCCTCCTCCTCCTTCTTCTTCTACTACTTCTTCTTCTTCTTTTTTCTTCTTCTTCTTCTTCTTCTACTTTTTCTTCTTTTTCTTCTTCTTCTTCTTCTACTTCTTCTTCTTCTTCTTCTTGTTCTTGTTCTTGTTCTTCTTCTTCTCCTTCTTCATCTTCTTTCTTCTTCTACTTTTTCTTCTTATTATTATCATTATTTCTCTTCCCACAGTAAACCCCTGTATGGTTTAATTTTTATTACAAGAACAATCATGTACTGTTAAACCAGATTGATACAAATCGCAATTATAATCGGCATAGTATATTTCACAAATTTAAAAAAGTCCATGTTGTGCCCATTGTGAATCAATGATGTCGCTGCCTGAAACTTTCAAGAGTATGAACCACTTTCAAAATTCGCAAAAGTATAATTAATATATGGGTTTACAGATATAGTACATGCACTTGTACCGTACTATATACAGACAAACTCGCATTACAAAATGTTAAATTATGGATTCGTAATTAACGTTATACATGTGTTTGGTACCCCTTCAGCCAACTGCACAGCCCCATCGAATACGTTGATTGATGGGCAAATGTTTAAGCATGGTCACGGCGAGGTGATTGAATGCGTAGACGAACCAGGAATGGTCAGGCTAGGAGGTCCCAAGGCTTTCTGCATCGATGGATCTTGGAAACCAAATGTCCTCTGTAAATGTAAGATCATCTCTCTGAAAGAATTTTTTAGATATGTATTTCTTCTTTCTTTCTTCTTGTCCTCTTCTTCTTGTCCTATTCTTCTTCCTCTTCCTCCTCTTGTTCTTCATCTTCTTCTTCTTCTTCTTCTTCTTCTTCTTCTTCTTCTTCTTCTTCTTCGTCTTCGTCTTCTTCTTCTTCTCAGTCTTCTTCTTTCTCCTCACTTTCTTCGTCTTCGTGTTAGTTTTCCTTCTCATAAAAATCATTATCCATTTAATATTTTGTATCCGTTTCATTATTTTAACGATTCAAATTAATTGTGTATAATTTTCAAGAGGCAGGGAACATGATTGCAATGACCACGTGCGCCTTCCAAAAACCCTCTGGACGGCCATGCATTATGGCTCAAGGCATGGGCACACAGAGGATTTTTTTTATGTTGGGGACCGATGTAAAATACAATGAATGATTGATAATTTTTTATTTTTTTTATTTTTATTTATGGAAACTGCCCCCTACCCTAGCCCCCCCCCCCCTGCGTACAGTCATGGATCAGTGACAAAGCAATGGCCTGGTAACTGTGAGGCCCCAGGATCAAAACCATGTCCATGTGCTATATTTTTTGTGGGGCACTAATCCTCATTACTGTCATTTATGACTTAATGACGTAGGTCCCCTAGTTGATAAGCATATTAGCATACACATCCTTTAGCAGTCACGCAAAAAACACATTGTAAAATTATTATTCAATAAAATCTGAGAATGTATACTATTATCTAGATCTATTAGGAATAAATTATTTTTAAAATAATTCCATAAATTGGAGTAAAACAAAAATATTCCAACTATATGAGCGACAGTGTATAAATATCTACAAATATATTTATTTACATAATTTACTACATATTATATTTGATTTAAGTTATCTATCCGTATTGCTTTTTAAAGGGATAGTTGAGTTCTGTTTTCAGGCCGCAAATGCCTTCAAAGTGCATGGTTATTGCTCTTATTCTTATCTATGACATTTATAGTGCCCTTTTAGAACCTAAATTTGCTAAGAAGGTAATTTTAGACCCCAAAATGTGTGAAATTTAGCCAATATGACCATACCAATTCAGCTCCACTTTAAAAAAAAACATGGTGACCGTTAATTAATTATTTAATTAAAAATAACAATACATGAGCCGGCTGATTGTTGGTAATACAAGCAACACGAAAATGCCAACAAACAAGCCAACATCGGCATTGGCTGAATTACGACGTAAAAGGCGTTATTTCATTTTTTTTTCAACGGTGTTCAACGGTTTTTCAAATTTTTCAAAATATCTAATATTTGTGGTGGTACACAAGCATTATAAATCGTTACATTTCAGCCGTCTCTGAACCGATTTTGATCAAACAAAGATGATTTTGTCATTTAAATATTATGTTCTTTCAAATTTGACACTTAGTTTTTCATTATCTCACCCAAAAAAATATTTTGTGTAGCGCCCTCTGCAACAGAACTCAACTATCACTTTAACCGACTCTTTAGCTTGTTTAAATCTTAATTGCTTTAAATGTAAATTTGGAACATCTAAACTTTAAACACGATTCAGCGAAAGGGGAACAAGAACAATATGTAAATAAAAGTAGGATACCTTACTTCGACATCCTTTTATTCTATTCAGTTTGAATAACTATGTTCTGGGAAATCTGCATCATAACCAAATCGCCCGAGAGATTTCTATGAAATTATTTTAACAATACTTCTATTTACTTATTTCCCCCTCTCCTTTAATCCGTCTCTCTTTCTTTCTTTGTCGCTCTCTCTATTCTACCCCTCTCTGTTTTCTGTATCTTTTTTTATTTTCCTTGTCCCCTCTCTCGCCCTCTCTGCTCTCCCTTTCTCTCCTTTTCTCTCACTGCCTCTCCCTTCCTCTTTTCTCACCGTACCCCATCTCCATATTTTATCAATGCAGATAAAACTGAACTCTGAAGACCAATTCTACGATGGCAAGATCAGTTGAATCAGCCGAGAGTTCCGGCCGAAATGAGAATATAATATCACATAGATTAACACATCCATATACAAAACCTTGCTCGATGACTCTAGGACTGCATGGGTTGTTGATGGAAACTTACAGCAAATATTTAAAATAAATGTTTTGGTTGACGGACAGAACAGAATTCGGTCATTGTTTACTGCATATTCAATTCTAAATTTTCTGTCTGACTAAACATGTTCTTAGAAGCTTACTGTGATATTTTGATTGACGCGAAATAGAATGCAAATTAACCTAAAGAGAAGAAGAAAAAAAAATCTGTTGCTGGCTTTAAACAATTCTAACCCTTGTTTGGATAAACATAATTTTATGCCTGGTGTTTATAGTATTACAAAATCCAATTTCAATTTCTTCATTGAAGCTTACTACATTTATATGTGATGTTTTCATTGACGGAATAAAATGCAATTTGACCTAAAAAGAAAGATAACAAATCTGCTGATTGATTGATTTTTTTTTATTCGACAAGCTTCCAACATACAGCAATATACAATAATAACAGATAAAAAAATAAGTCAGCTTGAACAGGACAGCCCACGAAAGCTCGAGAGCCTATTTCCATGGGGGTCCCCACTGATGCTGATTTCTTATACAATTCTATTTTTTGATTGGATAAACCTATAGTTTGATATGATATGTACCTATAGCGTGAAATATTCGAAAGTTATTTTTTGGAATTCACTCTTATACTGTATAAGAAAAGGAATTACCAATACTGTTTTTGTATGTGCATTAACTTATTCGTCTTACCAGCCGAACCAAGTCGCGTTTTCCAAACTAAATCATTGATATTGTCATCTTATCATTCTGTGTTATGACCAATTCCAAGAGTTCCGAAATGCCATTCGCAGATAATTTCAATTGAGAAAAAACAAATATTGCCGACAGTTTCATAAAGATCTACAAAATAATTAATGATAATGGTTACTAACTATATCACCATTCATCAAATTCACAAAGTAATGAATGTTAGAAAGATTTGTTATGGATTTACCAAAATATTTGATACTGTGTATATGCCATTTCGTATCAACAATATAAAATTCAATATTTCATAAACCCATGAATAATTGATATGAAACCCAAATGTTGTAAAAGTACCTCATAATTATTAGTCAATATATCATATAATTAATTTGTAGATTTCGATTAAAATGTATGTAATATTCTTTATTCAAATTTAAACATTCTTAGGAAATGTCATTCCTTAACGCTTGGAATTGACTGGCCTTAAATCGATTACAATGAGCCATGAGTATTGTAATAAATTGTAGAATTCTCCTAGTCTTGGTCTCGATTTTCTTGGTTTATTGCTATACTATCATTCTTTTAAAAGCTAAATAGATTGGGGGTAAATATCTTTGTCGGTGTTTGCAAAGACTACTATTCGTAGGCCAGTTTTGTTACGGATACTTGTACATAATGAGGGCAAACCCAATTTGTTGGATGATGGGCTCTGGTTGTATCTTCCTGGTTATACCAGGGCTATACCAGGGGCCTGTTTCATAAAACTTGTTATCAATAACAAATGCTAAATTTCTATGACAAATTTGCTCTCAGCCAATCAGATGCCATGATTTCAGTAGCTTATAACAGTAGTTTGTAACTTGTTGTTGATATCAAGTTTTGTGAAACAGAGCCCAGGCTAGTAACTCCATGGTTATACCGACCACATCTATGTTTTCCGTATATTCCTGGAACAAGCTTATTTAGCCCTTCTCTTACTAGAGCACATGAAACTTGGACAAGAGTGTGGGTCGAATTATACATAGTTGGAATCTTAGTGGGTTTCAAGCCTTTTAAACGGGAAAAAAGGACAAAAAGAACAGAGAGAGAGAGAGTGAGAGAGAGAGAGAGAATGAGAGTGAGAGAGAGAAATTGAGATGAAGAGAGGGGCGGAGAAAAAGTTAGATGTGAGGGATTTAGAGAGATAGCAAGTGAGAGATGGGGAGAGGTGAGGGATGGAGAAAAAAGGGGAAAATCGAGATAGAGGAGAGGGACGGAGAGAGAATGAGAGGGGGAGATGTAGATAAGGGATTCAGATAAAGAGAGAGAGAGAGAGAGAAAGGGGGGGGGGGTTATAATATGTTTTTAATCTAAGTTTTGACACATTTATTTAAGGCTAGCCGAATATCTCGTACAATTATCAGATATCGAGGCTATTTATTATGATGTTGACAAAGATCGAGATCCCGCATGAGCGTCAAGCCGTGACGTAACATTTATTTCAAGTCTGTTTCCAATTCTACACTTCACCAAATCACGCACGAATACACGTATATATAACGTCGCAAAATGTAATGCTCTTCAAATTGCTCAGTGAATACATTCAAGTCCTATGCGGCCCGCAGTTGCCGTTCATTTACATGACGGCTCTAAATCTTGCGGCGCTTCACCGCGCCATATCTGAACAGGCCTTTATGCTATACAGGTCAGGCAATACAAATTTTGTTTTTCTTCCACCGGGTTTCTTTATTGAATAATATCATTCACATACATAATACGTATACAAGAAGAAATATGTACATGCAGAATTTCAAAATGATATTCTTGGCCATTCAAAATATGATAAGAACTTACATTTATAGATATCAGTTTCAAATTGCAGTTCATTTTTAAAATATCACAGATTTAGCCTACTTAGCAAAATAATTTAGAGGAAACAAACAATCAGAAACAGTTTGTAAAAGGAAACCACTTTTTCATAATTTTTTTTTCAGATTTGTTTTACATAATATACTTTTCCATATCATGATAACACTTTATCGCTATTATTAAATGTTAAAAAACTGGCAAATAACTGTTTGCATTTGGCTGCAAAAGTTTCTTTCCTTACTATAATTATAATGCAGTTGAGGGCACCGTAGTTACTTCCATTAAACCCAAACAATTTATTTTCATTTTAAACTTAATATGTACATTATTACGGAACATGTCAATTCTCAAGTTTTTATTATATTTCGTTTGAATAAATACAGTAACAAAATATATGTAGAATTGTTTCTTCACTGTTATTACAGAATGTATTAGGGGGTATTAGGTTATCTTTACACTAATTTAAATCTTAGCAAAGCATCTTTCATATAACGAATTCTATGCAGTATCTTGAACTGAAACCACCTCAGGCAATAAAGATGATTTAGTTTAATTTAATTTAGTTCAATTCACATCTGATTAAAAAGATAAAATAGCAATTAAATTTCAACACACCATACATCATCTGTGTCTGAATAAACGTATCCCTTCATGTCTCCGACAAGAGGTGGCGCTAAACCTCTTACATCTACCAATTGTTTAAAACCATTAATTGACTTTTGCTCATGCAATCATTTTCAACTCTTTAATGTCCATCAAACCTACCATATTAATTTATAGATTCATGTTTGGGTGAAATTCCCGAAATGTCGATATAAAATGTTCGGTTATAGAACATAGCATTTTCTAGTTAAACTTGTGTTTAACTGGAAATGCCAACTCCAACAAAATTAATACGCTTTACACTTTGGCTCTAAAAGTTTCTACACAAACTGATGAAATGTTCAATTACCAAGTCCATATAACTAACAGAACCACATTTCTGAGTTATGAAATCAAAATTCATTGTCTCAACCTCATATATACCATTTTAATAGTTCCTTTCCTTTTTCCTCTCTTGTTAGTTTAATTCTTTTAATTATATAGAATAAGTAATACCAATTATTAAATAAAGCCCAACTTATTGAGTATATGAAATACAAACAGTTATAAAACAATGATGAATTAACATCATTTTAAATACACTTGTGTATGCTAATTCTCCATGCGCCTTGAACACATTAGTCATGTGGAGTTGGCGCATTGCAAATACTCTATATTATTATTATTATTATTATTAATTACACTAAGCTACTACTATTACAGTACTTTCCACATAACCAACAATCAACTACTGCCGTATCTTCAGCATAGTCGAATAATTATTAGTCAACTGCAGTCCTTTCAGTATACTGGGCTAGTATAACATTCGAATAGCTGTCAGCAGTTGCATATTAACATTAAGACACACGGAAAACAAGTACTAATGTCCTTTGCTTTATAATTAGACACATACTTTTATTTGTATAAGGCATGTCAATCAATAATAACATTTATGATAATAACTGGTTCTTATATAGCGCTTTACCATATATAACGTACCAAAGCGCGTACAATTACTATTACCCCGGTCATCGGATTAAATAACTATTCCGCACATTATGGAATACATTCTCCACTCGTACAAACTGCGCTAGATAAATTCATTATTAGTATTATTATTATAAGTAGTAGTAGTCGTAAGTAGTATAGTATGAAACACAGATTTATATCGCATTATCAAAATATCTGTACACTCTAGTGGCTGTAGACCGAAACACCACAAGTCAGATGTGTCAACCATATATCAATCATTTTGCAGAATGTTTCAGGGGGATTTTTTACCTTCCTAACACTGCAAATATACTCCTAGTTTGTTTTGATATGATTTGATATGGTTTATTGATTACAAAACATTAAAATAGCAGTAAATGCGAAGTCTACTCTCGGTTATCAAATACAGCTAATATTGGGTAAACACCCGGTACAAACATGGTATAAAATCTCCATGAAAAAAAGAAATTAGATTATTCATCTTTAAAGATCTTGCTATCACTTGTAATCGTGTAATCCTACGACAACACAACTACGGCGCTATTCTATTCTCAAATCATTTAGAATTGTAATCGACTCACCCTTTTATTTAGATGCTATAGTACAATAAATATTTCATTTTAAATGAATTAATTCATATATAGATCAATTAATAGATAAATTAATAAACAAGTAAATAAATAAATGAATAAAAGAGATTTAATAAAACAATAAATCAGTTTAATGATAACTCGTTAAATGAATAAAAGAGATTTAATAAAACAATAAATCAATTTAATAATAACTCGTTAAATGAATAATTTTTTTTAAATAAAACAATAAATCCATTTAATGATAACTCGTTATGGTTCGAGTTTTAATACCAAGTACTTCGAATCTCATAGCCGGAAGAGAAGATATAGGATGAAACCTGACGTACTGTGTGGTTACTGGCTCAGGAAACACTATGGTCACATATGTGTTAGTATCAAAAGGTCCTGCATATGTCTGAAAAAGAACGAAAGCGATGGATAATGTTTATTTCTAATAATGATAATAATAATAATAATAATAATGACAATAATAATAATGATTTACAATTTTTTTTATTAACCATCAAAGGCTCATCAGTATCATTTCTGCTCTTCCCAAGTGCCCTGCAATTCCTATGACCCCCGGAAACTTCCAGGTACCCTTTTACATCTAAGTGGAGAATGGAAAATGTTGATTAATGTTAGAGATATCATATCCAAGGCACATAAATAATTGATTTCGATAGAGTTTTTGCATATTTCAAAAAATCTTTTTTTTAAATGTGTAAACGTATGTAAATATGATTGACAAATTGCTTGCAAACTTCAATAAGGAAATTTTTAAAAATTAGTTAAGTATACAAGTAATTAAATGAACATGAATAAACAAGGAAGATGATAGATTTAACCAAAGCTAAATTTGCCTTTTCTGGAAGTGCGAAAATAACACTCACTTTTCGTACCCCACAATGCTCTTCCAGAGCAAAGGTCCAATTTGTATCGTCTCTTGAGTAGGAGATTTGGAATGACGTAACCTTGTTTGTATATATGGGCACTCCCTGTGTGATAACACCAGTTACCGAAGTATCCTCGTTGAGCTCGACCTTTTGGTGATTTTTATGATGACAAGAAGACAAAATATTAATATATCCGATGGCAGATTATCTTGCATACTCTTGTTACTTGTTACAATGTATTTATGTAGGGATCTCCCATGAGTACTGCAAGTCGGAATGGGGGACCTTCACGGTTTCGGTGATTTAGTTTGCCTGCCCCATTCCTGGCAACGTGTAAATGCTCATGGGAATCACGATGATTTTCATCCTTTGTTTTGTATGATTTGTTCTTCTATGTAATCCTCTGTATACACTTTGTTTTGCCGAATAAATAATAATAATAATAATAATAATTTGATAACAATAGTAAGGACAAGCAATATATATATATATATATATATATATATATATATATAAGCAATATGTACCATTTGAACACAATTGTTGCTTTCGGTATGAGCAAAACGAAATAGCTGGTCAGATTTGAATGATAGTGATAGCGGGACTTCGATTGAAGCTACGCCTTTTAATGTTTATTTAGAATGGACCTCAAGAGGAACATTTCGTTTTCGTTGTAGGTCGAGTCTGACCAGCCCCCCCCCCCTTTTTTTAATAGCATGTATCCTTGTATCTTATAATATAATCATTTGAGTTGTCAGGAGTTCTGTCAAGGTGCAGCCTATCTCGAAGAGAAGTTAGATTTTTATGCATTCTAGCTGTACACAAATTATCTTTTGATATCATCTCAACGTGCATTTAGACATGCTAGAGCAAATTATCTTAAGGGCAGTACCTTTCGGCAATTGCCGATTAGTTTAAATTAATCTTTGCTTACGCGCTTGACGTAATGTGATCAAAATTATCACCGTATTTGTTGAAATCTTAAGGAAATGAAACCGGACCGCAACACGAGGGGCCCACTAATGGATGAGGTCGAGAATAGAATATACCCTCTCGGTATTATTCGATTACACCGGATAAGGTGCCACTACCAACCAACTGACACAGTGAAACATGTCGCATGCAGCGAAATTCGATGGCCCACCTGGAAATGTCTTGAGCTTGCCTCCGCTCTCGGAGAGGATTTGGGTGAGGGAGATTTTTGAGTTAAACCCATCGCACGCTACATACGATCTGACTACGAACCTATTTTGGAAGTATTTGCAACAAAATTTGATAGGAACATTCGTACAAATACTAAATCTTATTGATCGAGGGTCCGAATAGTCTTATGAATTATCTAATCTAATTTTTAAGGGATTTGAAACTTTCTTGAGGAAGGACAAGCTAAACCGGCTCTGACTCGTAGTGACGTCAGGCCAGTAGTGCGATTATCAACGATTTGAAGCCGATTGGGTGTTTATTATGACTAGAAGAATTAAATGCATTAAGATTCCAGTGGATACTATTCTTAACATCATTCAGAACCTAAATTGGGAAGATGATGTTTGTTTAGATTTCCACCACTTATATAATTACCATTTCTTCGAAAATCGGATCGCAGGAGGATGGTGTAATAATAATAATAATAATAATAATAATAATAGCCTAATAGTCCACTCAAAATTTTATTAAACCGAAACGGAAATTCTTTTTGCCCAATTGATCGTGAGCCCGGCAGCCATGCACTGAGCAGCGCCAGATGGACGTTGCTCTATCCCTTATTGTTGAACGCCAAACAAGGTAGCAACAACTCCCATCTTTTAACGTATTTTAGTATGACGCGTAGTGCGCGTTAGGGCGGTTCTGCTGAACATGATAGAGCATCGGTCTTAATCGTGCACTCACTTATGTGTGTGATTGATAACACCCGTTATCGACCAACACAAAAATGGTGTCATATTCCCTGGGATAACCACTGCATTATTGTGTCTTGACAAATTTTGTCAAGAACTGGCCATAACATCATGACAGAAGCTTTCCGGAGGCAATTGTGAACGGTTGGCCTTGAAGAACAAAATCAATGATATATATACTCTGGGGTTTGGAATGATCAAAATCTAAAAAAAGGAGATTCAACATTTCCGGAGGCAATTGTGAACGGTTGGCCTTGAAGAACAAAACCAATGATATATATACTCTGGGGTTTGGAATGATCAAAATCTAAAAAAAGGGAGATCCAACATTGTTTAAGTTCACATGCATTACACAAAGAAATGGGTAAACAGGACTGCACACGAGTCAAGTGTTTCGTCTAGAGTTTTCAAGGCTTGACTATTTCTTGTAGAATGATGTGAGCATTTTAAAGAGCAATGCAGTTCAGGGGACAATTCTACTATAATTTTCTACCACACTGACACACAAAGAGAGTGAAAGCTCGTACAGGTGTCGTGGACGAGTGGATATGTCACCGTACTGTGGATCGCAAGATCTGCGGTTCAAGTCTCACCGCGGCACTAATGTCCTTTGGCAAGACATTGATCTAGCTGGGATGCTCCACAGGGAGTGGAGAATGTGCATACATTGTGTGCGGGTAAGCCTGAATCCGATGACCGGGGTAATAATATTGGGTCCTGAAAAGCGCTATATAAGAACGAGCTATTATTATTATTATTATTATGAATCGTGTGTTCATTTATATCAGCACCTACCAATCTATAATTGGTATGTATGGTATTGGTATGTATAATAATAATAATAATAATAGCCCAATAGTCCACTCCAAATTTTTATTAAACCGAAACGGAAATTCTTTTTGCCCAATTGATCGTGAGCCCGGCAGCCACTGAGCAGCGCCAGATGGACGTTGCTCTATCCCTTATTGTTGAACGCCAAACATGGTAGCAACAACTCCCATCTTTTAACGTCTTTTGGTATGACGCGGCGGGGGTTCGAACCCACGACCTCCCGGTTGTGAGGCAGACGCTCTACTGACGCTCTACTGACTGAGCCAACACTCTTTAAGTAACAGTCCTACTCTGCACTTACCTACGGCATCGGTTAGAGGTCCATACCCATATAGTTCCATCCTCAAAGTAAGGCGAACGTACTTAGTCTTCGGATGGATCCGGAAAGAGTGTCCAACTACCGGCCTAGCAAGCATGTGAGTCACATAACCACGGTCATAATTTCCCGGAAATATCTATATAGTTAATGAAAATGACGTTAAGTAATATTGCAAAGAAAACTAATTCGTAATGAAGATAATCGTTAGTTCATTAAAGGGATAGTTGAGTTCTGTTTTTTCAGATCGCAAATGCCTTCAAAGTGCATGGTTATTGCTGTTATTCTTATCTATGACATGTCTAGTGCCCTTTCAGGACCTACAATTGCTATGAAGGTAATTTTAGATCCCAAAATGTGTGAAATTTAGCCAATACCAATTCAGCTCCACTTTCAAAGAAATACGGTGACCGTTAATTAATTCATTAACTAATAATGACAATACACGGGCCGGCTCGTCGTGCGTATAACCAACACGAAAAAGCAAACAAAAAAGCCAACATCGGCATTGGCTGAAATACAACGTAAAAGGCGCTATTTTGGTTTTGCGACGGCTTTCAACGGCTGGTTCAAATTATGTAATACTTATGGTGGTACACAAGTATTAGAAATCGTAATTTGTTTGATTTGATTTGATTTATTGGTTGATGGATATTTTAGCCGTCTCTAAACCGATTTTGATCAAACAAAGATGATTCTGTCATTTAAACTGTTTGTTCTTTCAAATTTGACACTCAGTTTTTCATTATCTCACAACAAAATTATTTAGTGTAGCGCCCTCTGCAACATAACTCAACTATCCCTATAACCTATACGGCGGCCTGTGAATTAATACGATGCTGACTACAAACGTTGTTGTCAAGAAGGGCCAATTACGAATAACATGGCCATTTTGTATTCTTCTTCTTTTTTTCTCATTTTTTCAACTCCATATCTCAGTATCCTGAACAGTATTGTGTAAAAAGAAGAAGAGTGACCAGAGTTCCATCGCTCGGGGGTGGTCGAAACCTCCCTATCAACATGGCTTGCTCAATTAAGGTGTCATTTTCGAGAGTCTTTATTCTTTTTTTGAAAATCCTTATTGGGTTGATAATGATCCGCTGTTGTTTTAATATGCGCAGGCTTATATATGTATATCGCTATTTTGGCTTTTCTTCTGCCTATTATGCCTAAATGAGAAATGGGAGTTCCTGTTTTCTGATTTCATTTGTCTTTTCTTTATTGCCTAAAAAAATAAGTGATAATAATATTAAATATAAAAATAACAGTGGGACCTTGTTATTGAAAACATCGTTATATTAAATTTAACTTCTTTAAGACGATCGAATCAGTTTTATTCTTAAGTAGTAAATACTTTTTTTTGTGGGTTTTTTCTTAGCCATGGCATAACAAAGCTGTATAATATCAACAAATTTCCATAGTTTAATGAAGTTTCAACGAGGTAAAATTTATCTCTGAATACAAAGACCACTAATTAATTGTTTTTTTAAAAATGTAATTGAAGAACCGCAGTTTGCCAATTACCTCAACTTCTCTAGAGTATACGTTCAAATACTTAGTCCAAGTCATGTCGTCAAAACTAGACGAAAGGGTGTATGACTTCACCCACTGATCAGACTCATTTATACCCTGAGTCGTTATGGCCGTTACGATATAACTTGACTCAAACTGGACCTGCATCCATGGGGATTTGTCGGAAGATTCTGGGATCCAGGCTGCCTCAGAGTTCAGGCGGCCAAAACGGCTGCAATAGGACTCCAAGTAGCAGGATGATGTAGATAAAGCAGAATCGGGAAGATCACCACTTTCAAGGCCGAGTGGTTGACCAGATATATTACACGGGTTCACTATAGGAAATAAAGTCAAGAAATAATAAAAGCATATTACAGAGTAAAACGACAGAGGCCTAGAAGTGCAAAAAAAAACACGACAGTAACAATTATATTTCATACCCATAGCAAGTCATAAAAAATGCAACAAGATTATGATATCGTAACAAGAATTTACCGTCGTCGTTGACATTTCGTAGGTGTGGTTTTTGTAGTATTCCCTAACATCTCCTTAAAATTTATAAGCAGGGCTCATATCAATTTTCTTTTTCACGGGGGCTCTGCCCCAAAAAGGGCCCCCGTGAGCTCTTTTAGTACTGATGGGGGCTCTTTTTAAATTAAAATTTCCATTGAATCGGTACCCATACATTCGCCTCCTTGCCAACATGTTTCCTTTTACAAATTTAGTTTTCGGTATATTTACTGGTCGAGGTTTATTATTTGCTGATCTTTTGGAATGACCAGATTTCAGAGGATTCACGCTTTTTACAACGAAAAACTTCTTCATGTTTCGGTCCTTGCGCGATTGCCTCTAGCTTTAATAGCAGATAATGGGGCGGCAGCGTGCACCTCGGGACTACTGGCGCAGCTAGTATAACCAAGGTGTTTTAAGAGATGGAGTCAAAGTTACACCAATTTTTAAAAAGGGAGATAAAAATGTCCCAGGCAATTACAGACCTATTTCAGTTTTGCCTCTTTTGGCCAAAATATTTGAGAAATTAGTGAACAAGAGGCTACTTGATTATTTTGAAAGAAATGATGTCTTGTATAAGCACCAGTATGGCTTTCGTAAACATTATAGTACTAAGTTGTCTTTAATTAATTTGGTTAATGATGTGCTTAAATCACTGGATAAGGGCAGTGTAACACTAGGTGTATTCCTAGATTTCCAGAAAGCTTTTGATACAATTGATCACGCAATATTGGCTGGAAAATTAGAACATTATGGAATAAGGGGCCTTCCTCTCCAGTGGTTTAAAGATTATCTTTGTAATAGATTTCAGTTTGTGAACTATGATGGACATAGCTCATTGAAGCAGATAATAACATGTGGTGTTCCTCAGGGTTCTGTGTTGGGACCTACACTGTTTTTGTTGTATATAAACGATTTACCAAACTCAACAAATTATTTTAATTTTAGACTTTTTGCCGATGATTCTAACTTGTTTCATACGTTTCCACCGAGACAGAATTCAATTGATATGGATAATATAGTTAATATGCATCTTGATAAGGTGACCATATGGTGTAAGGTGAATAAGCTTACAGTCAATCTATTAAAGACTAATTATTTGTTAATAAGAGGGAGTAGGCAATCAGTAGTGACTCAAGGGGTGCTAAAAATAGCAGAGACTGAAATAACCCAGGTTGATGTTGCATCATTTGTAGGAATTTATATAGATCAACACTTGACGTGGAAACCTCATATCCAAAGGGTTAATAAGTTTATTAGGAAAAGGGTTGGTGTTTTATATAGATTAAGACAGTTTGTGCCAAGGCGTGTTTTGTTGTTACTGTATAAGACGTTAATCCAACCGCATATGACCTACGGAATTGAGGTTTGGGGAAGTAATTATGAAATGAACATGAAGTGTTTATTATTAAGCCAAAAGATGGCACTAAGAGTTATAACGTTTAGTCCAATTAGGACTCATTCACAACCGATATTCCAGGAGCTAAAATTATTGAATGTGTATCAACTCCATAAATTATCTGTTTGTGTTTTTATGTATCAATTATTGAATGATAAATTGCCACAGTCTCTAATTCAGTATTGCTGTTTCATAGAGCACAACTATGAAACTAGACAAAGAGAAAGTAAGAAGTTAAGTGTGCCTAAAGTAAGGACAACGCAAGGTAAATTTTCAATGTCATTCAGAGGCACATGCTATTGGAATGATCTACCCCTTTCTGTAAGGGAGAAAGCATCAGTGTCTTGCTTTCGTAGAACTCTTATATCACAAATGTTAATAGAATAGTTGTTTATAACTTAGAACCAAGGCTCTTGCCTTTTTGTAAATGTTTTGTTATATAATTCTTCATCTTTTATTTAGTGTAAAATACCAAAGCTTTGTAAATAAGCACAGAACACATTTACCCTAGATGTAGAATAGTTTGTAGCTTAGGTATGAATTCAATAGTTATTCATATTTATTCATTACATTCTCATTTATTGCTGTGATACTTTTTGTGTGTTAGTGGTACTAGACACGATTAGCATTAAATGCTATTTTCTGGTCCCATTTATCCTTTCAATGTTAATTAATCATTCACATTTGATTGTTATATTGATGTACTTTTTGTTTTGGATAATAAACTTCAAACTCAAACTCAAACTCAAACTCAAACTCAACTGACAACAAATTATTATAAGCAGCTGCCGTTTTCTAAGGCTGCACAATAAAATCTAGATGGATGCTGTCACCTTTGATGTCCGAGGTTCGAAGGCACCAATATCATTGGAAAGCTTGAGTAATGTTCTTGTTCACAACGAAATATCGTTTATATCTCACTTTTTATTTGAACTAACATGGGGAAAATCGAACAGATGATAAAATATAAATAGAAAAGCCTAACTGCGTCAAAATAATTTGCTTATATTGTATAATAGCAGTTTAAATTAGTGAAAATCTGCAATTTGATACTTTTCCGATTTGTTCCGGCTCACGAAAATAAAAAGTGCATTTGTTGATGTACAGTTCTTTATGATGTTATATGTCAGATTAGTGCCCACACATGCCCAGTCAAGGAATGTTGAATAATATTTCAGGAAATTTTACTCTATTTCCTTTCATATGCTTATGCAAAAGATTCTACAGTTTCTTTAACTTTGCGAACATTATTTTCAACATTGTTATCTATATGTTTGTAATTCTATTTGTATTTCAAATCCAACCTCAAGTTTCAATTCAATTCATTTATTTAATTCAATTCATTTATTTTTCCTCTTTCAATCGTTCATATTTACAATGATGGTATACACTTTAACATATTCACACATTTATATACATATAGATCAATTTGCACAATACAATACATTAAAAAAATAAACATGATATTGAAAGGGAAGGAGGGCCGACTAGAAAGCAGAGCTTGTAGTGAATAAGCCCCCTGTAAAAATAATTATTATAAATTATTGTTTTATGAGGAAAAAAACACAACAATGACAATAACTGATTCAGTAATACAAAAAAAAAAAATCCCTTTTAAACGCAAAACATTGATAAATACATACATGTTTATACAAAGAAAAAATCAAGTTGCATAAAGTCACACTACAAATTATATTTGATTGGGGAATGCAATAGCCTAGTAACTATTCAGAAGAAAGCTTTTAAGTCTCCTTTTGAAAATTCGTATCGAATTACACTGTATTACATCAGTTTTGGTTGCAAACTTGCAATACAGAAATAATAAGGTTTTCACGGCCAATTTCACACTATTTCATTGAAGTTCATATTTCCAGCATTAGAATTCGCGCAAATCGCACTCGCAGCGTCAAATCAGCCTTCAAATTCAAAATCCGTCATTCAAATTTACTATCCGTGCAATCAGTTTTTAAATTGGGTCATTCAAATGTTCACTAAGAGCGTATATTTCGTGCAAAGAGCATTCAAATTTGTCTAATGCCGGCTACGGTACCTCGGTGGTCATTCAAATTCGTGAATGAGCAAGCATGTTTGAAAAAAGGTATTCAATTTCAAAAAGTAGATTGAGTTTAGTTTCGTTGGGGGTCTTTGAGAAGCTTTTTTGCTCAGTTTTTGAATAATGTAGGTTTCATTAACATGACATTTGTATTATCTTCAATCATTCTCGTAGTCTGTAAAAACACTTTGCATGCACTTATATAAATTTGATTCATTGCATATTTGATTTGATTTGATTTGATTTGATTTGATTTATTCATCATCAATAACATCAGTGATTAAACATTTGAATACATCGTGAATGGTACATGTTCATAAATGAATATTATAGATCATATTAAAGAAAAACCTAACAAAGTATTGATATGCTAGACATATGTCTTTTCTCATAGAATATAGAAGGTGATGAAAAGGAGCCAAATAATAGCACATGTGCTAGTCGAGTCTGGCCCCTGTTCTTAGCACACACTTGGCAAAAATAAATATATCATTATCAAAAAAATAAAACTTGACAGTAGAAGTATACATGTTGAGTAATACCGTAGCACAATTTCTACACTCCAAATATAATTATGAAGAGGATATACCAGGTTAAAAAGTCATAGATACATGTATCTACAGATTATTTATACAAAAAATTGCATTTTTTTGACAAAAAAAAACAACAAAAATGTAATATGGAGATTATTTACAATATATACATGTGTACTTGCATAATTCAATCACTTATTCATCAAGTAATCGTTGAGATGTTTACGAAAAGTGTTTCTAGACCCTTTGTTTTTGATTTCATCGGGAAGTTCATTCCATAATCGGGTTCCTACACAAGTTACTGAAAATTTGCCTTGTGTTGTTTTATACAGTGGTATACGTAGATGGCCCTTTTCTCTTTTTCTTGTATTGTATCTATGCTCAATTTTATCACAATAATCCGTCAAACAGTGAGGTAAATTATTATGTACTAGGTCATACATAAATGTACATAGAGACAACTCATAGAACTTGTTAATATCTAAGATTTTCAATTCGTAAAACAATGGTGCTGAACGACTCATAAAATGGCTAAATGTGATTGTCCGTATGGCCATCTTCTGTGTATACAGTATGCAATTTAAGTGAGACTTGTAAGTGCTCCCCCACACTTCAATTCCGTATGATATATGAGGTTGAATAAAGGTTTTATACAACAACACTAGGATATTTCTAGGCACAAAATGCCGTAAGCGGAAGAGGATTCCTACTTTTTGTCTGATGCATTTATTAACCATTTGTATGTGGGGTTTCCAAGTCAAGTGTTTATCAATCTTTATCCCAACAAAGAGCGAAGAATCAACTTCTATTATTTCAGCTTCTGATATAGCCAGTTGCCCTTGAACATTAATCTGCCGTCTCTGGTTTCTTATTAGCATATAACTCGTCTTTTGTAAATTAATTGTCAGTTTATTAGCATTACACCAGTCTGAAACAATTTGAAGATTTGTGTTCACTTCAGTCATATCAATTTCTTTTTGCCCTTCAGGAAATGTATGGAATAAGTTTGAGTCATCCGCAAAGAGTCGAAAGTTAAAGTAACGTGTAGCAAATGGCATATCATTAATATAAAGTAGGAAAAGCGTTGGGCCTAGGACAGAGCCTTGCGGTACACCACATGTTAAAGGCAGCATGGGAGATGTTACATTTCCGTACTGTACAAATTGAAATCTTCTATAAAAATAGTCCTTAAACCACTGTAATGCTATTCCTCGTATTCCATAGTGTGAAAGTTTGCTGTATAAAATATCATGATTAATTGTATCAAATGCTTTCTTAAAGTCTACAAATATCCCAAGTGTGATTCTTCCCTCATCCATTGAATTCCTCAAAGTGTTAACTAAATTTATCATTGACAATTTTGTACTGTATTTTTTACGGAAGCCATACTGGTGCTCATATAATACATGATTTTTTTCAAGAAAGTCAAGAAGCCTATTATTTACAATTTTTTCAAAAACCTTCCCAAGAACAGGTAATACTGAAATAGGTCTATAATTTCCTGCTTCATCTTTAGGTCCTTTCTTATAAACAGGTGTCACTTTTGCTATTTTAAAGGCATCTGGGAATTTACCAGAGGTGAAAGACAGATTGAAAATAAATGTAAGGGGAGAAGTTACATAGTGCACAGCATCTTTTATCAGCTTGATTGGCATATTATCATACCCACTAGCTTTCTTTACATTCAAGGCTATTAAATGGTTGTTAACCTCAGTCTCAGTAACTGGTTTCCAGAAGAAAGATTTGTCTACACCATCGTCTAAAACTTTCTCTGTATTACGATTTGTGTTTGGTATGGCATTCGCCAAATTTGGACCAACATTAACAAAGAAGTCATTAAATGCATTTGCAATATCTTGTTCATTACACAGGGTTTCATTAGTACCAGTATCATTCACACACAATTTATCCACCACTGTTGGCTTAAACGAATTGTTTCCACCACTTAAAATCTCGTTTACAGTCTTCCATGTTTTGCTAGTATCACCCTTATTTTCAAGGAATATCCTACTATAGTAATTTCTCTTTGAGTTTCTGATTATTGTAGTTAACATATTCCTGTACTTCTTGTATGTTGTTAAATAGACACTCTTGCTTTAGTCCCATGCTAATTCTATATTGATGTGGCTAGGTTGTATCTACTGAACACATGATCGTTGAGTTGCTAAATAGTGATGATTTAATGGGTATACACCCATAGTGGGGACAAATAACATGTTTGTTGCTTACTAACCCATACAATTTGAAATGGATTTAGCATGGAACTAAGCTTTCGGGGTTCTATATAATTATACTAGATAGCTTAGACAGATACCAAGATGTGATTGGCCCAGAGCTCGTCACGTGATATAAATTGCGAGGATCCAAATTGTTATATTTTCCTGGTTGGTTATATTTTACCGGCTGGTGAAATGAATATATTTTTAATCAATGCATGTCGCCCTCTTGAGGACTGTCACCAATTACACAAATTACACCATTACCGAGGGTCATTTTATTTTTTCAATATTTTTTTCATGAAATTTGTTTGTTCCCTTGAAATTATTTTTTGCATATATTTTTTTCCCGAAAAATGCTTTTTTGGGTATTTTTTGTTTTGTTTTGTTTTTCTTCCCAAAATATGCTTTTTTAGGGTAAGAATTTTTTTTCGATTTTTTTTCCCCCAAATTTTTTTATAATTTTATTTGTGTTGTCAGATTTTTTCTTTCTTGAACTATCTCGACAGATTATTTTTCCATAATTTTGATTGTCCCCGAAAAAAAAGAAAAAATATTCGGGCAAAAAAAAAAAAAATTTCAATATTTTTTTCATGAAAATTTTTTGTTCCCTTGAAATTATTTTTTCCACATTTTTTTTTCCCGAAAAAATGTTTTTGGGGGTATTTTTTTCTTCTTCCCAAAATGTGCTTTTTGGGGTAAGAGTTTTTTTTCGATTTTTTTTTTCCCCCCAAATTTTTTATAATTTAATTTTTGTGTAAGATTTTTTCTTTTTTGAACTATCTCGACAGATTGTTTTTCCGTAATTTTGATTGTCCCCGAAAAAAAAGAAAAAAATATTCGGGCAAAAAAAATATGGAACCCCCCCCCCCCCCCCCCCCCCCCCCCCCCCCCACAAAAAAAATAAATAAATAAAGCTATCTAATATAACAGTTATTGACTGGCAGGGGGTATATAACATTCTTTGGACCTGAAGAGAGTTATATTTCCCCTCGGGAAAATATAACCACTTGGGAAATATAACTCCCTTCAGCGGTCAAAATAATGTTATATTACACCCCCTGCCAGTCAATAACTGTATAATGATCATATTGGGTAAGATTTATATGTTTAATTCGTCTGCAAAACGTGTGAAATTGTATGCAAAGAAACGAATTTGAATTCACGTACGGAAGACGCTGTTACGTAATGGCGAATCGTCTCGCTTTAAATTGAATGAAAATGTTACGAAAAAGAAACACGTTTTAATTCGAATGAAAATAAAATGTTTTTGAATGATCGTTTTATAAATTTAAAAGCTAAAAAATGAATTTCAACGAAAAATAACAGCTGCGATGACAGAATTCGCAAAATTGAATGAACATAAAATGAATTACGAAATTGATCCTAAATTGATCTTATATTACCATTATTATAGTATTTAAAAAAAATCATTATTACTATAACTCACCGGGGCAACACACAATGGAAATAATTTCACTCTCGTTTATCCGTCCCACTCTAGTCTCATTGAACCAGCAGTCTGTGATGTTTGTGGCATTAGGAGGGCAGATCACTGATTCGGCTTCAGCTGGAGCATCGACGGACAAGGACTCGTACAGTGGACCGCTCAACGTCGCAAATACTCCTTTTTCAATAAAGTTAAATTAAAAAGTAGGATACCAGAGTAGTCACAATATTATTTTGAAGAAAATAAATGCAAACCACAACACCAATATTTACTTTATCGGGTACCACAAGAACTGCTTTGTGAAGACATACACCATATTGGACAGGCTTCCGAAACAAGCGTTTCGAGAACGGGAAAGGATAAGAGAAGGATTCAGGTTGAAGAGGGAAAAATTTCAACTATAAAATGGAATTAAAATCTCCAACTCGACCAGAATATATATATATATACTACTGATCATAATACCAGTGTTTGAAGAAAAAATAGTAAATTCATCAATAATAACTTAAAATAAATTATCTAAAAAATTATATTTCAAAACAAGAAAACAGGGTGTATTATCAAAAATAAATGTAAACAATAAAGCAAGTCCACATTGCAAATACATTGGGTACATTGTAGCATCAGATTCGAAAGGTATTCATGAGATAAATGAAAGAATTGAAATGATTACAATAATCAAAAAGCTTGAGAGAAAAAATCAAGGGCCACAGAGGCCCGGTTCTAAAGTAAGATTATGAATATAACATGATGAAAAAAATAACAAATGAAGAAGTGTTTAGAAAACCAAGATTCATCAACACAATAAGAAAGAGGAAAATGCAATTTGTTGGTAACATGATCATACAGAAAGGAAACATGTAGAGAAAAATATTTATATATTATCAGGGAAGATTGCTGAAAAGAGAACCAGGGGAAGGCAATGGCTCACATACTTTGCAAAGCCTGGACAAACTTGCAACGAAAAATGAAATCAGCTATTTAAATCCCCACTGTCCTACTTGTAGCTACTTGCTCCCTCTATTTAGAAAACTTCCCCAATCGGTGCCTGTTGGTCCCCAATGATCCTCTTTTTCTTATGTTATTTGAGAGCTGAGTTGATGAGATAGCCACCTGTCAGTGACCTGGCTGGGTGGTCTAATCCCTTCTAGCCCAGTAGTATTGACGGTCTTTAAAGAATAGCTGATAATAGAAAAAAATGAAAGGCCATTATTAAAAGATGATATTGATAATGTCTTACCTTCAAACCCTAGATACTGGCATGCCAATTGGGATAAGTTCCTGTTCCAAAGATCTTGATGTACCAGCACGTACGTGTTAGGACTGGAGTGGGACGCTAAAGAAAGTGTTCCTTCATTTATCTTTTCACCAAGAAGCTTTAACGAGGAGATGGGTACATCTATAGAGTTTACAATCAATATGAGAAAGATATGTTGAGGGGAAAAAGAAAGAAAATTGAACTCATTTAGTTACTCGGTAAAACAAGTTTTAAACAAGACTTTACGGAGAGGTAAAATGTATTAAATATGTAACTTTCTCAGCACTCCCATCAAACCTGAATATACAAATTGGTTTTGCGTAGGGCGCTAAATTGACCGTGTCATATTTACATCATATTTACATGGCGACTGTAGACAGGTGATGTTTTTAGAGAAGTGGCCACTTTTAATTATAAACTGGTTTGACCGTATTTTGTATACTTAGCCAATACTTTTCCCCAATGTATATCATGATTGCCTTCAAAACAGAGGCAGGTAAATCCTGTATCGCTCTCCTCAAGAGCAGGCACGTAGCCAGAGTTCGATGTTTTTTTTTTTTGGGGGGGGGGGGGGGCACATACATGTAATCGATCGAGGTAAAAAAAAAAGGGGTCTAAAAAACCGTGCCCCCCCCCCCCGTGGCTACGTGCCTGCTCATGAGTACATGAACCTCCATGTGTATATAGACAAGGATTCAACAAGGGTTTGCACCCACCCCCTCACAAAAAACTATGCGTATGCCTCTTTTTCACCGACACTCCTCAAACCTTCCATGAAGACCTTAACAACAAACAAGGGAAACGCTCTCGGCAGTCTCGCCTGCATTACGCATTTCGATATGGTGACAAATTGAGGTTTGAACATTATTTATAGGCAGGATGGCCAATTAAAAAGCCCCAAAATATGAAATCCTCTGAATACTCTCAGCATTTTGAAGTGAATATCGACTAAGAATCATCAGAAGAATTGTTTACTATTATTTGTACCAAGATTAAAAACTTTCATGAAATATGAACAAAAATTGATTTATCAATTCTCATATTTAGTTGTGAATAAACATAATTCAAGTCTATTGACCTCAAATTACCTTTAAACTTGACCTCGTGACCAAGTTTCATCTGATTTGAGATACTTGATAACCCTTGGGTACATGTTTCTTAGAATTTGAACAAATACTTTTGAAATTAGTATGCTAAAAATTCAAAATCTTGGTGTTGATGCCACAACAAATCTAAGTTTGCAGACCTGAAATGACACTTGACCTTGACTTTGTCACCTAAAAGACTAAATAAATGATTGTTGATACTTGATAGCCCTTATGTTTCAGTTTCATGGAATAGGAATTTATACTTTAGAAATTATGCTAAATATTCGAAATCTTGATGTTGATGCTGCAACAATGTCTAAGTTTGCAGACCGGAAATGACCTTTGACCTTCACTTAGTGACCTGAAATTTCCTCACATGAATGGGGATACTTCTTAATCCTTTATTGAAAAAGAACTTATACTTTCAAAACTATATTAAACATTCAGGTTAAGTTTGATGTTGACGCGCCGTCGCCGTCACTGGAAAAGCAACGCCTTTGTCTCGCTTTTTGCTACGCAGGCGAGACAAAAACCATGATACCCCTTTTATCTTACCATGCTACCCCTTTTACCTTACCATGCTCGCTCTCATCAAGATTTCCTGGCTGTACAAGGGTCTCCCGGCCTACCCCCATACATAAAACAACAACATGCACCTCCCTTTGTCTCACTTACTTTCTGCACATCTTTCACCACGGTAGCCATCTAAGCAGAGACAAGTAAATCCTGTGTCCGTCTCCTCGCAATTGCCTCCATTAAAACAAGGGTTAGAGCGGCAGGCTGGTGACAGAAATAACACAGGGGGAAAAACTTGGATGAGAAAAGTGAATAACCCAAGGTCTAATACATTATATACATACATACATGTACAAAACAGTGACGTATATTGGTAGTAACAGTGGACACGAGGGTTCGTGTCCCATCCAATTGCAATTTTTTTTTAAAGAAGACTACTAAAGAATTCCAAGTAATTTTTCAATAGCTTGTACTTCACTGGAAGCTCATTTCCTCTTCGTTTATATGACATCAGAACCAAAATCACTCATTAACGATTTTAGACAGTCTGAAGTAAAAGTGTCCGAAACCCAATTGTCCAAAATAAGTGACTTCCTGCTACATTTCGGTCCATTTGGCTTTTAATGGAATTAATTATAAATGGAAATACACCTCTTCCACATGCTCTTAAAGGAAGAATCACACTGGGACCGAGCAGGCACAATTGTTGTATTGCGTATATAGCAAAAGTGCATTTGTTCAACTGCCTATTTCATTTCCTAAAACAAAAATGGCATATGTTCCTAACTAATTGCAAATTAAGCTACCTGCTCATTAATGCGTGATCCTTCCATGCTGATTTCGGTATCATATGAACTGATGGATATGGTTAACAAATATTATCTTTACGTCATCATTGAGCCCTCAAGAATCCCCCCTCCCCCCCCCCCCCCCCCCCCCCCCGTAGAACAGCTACCGCCGCAGAGACGTGCAAGTAGCAAATACACTTCAGTAAATTAAATTTATACATCATTATATCACACTGAAATGGATTCACCGCCTTTTACGTGCGCATTAGTCATAAGTTTCAAAATATTAAAGCAGGTTGTTCGGTCGGCGGTTTTGTATTTATATGCGACATGATATGTGCTCCAACAAAAAATTTGAATGAACTTAATGTGGGCGTGATTTCAATTAGGGTCGACATTTATTTCCGTACGTATCATTATTTATTATTTATTCTTTCCTTTACTTATTTAAGTTTTTACCCGGTTGTTCAAACGATATATCAATGGTGGCTTGTTCAAATCTAGTTAAATTTAGTTAATTTTGTTATATGTGGTTATTCATCCTGTACTAGATTTTTTTCGTTGGGGTGGGGTTTAAGGCAGGCTTAATCAATGTCCTTTTTTCCTGTACACAACTAGCGTTTAGGTGTCAAAAGGCCCCTTCAATAAACTATTTAACGTAAGTTCGAAACAATGTTTAATTCAGTTTTCTTCAATAAAACGAATTCATAGTACAAATATAGGCTACCAAGTCAACTGTCCATTTGAAAGTTTAAGTTTGAGTTGATATGCCTCTCCTGTTCATCAGGTATCGTGTGAAACATACATTTTTAAAAGTTGAAAAAAAAATTGAAAAAATTGAACAGAAGAAGCTTTTGAAAATGGCATGGCACGAAAAAACGAACCCGTAGGGCAATCCACAAGTTCTGATCGGTGTCATAACAAAAAGAAATTCCGATAGTTCATATATTCGAAAATGAAATAGGATCCGTAATTCCGAAAATGAGGTACAACAGTGCATCGTTTATCGGAATTATGAACCTTCCGAATACCGAGGCTTCTTAATTTTCAGAATAATGAACCCTTTTACACCTTTGAGATTATGAACATTCGGATATTAAACGAACCTCTGGAATATTGCAGCAAATGTTCGAAATCATAAACCCTCTTTCAACCATTGTGATTATGAACCCCTGATATAGAGAAGTTCATTTTTCGGAAGTACGAAACTTTGCAGTTATGAACCTTCGGAAAAACGAGGCCTCCCTGCTCCCCACCCCCCCCCCCCCCGCTTTTTTGTGCCGCCTTATTTCGGAAATTTTGCATGAAAATACTACCTGGTTCTGTGCAATAATAACGCCGGACATCATCAGGAATCAGGTAGCCTGCTGGGAGGTCGGATTTTGACCACTTTTGATCGGGTTGCACGAGTTTCGGGATGAACTGTACAGTCTCACCGCTCTCCAGAGTGATTAAACGACATGATACGGTCACATGAGGACATCTGTCATGTAATGCTGCAATGAAAGTGAGTTAAAGAATGAATAAATTGATAAATACGTTGATAGATAAGTACATCCTTAAATGAATTTATAAGTATAGAAGTAGATGCTAATGAAAAATATTTAAATAAATAAATAAACAATTATAGATAGACAAATGTACATTTAAAAAAAATACTCTTGATGAACAACCAATAAATTCCAATAGACAGAAGGAGCAACGCCTAAAATTGGTTTCCAGCATTGTTCCCAAATGCTCATTTACCGTCGTAACACTCATAACACTTCCGAAACTATTCATGTATTTTCCAATAGTCATCTGCATCACTTCAATCCCAAACTTCCTTTTTCAGGAAAATTACTGAGCTTGAAAACTTTTCCAGCAACTTTATATTTCCAACTCCTTACAATCTTCACAGAACTAGTAAGTAATCTAGTATCTCTTTGGTCTTAGGCTGCACTAATTATATAGCACTAGTACACTTACAAACAATATAATGAAATCCTCTTACTGGATTCTCATTTACATATACATGTACACTGAGTTCATATTCTGTCTAATTAACAAAAATTAGTTTAATAAATGTAGGGACGGAACTAGGGTGGGGTTTCGGCGGTTTGCCTCCCTCCCTCCCCCCCCCTACCCCACACCCTTGGGCGGCCAAGTAAAGAAAAAAAAGGGGTGGGGGAATGGGAGCAAAAAGAAGAAGAAAAAAGAAAAGAAAAGTAAAACAGTAAAACAGCGCAATTTTTGGAAAATCTTGGATCTGGGTCAACCCCCCCCCCCCCCCTGGCAATAAGCTAGATCCACCCCTGAAATGTATTATTTCATGGTTACATACAGAGTATCTGTGATGGTAAAAGAGAACGGGTAAACAATACAGAGAGAGGGAGAGGTACGTAGGTGGATATACGTCATTATCTATGCCTAGGTCGCATTTGCTTTACGGCTAGGATACGGCGGCCGTACGCCCCCAAAAGCGGCCGCAGAGGGCGTTTCCCTATCTTTACAGGCCGCAAGGGTCGCCGTGAGATTATAACGCGGAGTTATAATTGTTTTCATTTCTAGGTTTGCTGTAGCGATTAGACCCGCCATACCCATGCCGTATAGCGGTTCCACGGCGACCCATATGGAAACGTTTGCTTGTATTTGTCTCATAAAAGAATTTGACCACGAACTGACTCCCACACGGTGTTCAGTGCTCAGGGGTCACAGGCCACTGGCTTCATCGGGCAGGTAGTTCCATTATGTGAATAGGTAAATTAACTATTACAAAATGAGGGGACACATTACATTGTACAATAGGGACACACTTTGTTTATATTGTGCAGAACATACTCTTTTATTGACTTACTTGTTGCATTTTGCGTTCTGGCAATTGGAGTACAAAGAATGATAACAGGTGAATGAAATGCTACAACACCAACACAAACACCTGGGAAGCTAGGAAGCATCCATAAATTTGAATAATTTAGTTGATAAACGACTCCGCATGTGGACGTTTGTTGGAGCAGAAAGCAATGGATTCTTAACAACACGAACCCATTTAACAGCATGTCGGAACGTAAATTAATTTTGGCACGGTTGGAAAATGCATCTTTCTACCCTGCGACTTTAATGGTACGATCCAGTAAAATAAAACAGTAAATTGGCTCTTATTTTAAAATTACTCATTAAAAAAAACCAAAAGCTTCAGTGATATCAGAAAAAAATATGTTATATCTTACTAATAATTAAAAAAAGATGTATAAACATTGTGAAAGTGTCGCATTTTACGATAAAAGACACCGATTTAGCGAAGATGACGTCATTAGTGCGCTTGCATCAGGGAATTCAAGGTCAAAAGGTCAATTCAGCCGCTGATAAGTTATTGGTCGAGCCTTTTTGTTTCTTTATTCCGACAAAATTATACAATCAATCAAAACAAGTTTGATACCAAAAAAAAGCTACCGATTAATATTTTCATTAACCGCTTGCCCCAAAGTCTCTTGACCACAGTGAAACGAGTGAGAGCTTGCGAGAGCGGCCAAAGTGTGATTGAAACTCGCTATTTGCTCTTCTCCAACGCAAAAAGAGACGACATTGTGCCGGATAAATGTAATTTTTCCGACAAAAGTACAACAAATTTGCATATGGTCTTTTTATATTATACTTTACGAAATGTTACCCGAGTGACTTCCGGGCGCCCCAATGCTGGAAAGAAACGCACATTTTAGAAAACTTCACTTTTTCATGGAAAAACGCTTATTTGTTCTATGCACGCAAATCAGATTGAGCGGATGATACAACGTTTCCATATGTTCCTCGTGGGGCCCCCATACACCTTCTATCAAAGCTAGTCCACCCTATAGGAGGTTGCAAAGGGGTATTAAAGTCTTAACACATAGAACTACATTATTATAACTCAACGTGTCGTTTTCTACCAAATGTTGGAACTTATAGGAACTAATGTGCATCATAGGCTAACTGAAGGGGTCAATTTACAACTACAATAATGCAATAAATACAATGATATTACACTGCAAAAACGAGGGTGTTAAATTCAACACCATGGGTGTAAATTGTAACACTTTCCCGGTATCTATATCGGACAACACCAGCTGGTGTTATTTAACACCAGGGTTTGGAATGAAACAGTTCTATTCCACCCTTGGCGTTCTGAATTCTTTGTTGAAAATCTTACTTGCTGGCAATAGTATACATGTTATATACATTTTAAACTGTCTAGTCCGGTTAATAATAGCACGTAATGATTTATTATTTGACACGTACTTCACATTATCCTATCGATAGGCGTAACGATTTGCTTTAGTATCATATACAAATATAACAAATGACAAGTATGCTTTTTCTGAAAATTGCATTACAATGTATATTCATCGTTATGAAAAATGTTGTATAATATACAACAATGGGCAAATAATTGTTTCCAGACCAATGATTTAAGTGAGAAAAACTGACGTTTTATATTGAAGCTGTTGCCGCTTGTATATACTTGACATAATAAGTAGCCTTGAAAGTGTCGCAATATATCATGTGTTAATGAGCTTGAAGTTTAATGGTGTAAGTTTGTTTGAGACTATAATCCTTTACACTGTTAAATGAGATATATCTCCAATCAAATCAAACTGAATGATGTTATCGAACAAATTAACAATATCAATCTGGCTTAAAGTGACTCGGTAACATTGATGAAGGTTGATGAAAAAACTGCGTAAGTTTTGTATGAAATGTTACTTATTATATTCCTTCTAATGTACTAACTCTCTAACATGCAAACAAAACAAGAAAAATTCACTGTGCGACACCCTCTAACAGAAAATTCTCCACACCATTTTTGAATTTTCCAACCATTTTCCAAGAAAATAAGACAGGCTATAACAGGCTTTTAAAAATCTTTCAACACTTAAATGTCTGGAATGGTATATAGAGCAAATGTATTGCTTTGTGACAATTTTCTTTCACCTTATATGTAATTAAATTGGAATAATAGAGTTGGGAGATTTTAAAAAATCGATCAGATCATTTTTCCCAAATTTGTATCATTAATAAGGGTCTGTTTTTGAAACTCCAAGATTATCTTTAATTGTACATCTATCATTGAAGTCATTACCTTAGCCCCATTTTCTCTCATTTGAACAATTTTAAGGTGTAGGTTTGTTTGAGACTAACTTAGCTTTGACACTGATTCATTAATGAGATATTTCTCGGATCAAATCGGACTGAGTGATGTTATCGAAGAACTTAAGGAATCATTTCTTCGTTCTGAAGAAATGCCATTCTTTTAAATGTAAAATGCGTCTACTATTAAAGCCCCCTCCCCCCGTCAACAAATTTGGCCGTTTTTAAACGTTATATTGCTATCTCAATCGCCTATCTGCTGCACGCTTAAGATGGCCAGTGTGAGGAAGCATAGTGAACGAGAGTGGTGAAGGTGACAGAAGTGACTACCCCCTCACAGGTTTTTGAAGTTTTGTTGTATTAACAAATTACATGCCTTAGCCAAACTATGGTATAAAAACAAGCAATATATTTGTTTCACACCTCGCTTTTCTACAATATTTACTTGTACACTTTCAAGGATATTATGCGAGGGAGCTAGAAGATTTTTATATTTGTATTAGCCTAAACGCTGCGCTCTTGGGCACTCCAGAGCCTAAAAGTTTGTTGCAGCGTTTAGACAGTATTCGCTTTACTCCTTTTTGTCTCTACTTTTTCACACTTTCCGGGGAGGGGGGGGGGGGGGGGAGAGATGATCCCCCCTAAAAAAAAATAAGGGAGGGATGTGTTTCCCCCCCCCCCCCGTCCCCCGGGATCGCCGCCTCTGATAGACAGAGCCGAAGGAGTGTCCCTTTGCAGGACCTAACAAGCCCGTTGGAAGGCCCGTTGCAACCATTTTGAAAAAGACGCTATAACAATAAATGCTTTGATGAGAGCTTTTGCCTCTACATTCCCGGAGCAAAAGCTTTCTCACTTCGCTCACTCGCATTGACCATTCATTTAAAGCTACTGAGCTTCATACAATAAATCCCTCTTTTCCCGACCCCCCAAAAAAGAAGAATATATTTATATCTCCGTATATATATATATATATATATTTTTTTTTCTGCATTTTTTCCAAATACAATATAACTGAATTACAAAGAACATATAAATGTAAGGTATAATACAACATAAAGAAACAATAATTTCTTCATGTCAAAATGTTTTTTTTTACATAATATATGTACATATAATAACGAAACTTATTATTTCCATAACATATTATCATAAATTAAAAGTATTATCCGAACTATTCTGTTGGAAAAGTGCAGGAGACCGCAATCATAAAAGATCGGGATGGTGATCTTACCTGATACTCTGACTGTTTGAGCACCAATCACTACCACAGCGATGGCTGCAACTAGCTTTAGTATAGCTCCCATGCTTGAGGGCACCCTTCTTCCACCAGAGGCAATTCCACAGATCCTACATGAACAGAAAATGGTGTAATCTATGTAATTTACAAGGTGTCTGGGGTGAGAAGAGACTGGCATATTATTATTACACTAAACACATTACTCTATCACGTCTATTAAAGGTACTATGTTCTATTTGCAGGCCAAAAATATGAAAAGGTTAAATTCCAACGGCATTTGACAGATAAAACTAATTTAGAACTTCCCTCAAATGAAAGCGCTTGAAAATGCTTTTAAGTGGGAGAATAACGACCATAAAGACCATAACGACAATCACTGTTCATAACAATTCACACAAAAAAATTCTTCTTTAATACCCTCATCATCGATAAATTTGTTCATTTACTTTATGATGATGGCATTCATTTTGCACAAAACAATCTGTTTCCTTTAGGTCATGTTCATGTATATGATCTAAAATCTGGCACAAATGGATGTTGACGTGGTCTATTGCTTACAATGTTGGTAAGTAAAGCGTTTATGGATTAATGTGATCAATGTATCATATAAAAGCATGTTACTGCTACTTTATGAAAAGCATAACATCTTATTAACACAGCTCATAATTTGTTGCAATAACCTTTTGATTTTTGGTTTCGTTTTTTTTCAGGAACGCAAAATACTTTTGTTGATTGGCCACGCAGGACACATTTGCACATTATTAGATGTGTGCTTGCCCAACATAGCAATATGCGCCTTATAAATCTATATTTATACATCCATTTGAGCAGAATTGACGTCTACAGATGAAGGCAATAAATTACAGTGAAACAGGGTGAATAGAGAAGGAAAGACAAGGAGCGGGAGGGAGAGAGAGAGAGAGAGAGAGAGACATGGAGAGAGATAGAGAGAGAGAGAGAGAGAGAGGGGGGGATAGAGGGGGTGGGAGTGGAGGAGAAGGGAGGGAGAGGGAGAGAGAGAGAGAAAAATGGATCGAGGAAAATAGGAAAAGTTATGAATTTCTGAAGTATTACTGGTATTCATCCGTACCCACAGGCGCTAAAGCATTCAAGTAATTTCTTCCTACGGGTACCCATTTAATTCACCTAGGTGGAGGCTGGCAAATGTAGAAACATTATCTACTAAAGGACATTAGTGCCGCAGTAGGACCCGAACCACGAACGATGTGATTTACAGTCGAGTGACGTATCCACTTTACCACGACACCGCTAACTTCTAACATCAATCGATTACTACATATTCCTTTTGATGTGTTATCATTCACGAAACTGTCTATCAATGTAGCTCACATTATTAGAGTCGTACAGAAATATGACGCTTTGTAACTATTAAAACCATTATTATTTCATTATACGAAGAACTATTGTGTGGGAAAGCCATTCATATATAAGGAATTCATATATAAAGTATTAAGCTTGTGGGGAGGCCGGGGTATTTTTAGAAATATTCACTGCTTAACGTGGGGGAGAAGGGGGGGGGTGGCATGTACATAACATGTTATACTCAGTGATCTGCGACACTTTTTGTTAAACATCAACTTCTGATCCAACTACTAAATTAATTTTAGAATATTTAACACAAACGAACAGGTTCCAACATGTTATACTCAGTGATCTGCGACACTTTTTGTTAAACATCAACTTCTGATCCAACTACTAAATTAATTTTAGAATATTTAACACAAACGATAACAGGTTCCAGATGGTACGTATATATATATATATATATACATACATTTCATAATGTGGTGGCAACCTGTAGAACGGTCCTGTACGTAATGAGACAAAACCATGCGCCGTGTAAAAGGGAGTTTATAAAATAGAAGCCCTCATTATAATTACATGTCCGTTGTGATAAGCCTGAATGATTATTGCTTCCAAATTGTGCCGTTATTATTCAGTTGGCTCCTTATCCCATTAGAAAATGAAATAGATGAATTGTATATGAATGGAAAACTAATGAGCCATAGACGACAATAACATCAATTATATGGGATTTTACTACCTGTCAGAGGAGTAGAAGGTCTCTGAAAATGCGAAATCTAAAGTAGTGAAAATCGAAAGCTGTCGACCTAAAAACTATTTATCGACTTGTTGACATCATGTTACGTAGAGTACGCATATTCACAGTGACTTTGCATTACTTAGACGTACGGCTCATGTTTCAGCTATATAGACCTATATATATATATATATTATGTAGTAGTGCGTCCGAGAAAAAACGAAACCGAGAATTATCGATGATTTATCATAACTTAATCACAATTATAATTAATAAATGACACTTATTTGTAAAGCTTAGATCCTCCTCATATTTCTCGCATGAGTGATTAAAAAGAATTTGAAGAGAGGGTACCAACAAGTCATTTGGCGGGCGGTATCTGAATCTCAAAGAGAAAATCACATTTCTAGACATTTCAGTTTCTGCCATTTCATAATGACACCTCAATCAGGAAAAATGAGTCAGGAATAACAAAGTTCTGTTTGTTTAAAGCATTGCTTGAATTTCCATAATTTGATTAAACATATTCGTTTTCACTGGCTGCCTGCCGTAGCAACAAACAGTTGACCAAAGACTTAACTCCATTTCGTTAACGATCAGCCACATGTGTCAATTATCAATTATATTTATGATTAAGTTATTTTAAAACATCGATAATTCTCGGTTTCGTGTATAGACGAGCCGATAGGGACCAGTTGTTATTTCGTCACCCGGTAACTGCGGAAAATGTGAACCCTGTTGGCCCATAATTTCGAGGGCTGCGGAAAATTTGGTTTTTATTTGCTTTTGTGCTTTGCTGACTAGGGATATATTTGTTATTCCTTTCTATTCTTTATTCTACGTTCATTCAGATTCCATTGGATCATAAAACGTGGCTAAAGATGGTACTTAAACAAATAATATAAGATAATAAGTGTATCCCTTCCCCCCCCCCCACACACACACACACACCCTCACTACCTAAAAGGAATTCATAAGGCTGTTTGTTTATATTCTTATTTTCATTTGTTGTCAAGGCCTTTTTAGAATATTTGTATTTAAAAACAATTAGGAGGTTACACCTGTTGCAGAATCATCTTCATGATGAGGAAATTGTCCAAGGGCGAGTCTGCCGAAAAAAAAAGCAAACGTTGACACGTTGAAAAAATTAATTATACGTAAACCTACACAAAATGAAATTAATCTGCGTCTTTTGTCTCTCTCTTTCCCTCTCCCTCTCTTTTTCTCTCTCTCTCTCTTTCCCTCTTCCTCTCTTTCTCTCTCTCTCTCCTTCTCTCTTTCCTTAAATGGGAATAGTACCTTCACAACTAAAAGTATCCAACACTATCCCTATCTTTAAAAAGGGGGATAAGCACACTATTGGTAATTATCGTCCTGTACTTCTTTTGTCATGCTTCTCAAAAATCAAGGAGAGAATAGGCTATGATGGAACATACAAATGTGTATCTAAACACATTATATTACATGATATTACATGACTAACATGAGCGCTATACAAGAACCCACTATTATTATTTATTTATTATAATCAAATTGGATCTTGAACCCATTTTTCTACTGACCATGCTTTAGTTTCTGTTCACGATATCATTGTTAATGCCTTGAATTCAAAACAGTTTATATTTGGTGTCGTTATGGACCTGAGTAAGGCGTTTGATACCGTTGATTTTTCCATTCTCTTTAAGAAATTAGTTAATTATGGTGTTAGAGGTATTGCGTTAAATTGGATTGAGAGTTATTTTTCACAAAGGTACCAATTTACTGATTTTGGATACAGTTCTACCAGATGACTAATTAAATCTGGAATTCCACAAGGGTCAAATTTAGGGCCCCCTTTTTCCTTTTATATATGTGTACAGTTTGCTGATGACACTTCTTTGTTCTTAAGCCATACTAATTTATACTCACTGATAGGCCAGTTTAATGAACACATGAAAAATGTATCTCTGTGGTTAAAGGCAAATAAACTATCGCTTAATTTAGACAAAACCAAATGTATACTTTTTAGAACAGCTCAGTGTAACAAATGAGAATTAACAAATCAAGTTCCACCATTATATATTGATCAAACAATTATTGAAAAAGTCTGAAATATTCAATAATTTATAGCAAGGTATTCTCATAGATGAAAAACTGTCATTGAAATCCCATATTGCCTTGATATCTGCAAATATTGGTAAAACTACATGTTATTGTCAAAGCGGAAGTATTATTTACCAGAAAATGTATTGTTTATGATTTATAATTCACTCATTCTTTCATATTTGACATATGGAAACATCGTGTAGGAAAATACAAGTTCTTCTAAGTTCAAACCCTTACCTTACCTTCAGAAGCGTTGTCTACGTCTCTACGATATTATACAAACTCTAATTATTTTGCCAGTCTAAACCCTTTTTTAGACAATGAGATGCCCTCAATATTTATAGCTTAGATAAATATCAAAATGTTGTGTTTCTTTTCAAATGTATCAAAGATAATACACTGTCATCTCTTGCCACTATGTTCCTAACTGACTCTAAAATTCATGAATATAATGCTCGAATTAGTCTAAAGTTACAGAATATTATTGATAAACAGTACATGCAACAATCGATAAGATATACGGGGCCCACAGTATGGAACTCTTTTCCATCTTCTGTCACACAATATGTTTACTTGAACTCCTTCAAGCAAAATCTTAAAATATATCTATTATCCCTTTAATTTGTTTTATTTCAATACCTATTTTTAAATAAAATATAATATTGTAAATTACCATAAGAGAGAGAGAGAAAAGGGGGTGGGGGTAGTGAGGAGGGAGGGGTAGATGAAACCATGCGCAATACTCTGTTATTATGTTATGTTTTGTTATTATATCTGTGTAATTATTTTATTCATTTGGACGCCTGAATCAACAAGCTAAAACAAGCTTTCTCCAGTGCCCCTTTTTTCCTTTTTTATTTCACAGTTTGTTTAAATTAACATGTAATGCTCATGATTTGTATATTTTTAACTGTCTGTACTATATCACATGTATTTTGTTCGTTTTTTAGTGGAAATAA